ATTGTCATGTGGAACTCCAAAATGTTAGGGACTTGATAAAATGAGAGCACATTTGAAAACTAGGCAAAGAGGATCATCAAGGAAAGAGGGAGACAGGCTTTAACTCTAGTAAATGAGGGGGGAGAAAGGGATGTTGGCAAAAAAAATAGGGGAGGTCCACAGTCCCACTCATTGTTGTCAACCTTGACCTTGGTAACCACCTAAACGATCTCCCCCTCCTTGAGCTTGTCCTCTAGTTATGTGATGGTGAAATTTGCTGTTTCAAGATTGTCTTGCAGATGATGGCACCTCAATGATGTCAGGCAATTGAGGAAACCACTGCAGACCAGTTACTTTGCACTGGGATACCCTGGACAATGAGGGGTGTCCCATTTTTCACGTCCAGGATTGGGTGGCCGCTGATTGTATAGGGCAACCAAAGAGATGCATCAGAACATGGGTATATATGCACAGGCTTGTCAATTTGGCCTTGATCAATGAGGGTACTAAAGGACACCGGTGTGGATTCTGGACTCACTCCTCTCTTAGACCATGTTTTCACATTGCCAAAAATCAGCTCTCATGTGCAAGCAGCCTTCTCTCTAGCCATCCTTTCAAACTTCTCAATGTATGCACTAGTATCTGGGATAGCAATATCATTAGGCTGGTGACAAAAAAGATGAGAGCAAACAAGGATATTGTATTTCAGAGCCATCATTTATGGGATACAAAGTTAAATCTGGGAGTTTTTCCCAGTTTCCCAGTTTTTGTTTCTGGCTGTATTTTGGGGAACTGGCAAACTGGGAGAACATGGGAACGTTCCAAACACAGCCAAACACAAAAACTGGGAAACAGGGAGAAAACTCCCAGATTTAACTTTGTATCCCATAATTCAACATTCATTTGAGCTCCTGTACAAGAGTAAGAAGGTTCAATAAGTCTGGAAATCTTTCAAAGAGGTTGGTTAGGTCATTCTGTTGTGTACTTTATGTCTTTCACATGTTTCAGTGTCTCTTCAAACTATCACAGATTATACCAGACTTGTAAGTAGACTTCAAATAATTCTTTAAATAAGTGATACCACCCACCTGACCCACTCCCCAAATCCCATTTGTATTGTGAGGGAGGGTTAGATCAACAATTTACGTTTGAATTTGAGGAGTACAAGGTTGATTAGTTCTTCTGAAATTTGATCTGGTCTTTTTGTACAAAATTTGGGTTTAAGACCATGAGAGGGACCAGCTCTTCAAGTCTCTTCATTGCCTGCTTCCAGTGAGGTTTCAAGGCAGGTGGTAGGAACTTGCAAGCAGCACCATACAACAACAAGTGAAGGTTGTTTTGCTTTGTCACCTTGGTCTTTGTGTTGCTAGAAATGCAAACCTTTTTTCTAAACTAGACTTGCTGTGTTTGGTCATCACTTTCTTCCCTACTCATGATGTGTCAGGTTCAGTTGTGTTAGAAACCCAAAGGGTCCAAGACAAGAGGGCAGCACAACCTTTGGCTGATGTCACCGGGGCAAAAATGGATGCTCACATTGGGTTGAGCATTGAAATTTTGTTGTTTGTTTTGAACGTTTGTCCAATAAAATTGATGCTTGTATACAGGTGAGGATTGTAAACTTTCCTGAATTCTCCAAAAAAGATTATTGTTCTTTCAAATTCTTTCAATTTACAATTTTGGTAGTGCTCAGGTGATCAGGCTGTTTTGCTCAAATATTGCTGTACATTGCTGGAGAACGCTCATCTCCATCTTGGATGAGCATTCTTTGAGCTCAGTCTCTCAGATGAGTACTCAGAATCAGCTCATGAGTCACTGCATACTTAAAACATCTCAGAACCTTGTCCAAGATGCATGATCATGAGCAGGCTCCAAGGCAAGTCACTGAGGATCAGCTGAGGGGCTGAGATGAAGTGACCAGATGGGCCAGCCCTCAATCAGGCTTCTTTGCTATGGAATGAAGCCTGAGGAAGGCCTAGTTCATCTCCTGGGTTCCTGTTGATCATGTAGTCAGCTGACAAGCAGGAAGAAAACCGGGAGAAAAGGGAAAGAATTTGGAAGTACAATTGAACAAATGCTAAAAAAACAAGAAAATTTCAATGCTCACCCCAATGTGAGCATCTATTTTTGCCTCTGTGAATGGCCCTTCATGTACTGTATTTGGAGTCAAATGAGTGGTAAAACAAATATTACAAATTATTCATGAAAAGTGACAAAATCTGTAGAGATCTGATGTCCCACAACAGATACTAGAAGTGAGCTTTTGACACCTCAAGCCACACTACCTGAGACACTACAGCCGTTGTGAGAACTAACGGTAACCTTTTTTTATTTTGTGTTGCATCAATATTTAGTCCAAAACTGGCAAAAACTAAAGAAAACTACTTTTTGACCATGAGTACCATGGGATACAAGCATATTGCAGGAGCCAAAACAAGGTTTAGGCCTGTGACATTGAAAAAAACCGAGTTTTGGACCAAAGATTAAACTCTGGTTAAAACTCGGCGACACCCATCACCTCAAAACTTACCAATAGTTCTCACAACGGCTCTAACCTGATAACTTGTGATGAATACTAGAGGTGAGCTTTCTACACACCAATTCACACTACCTGAGACAGTAACCTATACATGAAAACATCAAATAATAAAAATAGAAACTAACTTGGTTAGAAAGAAAGTAAAAGAAAGTAAAGCAAAAATAACATGGATTATCTGACCTATAGAGGTCTTCATGCAAAGATAATATATAGGAAAAGTATTGTCACAATAGGATTTAGCAAGCTGATCTAGTGTCAATATGGAAACAGGTGAAAAAATCCAAACATTTGCTGGTTAAATTGGTTATAATATGAAAGAATATAAAAAGCACAAATATTATATAAAAGAAAAAGAAAATCAAGATATTGAGAATATAAGGGATTGCTTACTCTTTTCCTCAAACGATGGGCAAGGAAAAGGGGACACACTGAGTACAAGTACACTCTATATGAGATGGATCCATATGAGCCAGAAGGAGAGAAAAAATTTCTAAAGATACTTAAAGATAAAAGGGTCAAAGACAAGGATGGTAAGGACACCATCTTATACCTGGTGAGATATAAAGGTAAAGGAGCGGATGGAGACGAATGGCTCCCAGGGGATAAAGTACCTAACTCAAAAGTAACTCTTAGAGCTTTTAGAGCAGCTAAGAGAGATACAGCAATTCAGTAGAAGGATAACCTTCTCTGGTGGTGGGGAATGTCAGCCCTGAGCCCTGTGTACAGGACCACGGACTAACAAACACACATGTAAACACATGTAATACATATGTAAATAATATGTAAATATATGAAACTTGTTTAAAACCATAAGAATTACAACTCATGGCTCAGTTTCAAGAGTCACTTAAGTAACAAGACTTTTAACCTCATAGTAAAACCTAACCCAAACCTAACTCAAAAGAAAAGCAAACCTAAGTGCCAACCACAAGTTGACGCCTAGGTCTGGAATATATAAACCCCTCTTCTTCCCACTCTGGAAGAAGAAGAACTTCATATCATTACACAACTCATCATCACAACTTACTTGATTCTTCACCAAGAATATTGAGTACAGTGATATTGTTGTACTTTGATTGTCATAGTTCTTTTCTGTCTTTGTTCAGGTCATTGTAAAACCTCAAGTAGTGTTCTGAGCTTGTGGGACCAATAGCTAACAGAACAAGCTTGGAATTTACAAAGGGCACCTCATTAGAGAGTCTAAAGTACCCAGCGGCACCTCTGATTCTTCAGAGTCTAAAGTACTGCAGGCTTGGTAGTTGTAAGATCAACCCAAGCTCAGAGTAGGATCCTTAGAAGGAATACTTAGCCATCCCACTGGCCACAAATCCTCTCATTAGAGGTCAACTAACTGTAGTCTTCACTTGGGTGTAACAAGTGAAGGCTTCATCGTTGACTACTCTTTACTTTTCTTAGTGAAGAGTTAGCCCAACAGTTGCTGACTCCTCACAAAAATTATGAGCCATAATCCCTCTGAGTGACATTATTACATGATTTGCCAAGTCCTGTTCTAGCTGATATCCCAGGCACACCAGGCACAAAAGTCACATTATTTAAATAATGCAATCATTCACCCATTTGGTTCAAGATCATCTCAGACCATTGGACCATCTTTTCCCACACACTTAGGGGATACAAAGTAGAAAGCCGGGCATGTGCCCACAAGTCCAGATCCCAAATTTTGGCTGTAAAATTGGGATCTGGACTTGTGGACACGTAGCCGGGCATGTCCCCGGAAGTCCACATCCCGAATTTTGGCTGTAAAATTGGGATCTGGACTTGTGGGCACATGCCCGGGCATGTACCCGGCTTTCTACTTTGTATCCCCTAACTGAGTCCAGTTTAGTTTTAGATTCTAAGATGCCAGGTTGGGTCACCAAATCCAACCTTTTGTCCAAAGTGGGAATCCTTTTGACTCCTGAGCTCCTGACATTACTAATTTTGTTCTGGGCCTATTACAGCTGTTTCAAGAAAGGTTGACAACTTTTTTTTGAAGAAAGTTGTCTCTGCAGCAGGTAAAACCAGAGACAAAACTTGATTACAGGTTTATTCTTTTTTGTATTCTTCCAATTAGCAGAGAGACAAAATCAAATGAGAGACAAAACCTGGGTTTTGCACATTGGCAAGATTTTCAAAAAAAAACAATCTTTGTTGTAACAAAGATTTAAATTGAACAGATTAAAAAGGAAAATAGTGAATTTGACAAAATAGGTGTTAAACTTATACATCTTAATAAGTTAAGCTTACTTTTACAAGTATGTCTTTTACTCAAGCTTATGTGCCAGGAGAAAGTCACATCCATACTTATGCCCTGCCTGACAAGCTGTTTCTGATTCATCCAAGCTGTTGGATTTATCCGAGGTGTCAGATGACAAACCAGGTATGTCATGGTCTGAGGGGTCCTCTAAGGAGGAGTCTGCTGACACCAAGCTTGAAGATGAAGAGAAGGAGACAAACAAATTATATTCAAGACATAACTCCATCTATCGTGGAATCTGGCTCGTACCATAAGTTTTATTCACACACTTTTGTCTGTTCACACAATCTCAGACCATGCAATCAGTGTCAAGACTGAAATAAAATGAAGATCTACAAAGTCCACACGACTCATCTTGTTAATGAAAAGAAACTTGATTCTAATAATTAATGATCTCATCCCCAAAGACCTCATCAAACCACGCAACATTTTCCATACAATTAATCATACCAAACTACAATCATCCTTCAAAACCCAACTCCTTCTTTCCAAAACCTATCCTTTCAAAACCGACTAATCCATCCCTTCAAAGCTTTTCGACTAGGTTCAGATGCCACTCTTAATCCAGTTTGTAATGGTACCCAATCTTTAGAATAACATTTAATTAATTCTTCATCAATCAACTTCGATAATCTATCTTTCTTTACATCTTTTTCTAATTTATTAATACACTAAATAATTTTTCCAAATTCGAACACATTTGTATCAGTGTTTTTTCTTGGAAATTATTTCATTCTTACTTGACTTTTTTGGTTTTGTTTTGGAAAATGATGAGACAAAGAAACTTAACTAGTTTAAGTCCAATGGCTGCTCTTCTTACTGGTCCACCACTTTGATGCATCTGAAATTTTTTCACTCAATTCGATCACTCTTAAATAAGTTTGATAAGCCCTACAGAAATGATGAAATCAGATTTGATAGACAATCAACTTGTAGCAAACACCAAAGTATGACGATCACCCTTACAATTCAAAATGTCCAGCTGTATAAGCTGTTTCGGCATACCGAAGTAAATGAAATGTGTTATCAGGTTGAAGAATGATTAAATCTTCTAGCGCACTTAAAGCTTGATCATACCTACGAAAAAAACAAAGGCATAGATGAAGGCGATCAACTTGACTAGAAAGAAATCCGATCAAGCTTGCGAAAAAGAAAGAAACCTTACAATCCTAAAGTACAATATGTCTCGGCTAACTGGATCCAACTTTCGGGATCGGAATAAACGGTATCAAGATGTTGAACTAAAAGATTGATGGCTTCTTTTAATGAAAAGATAGAATCTTCAGTTTGATCTTTAATTGGTTTTCCAGTGTTTTGATTCACTAATTCTGGTAAAGGAGAATTATGCAAGTGTAAGGCGATCAATCGTTTTCTAATTCGCTTTGAAGATCATTCAAGAAATTCAACTTATTAAATTCATCAAGATCTCATAACATTAAAAGGTTTTTGGAAAATGTGAAGAAAAAACCGAAACTTACAAGATTAGTTTCACCTGTGTTACCTTGAGAAGATGATTTCGAATCGATCGGTTTCTTCAACTCGATCTCATAAAACTCTTTAGCTAATTCGAATTCTTGATTACATTCCAATAACATTCCATGTAAAACTAAACATCTTGGTGATCCTGGAAACCTCTTTTCTAATCGATCTATAGAACTCTTAAGAAACCCACATTCCAAAAGAAGAGAAAAGAAAAAAAAACATTCTATCAAAATTCAGTGTGGGTTTTTTTCTTGGTAAGTATGGGATGGATCAAACCTTTGCAAGTTCTTGGTCTTTAACATCTAATGCAGCAATCGCAACTTGTTCATAAAAATCCCACACTACATTTCCATTTCCATTTCCAAACCATTCCCAAAAAAAACCAAACCAAAAAAAAATCAATAAGATATTCTTGACAATCATAATCATCAATCAATCAATCAACTTACAATCTTCACCAAGGTAACGATGAGCATCTTCATACCCAATCCGTTCTACTAACTCAATCACTCTAATACTATTACGAATTCCTGATTCTCTTATAGATTTAAGTTCCTTGATTGTTTCTGTAATCGAGATTTGTGTCATCTTGGTTTCGCTGTTTGATTGGGTTTCAATTATGACGAGTGTCCTTCAGATTGGGACATGTACGCATAATAGTAAAACCCATACTCAACTCTTGGTTCCTTCACCTTGCTCATGGGTTATGGGAGGTAATCTTCATTCTTTAAAATCAACTGGACTCAAGCTTTATATATCCTCTTTCTCTCAACTTCACCCAAACCAAAAATCCAAACCAAGTAGTGTAACAAGTTAGAAACATCTTATATGTTAAAATTGCAAATCATTCCCATCAAACATCACAAGTCTCCTCACCAAAAAAATAAAATAAAAAAGAAAAAAAAAAAGAAAAAAAAAATCCATACATCTTGTCCATTTCAAATCTTTCCATTCTTTTTTCTTCACCTATATATATATATATATTGTAAATATGTTAAATCTCTCATTTTAATGAAGAATTAAAATCAGAGTCAGAGAAAAAACCAAAACCAAAACCAAAATGGAAAAAATAAAAGAAAGAGAATCATAAATCTATGTTTTTTTAAAAAGTAAAACTGTGTTAGTGTATATAAGAAAAGAATCAACAAAAAATTATATGTATATATAATAATAATGATGATCAAAAAAAGAAAAGATTGATTGAGATTGATTGATTGATTGATTGATTGATTGATTGATTGATTGATTGATTGATTGATTGAGATTGATTGATTGATTGATTGATTGATTGATTGATTGATTGAGATTGATTGATTGATTGATTGATTGATTGAGATTGATTGATAGATAGATAGATTGATTGAGATTGATTGATTGATTGATTGATTGAAATTGATAGATAGATTGATTGATTGATTTTTTTTGTAAGATTTTCTATATTTAATGAAATGATATATATAAAGCAAAATGATTCATCATCATCATCATGAACAAAAAAAGGCAAATGAAAAAATGAGGAAAAAAATGAAGGAAAAAAATCTTAGCTACACATATATTTATCTTGATATTATATTTATAAAATTAATTATAATACACAAAAAAGAAAAAAGTTAAGAGACTGCTATTTGGAAAAAAATAAACTAAATCGGATATAAAAAAACCCTACACAAACCCACATCCAGAAAAGAAGCAAACAAAAAGCCATCCAAAGAAAGACAAATCCAAGTGAAGTGATTGTCATCAAGTTTCATTTGGAGAAATGATGGAATTTGAATTTTCCGGATTCACAACTCTAAGAGCTTGACGAGGCACAAGTCTAGTCGAAAACTGAGGTTCGAATCCTTCAGTATCATGTTCCGGATCATCCGAAGCCGCCGGATAATACTGATGAAACAAATGTTGTGACATCTCTTCACGAGATCCAATCGATCCTCCCATCATTCCTCCACTCATCGCTCCACCTAAATCAGATCCGAAATAAGAGGTTGAAATCACTCGATCTGGATTAGGTGAACTTGATGAGTTCATCTTTTCTCTTTCTAAGATCTCTAATCTTTCTCGAATCCGTTTTTGATGTTGACGTCTTCTTAGTAAAAGTAAAATTAATAAGATTATAAAGATTCCTACAATCGTACCTAAGACACCTCCTACAATCGATCCAAGTTTGGATGAACTCGAATTGGATGATTTATACTTGGTGGTCATATCTTTATCTTTAGATCCATCACCACCAATACAAGAACCTGCACTACTAGTTGAATATCCAATTCCTGTACCACCTAATATACTTGCAAATCGATCGGGTGTTCGATAAGGTAAACCTGGTTTATAACTACTTTGCCATGACAAACTTGTAGTATCAAAGACATAAACCGATTGACTAGAAAAAACGATCAAACCAAAGAGATGTTTAGTCAATCTTAAGGGTACTTTGAGAGTTGGATGTGGAATCAAACTAAACCTATCACATAGCAAATCACTCGCAACGTATCCACCAATTACAATCATTTGGGATCCAATCAAATCACATGTATGACCAGCTCTTGCAGAAGGTTGCGAGTTTAGACGGTCTCCTACAAATGTCCAAACAAAACCAGGAATAGAAAGAACATAAAGATCTGTACTTTGAGACGATCCATTCACAATCTATTCCAACATCAGCCAAAAGAGCCATATACGTCAGTGGTGTCAGTGACCAATTATAAGGATGGTTTTCAAGAGGATCCTAACCTGGCCACCATAAACAAAGATCTGATGTTGTGGTACTCCATTCACTTTGGCAGTCCCTCTGACTGCACAATGATTAACACGTGGAGGTGGAATATCTCCTTGAGTAGCTTGTTTCACCCAACTTTTAGTTTCAAGATCAAAAACATCAAGTGCAGAGTTATCAATACTTCGATTAGCTGATAGCCAGGAAAGGTATCATCGGTGTAAGTCTGAGCTGATTGACTGATAAATTAATTGAGATCATCCTTCCAAAACACTTACAGTTTTGGGTGGTAGACTGAAAGTTTTGTCCACCTCCTATGGAAACTAATGCACCTTTTGCATTGGTACCGATAGAAGGTACATAGGTTAATGTACCATCTGCCCTAATGGTAGGAGAAGTTTCGGTAGTTGCGTTATTGAATCCCGAAACGGAAGATGGTGCAAACTGAGAGATGCGAAGAGATGATATCATGAGATTGAGATTGAGATGTGATTCAATCAAGATGTGGCGGTATTCGATGAATGATGGTATTTGATGTTATTCGACGATGGGTGGTAGTGATGGTATTGAATGGTGTGGTAATATTCGATGGTACAAGATAACAAGTGATCCAATAAAAGAAATCAACAAATCAGTCAACCTTCATTCAATCAAACCAAACCCATCTCATCAATCACTCACACTCGAATAATTTTTCCAACTCAATGAACCTAAATCCAATTCGATAATCGAATCCAAAAAGACTCTAGGTGTCGAATTACTCCAATTCGGTACACTTGCCCAATCCAAATGACCACCAAAATAATAAGCCAAATGATTTGATCCACTACCCAAGTTAGGTACTAATGCACTGGCTCCTTCACTGGCTCTTAAAACCGATTCTCCATTCGTATTAATCGAATTCCAACTCATGAGTGAAAGATCAAATTTATATGTATTGGTCGGTCCAGGTAAGATTGAAGGATTATCTGCAAATTGTCCTCCCCATTGGTATAGAGATTGACCATCGTTTGAAGCCCAAAGTGATCCTAATGAAACAGCAGGAGGAGAATAAGGATTCGAATTGTCTTTGATGATTAGGTTTAGTGCAGGTGAACCAGCGTTCCAAGGTTTGGTGAGATCTAAGGATAATAAAGCATTTGTCCAAGTATGAGTAGTTTGATCAGGTGATGATTTGATTTGACCACCTTGAATCCAAAGAGTAGCGTTTAGATTATTGAAATTGAAATCGGATGAAATAGTGGTTGAGATTGTAGTTTGTTGAGCCCACCTTTGACAAGGTAATGGTTGAGATTGAGCATTGACGTTTAAGTTTAAAGTCAAGAGTAATAAAGTAGTTGAGATGATTAGATTAAAGAAGTGATATTTTGAAGTTGAAGTTGATATTGATTTTGAATTGAATGATTGTGAAGTTGAATTTGATGATATTCTTTTGATGATGATGAAGATGATAGATTGATGATGATGATGATGATAGATTGAAGTCATTTCTTGATGAAGTCTATAATAAAGATAGTTAACTGATGACTGATGACTGATGACTGAGACTGATACTGAAATGAACAAACTGATTTAAATTCAATTCATATTTCATTCAACATTACTCTTAAGTACTAATCTTTAAGTACTTGACTAATTTCAAATTCAAATTCAAATCCATCACTTTATCCAAGTTGAGCAATTCATCAACCATGAAGCACACTCACACTCACACTCACACTCATTCCATTCAATATCTCTACCAATCCTCATCTTTCTTAGTACCATCACAAACACCTTTCCTAGGATCAAATGGTGAAAATCATCAGAATAAGTATCTTTTGATGATACAATTTTCACAGAAATAAAGGGGATCAGATATTCAAAGATAGATAGATTGAATTCACGAAAAACTGAAGATAGAGCACTATCTGACATGGTCTGGTGTCACTGTCACTGATCTGCATATGTAGTGGTAATACGATGTGTGTATGGTGAACTTTACAACTCCTACTCTGGCTCCAGTTGGCCCGGGATTTGAAACATTCCAATTGAATCTAAGGGTACCATAGCAACTCACACAAAATAAAGCCGATCAATCTTGTCCCTCAACTTGGTTCAATGGATGGTAAGAAGCCTAAGACCCCCAAAAAAACACAAAAAGAAACCAAAAGATCAAGATGAGATAAACCATCTGTAGTTTCTAAAAAAAACAATACAAGACTAAACCTGATTCTTTATGATGGATCAGAAACCCATCTAATCCTATAAAATCTCAAATGATAAATCACCAACGTATCCTATCCAAACCATCAAACCAACCGTTGAAAAAATCATTGCAAGAGTTCTCTAAATAGATCATGTAAAGTCTAAGAAAAAAAATCATGAAAAAAAATGAAAAAGAACCTTGCACCAATCCAACACTTCACAAACAAACACAAACAGTTTATATCTATCTAATTTCAATTCACTATCTTAATCACATTTTCTTTCTATCATTTCTTGGCATATCTTTCATCATAAAAACAATCAAAAAAGTTTTGGTTTGATTTTATTCAATTAAATTTTTACGTTTAAAGAATCTACGTAAATACCAAATTTGCCAAAGACCAGAAGAAAACAAAACAGTAATCGTCACGATTGCAAACCTATTAATTCTCCAATTAGTAGATTCTATTTCCACAAAAAGAGAGCAAAAAAAAACACCCAATCAATTAATCAAAAAGCAAAAAAAAAACAAAGGAAGAAGAAAAAGAAAGACTTTGAAGAATGAGAAAACGTACCATTAGTATCTCTCATCTTAGCTTCACGTCTCTTAAGATAATTTAATTCTTCCACAATTTCCCGAATGATGCCTTCCAACTTTCTCATCTCGACTTCTAATCCAGATAAAGATTCAGCCTTAGCAATCGCATTATAATCTACTGCATCAGCTCCAATATCAACATCTAAATCAATAGTTCTTTTCAATGGTAATCTAGAATACTCTACACCTATTTCCCCAAAAAAAACACAAATGATTAGAGACTGGATGTTTTTTTTTGGAGGGGAGGGGGGAAATGTTACATACTTCGGGAAAGTGTGTTGGTGAAACATACTCCTAGATCTGCATCGTTGTGTGTGGTGATAGCTATTCTGGTCTCACCATTGATCCCTTTTTTACTTTGATAAATGTTTCGATGAACCGATCCATCAACGATTTCTAAATCCATACTTTGAAATTCATCACTCGCTTCAATATTAGTTGAAATCACTACCTATTCAATCCAAATGAAAAACTCATTAACACTTTTTAGATGAAATTTATGAGCGGATGGCTTACTAATGTATCAGCCATTGCGTAGTACCAAATACATCGACTTTTTGTAGAGTTTGTACCAAGAATAATCAACAGATTCGGTTAGCTTTTTTTTTGCAGATAGATTGGGTTGAACTTGGAGAAAGGGGACGTTTATCACATACGGTGTAGGTACAAATTCAGCCATTAAATCAAATTTAATACATTGGATTTGATGGATCATTATACCTATCCAAAAACCTATCATACATAACATTTTCTTCATTTTTTTCCTTTCGTTTGGTTGGGTTTTGTTCCTGATTTGTTTCTGAGTTTGTGATGATGATTTTAATGATTGAGTGTTTTGCAAGTTTTTTTTCGGGTTTCGGTTTCTTTTCGAGTTTCAGATGGATTTGAATGTGGTTTTCTTGAATTCTAGATTAATTCTTCTATGCTTGTTGATGATATTGAGATACTTGTTGATTGATGATTGCTGATAAGATGGAGAGTCGAAATTGTTGAAGGATAAAGTGGATTCGATCGGTTGGTTAAAATTACATATGTGACGTGTCATCAATTCATGTGACATTGATCCGACCCGCTCTATCTCGGACACCAAGCTCAACTGACTCGTCTCTCGAGTACAAACTCTTGCTCACATTTTTGTTGATTGAACTCGACTCAACTCAATTTTAACGCGATTTTGACACAAATGATATATTATTCAGAGTCTTTTGAAAAGAAAAAACGTATGTAACGCTATTTACATTTTTGAGGATAAAAAGAAATCAAAATCAAGAAGAAAGTATCCATTCAAATCAAACCATCCAAGGAAGAAAAAGTTATAAAAAAAACGAAATCCAAAGAAAGCGCGATTTCTCAAACTTTTCAAATTTTCATTCATTCCTTCAACAAGGATTCTTGTTCTTCAGCAAGTTTACACAACTTTCCAAACACTTCATCCAAGACTTCTCCCACCTGTTTACTAAACGTTTGTACTCCTTTCACAAACCTAGGTGTATTTGAAGCCGAGGTCATTAATTCTTGAAACTTGATTCCGATTTGATATTCAGTGACCAATCTTGCATCTTGAATCATTTCAACTGTATAATTTGAATCTTTTGATAAAACACTTAGAGCGTGTTCCCATACGGTTGTAGAGAATGTGATAGGGTCAGATAAGGTGATCTTGTCGAATCGGTTCAGACGCGTCATTGGGTCTTCTACGCTTGGTTTGGCTGGTTCGGGTTGGATGTTGGTGGTACTTGTGGATGGTGAGGTTTCGGGAGTACTCGAGTTCAAATCTGGACTAGATCCATTCGTAGGTTCCTTGCTAGTCGAAGCAGAATTCAAATTTGGACTCGATTCATCCGTAGGTTCTTTGCTAGTCGGAGCAGGTTGAACAGTGGCCATTTTAACAAGAAGTTTCAAACCTATGATCATCACCAGGAAAGGACATCACAGGTTAAGATTAAGTTTCATATGATGAGAAAGAAAGCAAATTCTACTGACTACTATCATTGGTAAATGAATGACAATGTTTTTCTAACCATTGAGCAAGTTTAATCGGATCAAATGCCAAAGTACTCCCGACTTCGAATTCACGTTTTTCAAAAAACTCAGTAGTCGAAATCTTAGGAAGAGTAGTACTAGTGCTTTGACCTGAACTTGATGTAACACCAGGTGTGGCGGTTGAAAAGGCAGAAGGTTTTCCAAAGCTTGAAGTAAAACCAGGAACAGTAGACTGATGAGCAAAAGTAAAAGTCTTAGGGTCAGAAGGAATTGAGTCAGATTGATTTTTTCGATGATGTTTGAATCTTAATTCTTCTGGACTCCAATAAGAATAAGAATCCATAGCAGAGATAGAATTGAATTGCTCGGGTGGTGCTCCGTTTGGATAGGTAACTGGAATGATTGGAGCTTGGTAGGAAGGAGGATGGATCGGAATAGGATAAGTTGAAGGACTAACAGAACTGGGGGGTGTTGTTTCTTTGGGAATCGAATTGGAAGTTGAAAAAGGTGTAGAAAATTTAGCTAGAAGTATATGAAAGGTCAATACGAATTGAAAAAAAGAAGAAACACAACAGTGATCATGAGATGAAGCTTACCAGGAGAAGTGCCGAATAAAGGTTTGGGTTCAGAGACTGGAGCTGCAAAGAGTGAAGAAGTGTAAGAAGTTGAAGTTGATTTGAAAGACGGTAAGTCAGTTTGATCCCCAGCATAAGCTGTGTGTGGTGTTTGAGAGAATCAGATGAGTTTGGAGAAAAGGTAGAATAGGTAAAGCTGTTTGGCTTACCTCCAAAACCAGGAGAGTTGACTGCACCAAAGACGGTTTTCTTTTGAGACATTCTGAAGAAAAGTCTTTTGGAGTGATGAGATTTTGATTTGATATGTGGATTGAGCTCAAAGTTTCAAATAATGAGGAGAACTTTGAGGATTTGTTGAAGTGAAGGGACGCAAAATTTTGTGATGAGTGTGATGATTTATAAAATGATGCAGCTTGCACAAAATAAAAAATAAACCAGTTCAGATTACAAATACTCAGATTCACTATAAGCATTTATCTTTTTATTCAATCTTGACTAGTCTGAACGAACTTGAACCCTTTTTAATCTTGCATATGCTGCTGCATCATCACATCACATCAAAGGACCCTTTCAGACTTTTCAAGCTAGCCCATCAAACACGTCAATTCAACTGAGTCCAAAAAACAACAAAGGGTCCTCACCAAATTAATCAACTTTCATATTTCAAGAAAACAATGGGACTCATTTTAGCTGACTTGATGGTCGGTCTCAACTTGAATCTCACTTTGTTCTACATCTTTAACCATTCATTCAACTCTCTTTGAATCGGTTTGCTTTTCTATCATACGGCACGGGCATACCGTGTTCATAACAAATCGGACCTCAACAAAATTGATGTTGACTATAGCCTAAGCCAGAAACACACGCGTTCTTCATCGATTGGTACTCAAAAGACGCGTCGTTTCTTAAGATAAACGCGCCATTGATCTATCACACTTCAGCAAGTTCCCTTTCAACATCTCAACAACGCTGAGTTGTTAACAATGCGGTTGATCTTTTACGAACTGATCAGTCACTGGGGAATCTGGGAGTATGACTAATACATGGTCCAAGACCAAGATTTATCAAAGAATCACCCGATGTTCCATTGCATCTCAACAATGACGCAGTCTGACGCGTTATTTGAGTATATACTCAAAAAAGACGCGCCATTGACTTACCCACACCTACGCGTGATGGTTGTGAAACTAAAGCTTTGAATGATTATGAATGAAACCATGCAAGATTTCTCCAAAAAGCAAACCAGACTCAAGTATCTTGATGATTGCTTTGTATTGGGTTGTTTATATTCAATTTACATTGAGATATCTATCAAAGAAATGAGAAAAATCAAATCTTACATGAAAATTGGATTGAATCATCAATTGAATTTGATACACTTGGTAAGCTTGCAAGGTTCACCACCCTCACCTCCACCAAACATTTCCGGTCCTCCTCCCATGCTCATCATTTGACAATCCAATTTATCTTCTGCTGGTCTTTGTTTTGAAAACCTAATCAATCATAAGGGAGAAAAAACTCTATGGAGAACAAAATCTTTATGGTTAGATATTTGAGAAAGAAAATTTCCTGGTGTAAAAGGAGGAAGATCAGATTAACTTGATTGAAGGTGAAATGGCTTTTCTTCACTTCTTTGAAAGACTTTGTCATTTTCATTTACTCTGTTTGATAAAGGGATTCCATTAAAAGCATCAAATAATGTGGTGATGATTAAAGTAAAAGGAATGAAACAAGGTGTGATATAAGACATCAAATTGGTTGGGTATTGAATTAGTTTTTGAAGTACAAGAAGTAATTTTACAATTCAAAATAGAAATAAATAAAAAGTTGATGGAAACTTAATGATTCATAAAGGTGTTTTAATATATACTAAATGCTGTCAAATCACAAGGGAACCTATATATGGATGGATATATGAGATAGATGTAAGTTATGACGGGTTTGATTGGAATAAGATGTTGAAAAATGTTTGTAGTCTAATGAGAAAGGCTTGATATCTATATAGCAAAATCTATACTCTAATGTTGTCTTTGAAACTGTAGAGGCCAAAGGCAAGAGTGACACAGGCACAACTTTCTGTTGACGCATCAAGATGGCCATGGAGGATCATTTTGCTTACTTGACTATTGCTTCTTGCCAGATTGATAATATCCAAAACCCTGTTCATTTTTAGGGAATCTCAAGATGAAACAGAATTGGAATTTTGGAGCATTTCTTATCTCAAGACTCTCAGCAACTGACCACTGACTCATGAATTGGATCTCTCTCATTGTACTTTGACACCCTGTTGCTCAATGAACAGTTATACCTTGACTAATTTGTGTAAGCGAGTCAATTGGATTTAATGGCATGGAGTAAACCTTTGGTGTAAACATCAACAGTTAAGTCTAAGACAAAAAGCCAATTGAAACCACCTGTTCACCTTCACATGGCTTAAACTTCAATACCTGGAATAGGCTGGATCATGTAGTAGGTCTTTTGCCTTGATAGATTTGATCATGATGAAAGTTACTTGGTATATGTACCAATGTTCAATAGAACCTTGCTCTTTCAGCTGTAGGTCCATTCAAGATGAATGTAAAAAACTGGACAGAAAGCCTCACATCCATATTTAAACATGTAGCTGGCCTTTGCAGATAGTCAATTGGAGACTGATTTGCTTATAAATCCTCTCTCATTTGACCACAAAGACTTCTCAAAGTCATCATTCTTATATCTCTATCAAACCCATCCTAACCTATATCATAGCCATATATATATTTCCTTTGGATTGATCATCAAGTATATCGTTAAAAAACGTTTTTATAAATCACGTATTTTTCTTCTTCTCTTTCAAATTGTAGAATCACATCTTGAAATTCATGAGAAACTATTTCAAAACCCAACCAAGATGATGTCTCATATTACGCCTTGTTTCATATATTACTCTTACTCTAATCATCACCATATTATTTGGAGCTTTTGATGGAATTCTTTTATGAAATCGAGCAGATCAGAATGATAAAGGCATTCAAAGAAGTGAAGAAACACCATTGATCACTTCACCTTTATCAAGTCAATCTGACATTCGTCCTTTTACTCCTGCGAGCTTTCTTTTCCAAATATCAAACCATGAAGAATTGTTTTTATCATTAGGTTTTTTCACCGGTATTATTTATTAGCTTTGAAAAGAAAGAACAGTAGGAAAAAAATTGGATCATCAAATGATGAGTATGGGAGGAGGACCCAAGAAAATGCCTGGTGGAGATGGGGGTGGTGGACCTTGGCAGCGTTCTAAATGAATCAAATTCAATTCACAAGGATTAAAAATATTTTCATGTAAGACTCACTTTTTCTCATTTCTTACATAGAAATACCAATGTAAATTCAATGTAAATAATCAAAGCTATAGCAATCATAAAGGTCACCTATCCAATGTGTTTTGGTTTCAACAATATCTTGAGTTGACTCATTGCCAATCATTCAAAGCATTTTGAGAGTCCATTCTGATGCCAGGTAATAAAATCCCCACGAATTACCACCACTTTGTCAACACTTGGGAGTCATCCCGGTAGCTTTCAAGATTACCATTGTATGACATTTACACATCATTTGCGTTGAACTCAGCGCCTCATAGCTCTCATAGTTCCTTCACCGTATCACGTCAGGAATTTGAATGGGTCCGTATGAGATATTTATTGAGATCTTGGGGACCATCAAGAACCCATCTAATGCTGCTATAAGTATAAAATGGACCTGAATGGCCCTTTTGATTGGGGTTCTATCCGTCACCGCCCGCGGGGCTGCTATGTACCGCCCCCGAGCTTTGTGACTTGATCTGGTCAAACGGGAAACTTCAAAGTTCAGACATCAACTCTCATCAGTTTGTTATCTATAAGCTCAATCACCAACGTTTCCAATGCTCATAACTCAAAAAGTTATTTATCCGATGTCCTATCTACCAGCCCAACAACCTCTTATCAATAGCGAGCTTTCAAGCTTAGAGACCGAGATTCGATTAAGCGTAAAGATGTGATCGATTCCACGCTGAGATGCCTTCAACCTTGATCTCACCTCGGTCGATCATGGGTTTCATTCAAGAAATACTTCGAGCCGACAATTCATTTTCTCATTTATTCCTCAATTCCACTTCAGCAGGCTGATCGATAGTATTCCAATTAAATTTCAATTAAACCAAATCCTGGGATAGAAGTTTTTTGAATACTGATTCTCACTGTTGAGCTTTCACCAATCTTTGGTTGTACACACTCTGCAATTGAACCTCAAAGCGATCGGAAGAGAATTTTCAAGTTACTATCTTACCTATTAAAAATGGAAATCTGTCTCAAGAACTTTAAGAACATTTCTTCAAGACGGACGAAGCAAAGAGCAATCCTTTTACTTTTCTTTTGTCTGTCTCTCTCGCCTTCAGCTCGTTCAAATCCGATTCCAGACTTGGCATCTAGTATTGTAGAACCTACCGTCCCGGACTTTGATTCATCATTAGGAAGCGATCTTACTTCTAAATCAACCATTAACCAGGACGACGGGTTGAGGAAACCTTTTTATCAAGCTGGCCAAACTTCTGTAAGAGCGAGTGCGAGCAACTCAACAACCTCCACAGCGCTTCCTACCAGTACCAATCCACCTCCAGCGGCTCCTGCTGCAAATCCATCTCCAGTGGCTCCCGGAAATGCAAACCCGGCGATAACCCAATCTCCCAACAATTCACCTAATTCGCCACCTGGTTCCCCACCTATACATTCTGATGACGACGAAGATGGAAGTGGTTTATCGTCTGGTGCTATCGCAGCCATCGTGATCTCTTCAAGTAAGTGCTTTTGAAAGCGGATTTCTTAGTAACATCAAACATGATATCACTGAACGTAAACTGATTAATTTCATGATTACGAATTCATCGATTAATAAAGTCATCGGATTCCTTCTCATCTTGTCTGTTCTTGCGATGAGTCTTCGAGGAATTGAACATTCGATTGCAGAAGAGAAAGAGCGGAAAAGAGCTAAAGCATCAAGACAATCACAAAGATTAAATCCAACTCCTGTGGTTCCTGTTGTTGTTGATTCTGAACCTCAAACTCGAGAAGTAACTCGAGAAGTATAGATCGGATTTAAACTGAAACATTGTAAATAATATCACAAACCATCATCTTTCTTTACTTGATTGTAGATAAATCTCAACTTATTTTAAGCCTTCATCTTTGGTTTGACTTTTTCTCATGACAAGAAGTCTTTGTACTCTGCTTTTCGTCGATGTTTCTTGGGGCATGATTCAAAATGAATCTGATTAAGAAAATATGATGTCAACTATTTAAAATAAAAGCTCGAATTACCAGCTCAAACTGGGTGTCAAAACGCACAGTGAGATCTTGGCCTGAAGTTCATGATGATATTGAACTTATTTGAGAGCCTACGACTTGACCAATGCACTGTCAATGTCCTAAGAGAGCCGGCTCTGTTTGTGGTTCAAGATGAAGAACAGTGTGATCGGGGCGGGTACTGCTGGCCCTGTTACCCGAGTATGTAGGAGTATCACGGGAAAGTGTTTTTGATTGGATGAGGTTTTTGAGTTTTATTTCAAAAAGCTGATCTCGACTTTAACCCTTCAACTCAGTCATCTTCTTTCTCCAGAACAAGAACACTCTTCCCATTCAGATCATCATCATCATCAAAACTTGAATCGATCAAGCAACCATCAAATCAAGACTTACTGTCACTTCGATCGATCGATCTCAAACCATTTATCGAAACTACGAACACGCCGTGAATTACTCCCTTTAACTTCGCAGCCATGTTTGGCGCGTCCAACAATAGCTTTGGTGGCTTTGGCACTAACAATCAACAATCACAACAACCTCAAACCGGAGGAATATTTGGTGCTGCTCAGCCTGCAGCCGGTGGTTTTAATGGTTTATATACTTCTTTTATATTCTACCAACATACGGGTTTACTTACGTATATCGCATTTAGCTTTTGGTCAACCACAACAGCAGGCCGCGGCTCCTACCCCATTCGGACAACCCGCATCCACAGGATTTGGTGCCAGTTGAGTTAGGATGTCATCTGACCCCGATCAGTTTATCGTTTAGATGTACCTTGAAGTCCGCAAAACCTGACAGTCTCTTTTTCACCTACTAGACACTTTCGGCGCCTCTACTTCAGCTAGTCCCTTTGGTGCTGCTCCTGCCGCTTCCAATGCTTTCGGACAGCCACAACAAAATCCTTCGAACCTTTTCGGGGCACCAGCTCAAACCCAACCCGCTGCATCCTCAAGCTTCGGTGGCTTCGGAGGTTTGTGGTGTCTTATCTTATTTCATTTTTTGTCAAGATACTGATCCGTCGTTTGACTTTGACTTTCCAATCTAGCTCCAGCTGCTTCGACCACCTTTGGAGGATTTGGGACTGCCGCACCCGCTGCCAACAACGCCAATACCGGTACTGGTCTCTTCGGTGCCAAACCTGCGGCCACTAACACGTTTGGTGCTGCTACTACGGGGTTCGGTAGCACATTTGGTCAGACTGGTATGTAGAATCAACATGATCATTATCTATCATGTCTTTCTGACATCATTCTTGTAGCCACACCATCTCCGTTTGGCGCGACGAATCCGGTAGCAGCGCAAAATGGGACGGCCAACCCTTTGTATGCTCCTCATACCATGGTGGAAAATGAATCGACGCCAAGTCAGAAATCTACCTTTAACTCCATTGTGGCCATGGACGCTTATAAGAATTGGAGTTTTGAAGAGTTGAGGTTCCAAGATTATACACAGGGTCGTAAAACCGCTGTCCCAACAAACACTTTGGGCGGCGCGTTCGGTGCTCAACAACCACAGCAGCAGCAAACTGGCTTCGGTGGATTCAATGCCACAGCCAACACAAATCAAGCCGGTGGATTCAATCAACCGCAACAACAAACTGGTCTATTTGGGAACACCGCTCCAGCTGGTAATGCCTTTGGTACACAGGCACCCACCAACAATATCTTTGGGCAACCAGCGGCTGCGACTACGAACACTTTTGGCCAAGCGCAAAGTAGGTTTTCCGCTTCCTGGCATGATTTCCTTGCTTATCATATTGCGAATCTTAACGCGAGTTTTTTCTTCATAGACACCACCAACAGTCCCTTCGGTGCCCCGGCCGCGCAACCTTCCAATGCATTTGGGGGTAATTCTCTCTTCAACTCCAATCCTACTTCGAATGCTTTTGGAACTCAGCCTGCAAAACCCAGTATATTTGGGAATACGAACACCACCTTTGGAGGAGCTGCTCCGGCTCCTGCCACGAACAATCTCTTTGGCCAAAATACCACTCAACCTCAAGGTGGGCTTTTCGGAGCGCAGACCAACCAAAGCCAACCATCGACTGGCCTTTTTGGACAAACCAACAATACGAATACTGGTACCACTGGCTTGTTCGGTGCGTCAATCTTTCATGTTTATCTTCGCTTCTCCCGCGCATGTCTGCGAATGTGAACTTACAGATAGTATCCTTTTTTTGTTCGATAGGTGCCAATAACACTCAAAACACGGCGGCCAAGCCCGGTGGGCTTTTCGGCTCTACTGGTCAGACCAACTCGCCATTTGGACAGCCGCAAGCAAATCAGGGAGCCGCTGCCAACCCGTTCGGATTCGGGCAAAACAATCAGCAACCCGCTCAAACTGGTACTGGTGGTTTGTTTGGCAACAATGCGCAACCTGCGCAAAACTCTGGAGGTGGCTTATTCGGCAATAACAATAATGCTCAACAACAGCAACAGCCTGCGCAGTCTGGCGGATTGTTCGGCAATACTGGAACCAACAACAACAATCTATTCGGAGCTCCTTCCGGTGGCTTATTTGGAAACAATAATAATAACAATAATAATAATAACAACAATGCAGCCGGTGGTCTCTTTGGGCAGAAACCCCTCACTAACAACAGCAATTCGCTATTTGGTAATAAGCCTGCAACCCAGCAGAACACGAACAACTTTTCGAACCCGACGGGCGGGGGGCTCTTTGGTTCCTCGCAAGCTACCCCCGGATTTTCCTTTGGTAACAACAACAACAACAATAGTAGCTTATTCGGATCTACGAATGGACTACAAAACAGTCAACAAGGTGCATCAAACGGTCTCTTCCAAAGTCAGCAAAGCAATCAACCGATGCTACAGGCCCACATAGATCAAGGTGCATACGGCAATAATCCTATCTTTGCCAATCATGGAAACTCTGGCGGATCTAGGCCCGCCATCCCCATCAAGAAAACCCTACCGACGATCGACTTCAAGCCAATCCCTCGTCCTAATACGAAAATCACCAAACTCAGAGGTTTTGCTCGTTCGACTAGTCCTGCCAAGAGTATCAACAGCGGTAGTCCTATGGCTGCTTCTCATAGCTCTTCCAATATGGCATCTACAGTCTCGCGCTCCTCAGCCTATGGTCGTCCGGCTGAAGAAACACTTTTGAGTCCGAAGGCGTTTATAGTTAGACCCAGCCCTAAAAAACTCACCATAGATCCCAATACACTTTTCTCCATGCTCCGTGATCGAAGTGCGACTCTCAATGGATCTCCTGGGCCTATCGGTAGCACTCCACCTCCCAGGAACCCCGCGAAATCGAACAACCCGCCTGTTTTTGATCCCGATGCTGAAGCTGCGGCTCATCAAACGTTTTCAAGAAACTATCATGCCGCTCACACTTCACAATCTGTCGCCGACAAATCCGGTCATCATTCAAAGGCAGCTGGTACACCAATGACAAATAAATCACCTACCCATACCATCAACTCTCAAACAAATTCGCCTCGTGTAGACAAAAGCGTGCCGTTAGACGGCTCCTCTGCTCTTGGAGATACTATTGTAGTGACGACTAAAGAGAAAGCCAAAGCGGGTGAATACTGGACGGTCCCTGCCATACATGATCTTCAACTTCTGAGTCGCAGGGATCTCAAGTCTGTTCCCAACTTTTTAGTCGGCCGAAAAGGATTCGGTCAAATTCAATTTCAAGAGGACGTCGATCTGACTGGCATACCTAATCTGGAAGATGACCTATGTGGCGAGGTCATTGTGTTCAAACAATCCCTTTGCAGTGTTTACCCAGACGACCCGCTGGACAAGCCTGCAGTAGGTGAAGGGCTCAATGTGCCTGCGGTCATCACTTTGGAAAATTGTTGGGCTTTAGATAAAGCTACGAGAGAGCCACTTAAAGATTCTTCTCATACCAGGGTCAAACAATTCACCAAGCGGCTAATGAAGAGTGAAGATACCAAATTTATCGAATATGACGCAAAAACTGGTCAGTGGACCTTCATGGTAGAACACTTCACCACTTACGGGATAGATGATAGCGAAGAAGACAGCGATGATGGTCATCCAGCAACTGGTGGCGACGAAGACACTGAAAACGATAGCCAGTTCACTTCTTCTGAGGATTCATCAGACCGACCCCAACAGAAAGCAGTCCGCTATAAAAGAGGCACAAGAACTGCGCCCGACAAAGGTATGATCTCAGAGGAAGAAGATGGCCCCCCTCAAATGATGCTATTTGGCGATGAAGACGAAGCTGAGCAGGAAGGTCGAGTGTTCGATGTATCTGAAGGCAGTGATCGATCAGAAGATGGCTCGCACGGTGACTCCACATCATGCATCACGGGAAGCGATGGGGATGATGTACCGATCAATCCGTTAGGGAAGAAACGACCACGCGAAGTCAGTGATTCGGCTGAGGACTCCCAATCAAACATGGAACCTCCTTCTCGGTCCCAAAATTGGAGAGCTCAACTCGGAATCGAGTCTAAGAAAGTAGCAGTCATGCAGGCTAGCTTGTTCGCCGGTCCAGCTCCCGTACATAAGCCGAAACCGGCTATGGTCGCACGCCCTCACTACGCAGAACGACATGCCGGTAACGTATCTCGACAAGCTTTGACTAATCCCAAGTCGCAGACTTTGAGCAAAGTCAATGACCACCAGATGGAAGATATTGTACGTTGCACTGCTTCTTCATGTTTCTTCGATGACTAAGTTGTTTCTTCTCGCTAGTCTTCGACCGCTCAGTATCCTTCCAAGACTATCGCACGCGATACAAATGTACTCAAGAAGCGTATCCCTGCCCCCAAGCGCTACTCTAAACAAATCCCTCTTTCCAAGTCCATTTTGTATGGTCACGAGGGATCATCGACCAATATCGCCTTGGCTCTGGCTCGATCATTTCGGATCTCTTGGAGTAATCGATCTGATCAATTGATCCACTTCAAGGACGGCCACATTGGTAATATGTTGAAGTCTGAGTTGTATGTTTATCACCTAATTATCATGTGTGAGTTTCGAAAGGAATACTGACCGTATCTGTTTGGCATGCGTCATTAGACCATCAGTCACTGGATCTGAGTTAACTCTAAGAACTGTTCCCACAAGCACATTTGCTCTGGTGTGTGATTGTTTTGTATTCTGACTGGTCATTGATCTTTTGCCTTCTCTTCCCAGCTATGTACACTGAATACCACTCTGTCTTCCTGTAACAGTCAAAAGAAATCGAGTCCGCAGAGTGTTTACTTCAAGTGCAACTTCGTAATACCAGTATCAACACCGAAGATGGCATTCCGGTCATGACTACCAACTCTCAGCTTCGGTTCCGACACTTTATTGCTGCACATGACAAGACTGATCGATCCAATGATTTGAATGTCTGGAGATTATGTTCAGCTTTGTACGACGAACTTGATTTACGTTTGCCCAAGGGAGCTGCACCCGAGGTCATTGAAAGGATAAAAAGTGTCAGAAGGGAAGACAGTTTTTCTCAATGGTTACAACGCACTGTCTTGTCTTCAGTAGAGCAGGATCTTCGATCTTCATCAGCCAGCGATGAAAGCAAAAGTCCTTTCCGTGGAATCTTCAAACTATTGACGGGTAACCAAATCGAAAGAGCTTGTAATGCGGCGATTCAAGCCAATAATTATCGACTTGCAACTCTACTTGCCCAATGTGGCCGTAGCGATCCGTCATTCAAGTCTGACATATTACAACAGAACATTGTATGGCATGAACTACGGACCGATGCTTACATCGATCGAGATCTACGAAAAATCTACGAGCTGATGTCTGGCAACGTCACTTTCTCTCGCGGATTTGGTAACAAATCCTTGCATGTTGATACTAGCGATGACATCAGGATTGCGGAACACTTGGACTGGAAACGTAATTTGGGGATTCACTTTTGGTTTCAGGCTTCTCATGTTAACTTTTGGTATGCAGTCAAGACTTATGAAGAAGCTTTCTCAAAGGACTCATTGGCCAGTCCACCTCTACCGTGGTATATCGAAAAGCAAGATCGAAGTTTGACTGATGATTCAACTCTTGAGTGGAAAATAAATTCACAAGAACCGATACATGATGCAATGTTTCATTTGATCAAGATGTTTGTAGACTCAACTTATGGTTTAGAAACTGTCTTGGAACCAAAAGGATTTGGACCTTCACCATTTGATTATCGTATGCCATGGCATCTTTATAATGTTTTGTCAAGAGTTATGAGAGTGAGGGATTTCGAAGACCGGGAGATTATTATTGGGGACATGGACGATGATGAGGGTGCTGTTGAAGGGAATAGTGCAACTGCTGATATCTTGACTACAAATTATGCATGCCAACTCAGTCGCTTAGGCTTGCATAAGTGGGCTGTCTTTATCTTACTTCACCTCGAAGTTCCAGAGCGGTAAGTTATCTTTTTTTGCATTGTTTTATAAATGTTCGCAAAGAATATTCACTGACTTGCCACACATGTTGATTTCAATAGTCGAAAGGCAGCCGTTGAAAACTTTCTCAGCAAGAACATACAATTGCTCGATGAAGAGACCGAAGCTTTCTTGAAAAAGACCCTCAAAATACCCTCGTGTTGGATATATACCGCTCGTGTGAGTCCCAAATGATTTTTTGGAAGGGAACAAACAACCTTTTTGTCCTATTACTAAATGCATTCACTACTCGATCTTTTGGATAACAGGCTGAGTTAGCTCAATACGAAAATCGTCTATATGATCAATACCGCTGGTTGATGAAAGCGGAAAAGTTTACGGATGCACATCGGGTGGTTGTAAATGAATTGGCACCAGAAGCAGTGATTAGAGGAGATCTTTCGGAGTTGAAGCGATTATTCGAAGGCTTGTCTTCTGACAATGTTGCCGATTGGCCTTCGGGAGGAAAGGTTTGTTGTTTGTGATTTTGTTGTAAAAGATTAGAATGAATCTTGAACTGATCCATTCTGTTTTGTAGATCTTTTTGGAGTATGTAAAGGTTGTTGAACAACTTCCTATCTTACTTAGGAAAACTGTTCAGGTTCCAATTCAATCAAATCATGAACTTAAGTTCTTGCTTGAATCTGTTTTACCGAACTTGTTACGAGAAATCCCATTGCTATATGATAGCAAGAATTTACGTGGAAGGGTTGGAAATGGTATGAAACAAGAAGTCAGTCATTTCAAATCTTGACGATTCCTCTTCGCTCTGTAGTTTCTAACGTTTATTAACTTTTGGAATTTCTTAGGTTTGCATGAATGAAATGATGTCCAACTTGACCAATACATCTACTTCGGTTTCATTGGTGATACATAAATATGATTATACGAATGATTTCATTAATTTAAGAGATTTACAAGAATCCGATAAGTTATTGTGGACTCAACGTTGTGCAGTCAATGGATTTGTTAAAGCTTTAAGACGTACTGGATCAGAAGTGATTTGATAGGGTTTTTTTTACAATAACACACCACAAAAAAAGATATTGTATGTGATGATGACAGATAGATACTTTTATAATAGGATTTGATTGTCAAAGTTTGCATTGTGTAAAAAGATATGGTTTGATTTCTTTCATGGAGTTGACTGATTCTCAATTTTTATCATCCTTTTGAGTTTTCTGATAAATCATGAAACCAGGCTGAGAGTATAAGTCAGATATGACAACCTCAGTACTTCTTGAACCTACAACTGACTTGCTGGAATGTAAAGTGATCTTATGAATGGATTTCTGAGCCAACGGAAGTGGTATGTCAATAACTGATCAGAATTGATGGAATTTGATCAACCTGCATCAAACTTCAATCCAACATATGATGATACTAATAGATATTTGGCATTCCGCCTGCACAAAGTTTGAACAAGGGATTATGAAGGTTGTGGGAGTACATGGTTGCCGCACATGCAGAAAGCTGAGCTTAGATAGCAAGACTGCCAATGTGACTTGTGTGTTATGCAACAATTTCTGGAATAGTCGCTAGGTTGGCGGATCCCAATTACATACTGGAACAGCAAAGGAGGGACGACTCTTTCCCTCCCAGTTCTTTTCTCTTTATGTGTATCTGGGTGCTCCAGATAGAAAGACGTAGTGAAATAGTGTCCAAGACACATTGTTCAATGAAATCAACGTGTATGTCATTGTTAGTTAGTAGTTAGCAACAGTAAACCTTGATTGTAATGAGATATTTGATCCTGAGTTGTGCAATCAGATTATGACAGATTCAATGACTTTTTCTGATTCAAGGGAATGTGTCAAGACATGAGATTTGGGCAAGGGACCATCTTGAACCCGTGAGTCTTACAAATTTCTCTCTTCTATTACTATTAGAATATACGCGATCCGCAGGTCAAGTTCTTTTCGTGTGATCCTTCAGTGTTTTGGTTTGCATTTAAGACATGCTGATCAAAGGGGGAAAATTTTCTTCAGCCAAATAAGCTCCAATTGGTTGATTGCAAAATATGACTGACCCATGACTGGCGCAGTGGAAGGGTCATAAGTGCATGTATAGGATACCCCTCCGGGGTTGTCACAAGCTGAACATTCCCCATTCAGATGCGAAAGATAGAGGTTGAATAAGCCACTTGATGAGGAAAGGAAGACTTAAGACTCAAGATACTGACTATAAACGTTCTTCTGCCCGGTGTACTTGTATTGCGCACACTGTTGAGCACTCACGTGTTTGTCTGATTCACGTGTACATCCCGACATTGGAACCCATTGATGAGCTACAAGAGATAAAATGGATGCCCGCTAATCAGCGTGACGATGTTAAAGATGGTCTTGATTGGTAAGAATACGCACGGCCTGCCCAACAACTAGAATATTCGCAGTTATAAATCAATGTTTCTTTGGTCTTCCAATATGTCAGTCTACATTCTTTCAGTTTGAACAGTCACAAAACACGTCGTTCGTCGTGAGTTTCAGCTATAAGGCTATGAAGATACAAAATGAATTGCATACCTGCGTGGTTGTTTGTGCCGATTGAAAACCCTACGTCACACGCACGATCTGCGGTAATGACTACGTCGTCTGCTGTAATGTCATGAATCCATAGGGAAAAGAGTAGGAAGTATATCTTGAGGAAGACGTGGTGCATTTTGGGTACAGCAAGAGAGGAAGGAGGACAACTAAGGTATTTCAACTTGAAATACAAGTCTAAAACGAGTGAAATTGGACCAAGGAAAAGTGATCAGTGAGGAAAACTATCAGGGAAACACAGATGAACTCACATTTGAACCTAGATACTTGTATGGTATTGGCTGAGAAAGCGGCGTCAGGACTGGGGTCGAGGTTTCTTCTCCGGCATGAGGAGAAGCGGAAGGCGGCGTAACGCCACCCACGCGTAGTCCGGCAGTCTTTCTTGGGCTTTTTCGCACCGGTGCTTTGTTGTTTGTTCTGATTTCAAGTCGGCTTCATGGATTTTGAAATTTTGGTAGCATTGGCTATTGAGTTTATAGCAAGGTTTGTATGTCAATTGAATGTTCACTTCACAAATTGGTGGAAATCTGGAATGTAAAACCATTTACCGCCACCACATTCGATCTTGATCAATTATCTCTGTTTTTCAGCTCTCATCTCTTCCTTCCAAACGGCTCAATCCACTTTGAACACTTGCTGATAGTTCAGTTTCCAATCAACCTCACTACCGCGGATACTCTAAGGGAAGTGTCGTTTTACCATCATGCCTTAATAAATGAATGTGGGCGACACTTGATGAGGTTTCTTACAAGGGTAGCAAGGATGAGAGCCCATGGTAGGATGCATAATGATCATCACAAAATGCTTCGAGGTTGAATTGTGGATTGATGATAACTCATTTTACAAGGAATAAGTCAGAGATCTCAGAAATAGAGTTTGCTCCTAGAATCTGATGGTGTAGCTTTCGCATCTCAGCATTTGATTGACTGTTTGTTGATCACAGATCACGAGTAAGCAATGAAACTCGGCTTGATGACTTCGTGGGATTGATAAATTAGACGGGCTCACTGTAAGGGCACCTTCAAAATCCAATCAAAATGTCTCTGAACACCATAAAGAGTGACCATCCCATCAAACTGCTCACATAGTTGCATATATTCAATCCCAAAGGTTATTACATCCAGGGATTGATTCCCTTCAAAGATGCTGTGAATCAAATGAAATGTCAGCGAAACCATGATGCACAACTCAAACAAATTTTGATTCACAATGGATTTGTCAATAAAGGCTCTCCGACCATGAGACCATCAGCTCCAGTCTCATTGAGGTTTTTTTCAAAATCAGAATATGATCTCACACCCCCATTACTTATGACTGGGATCTTGACTGCTTGTTTGAGTTCTTTAACGAATCTTAAAAAAGGTGATCCTTTGCGCCTTCGTCTACAAGAAATGAATCTGGGATGGAGTGTAATCCATGAAGCACCAGCTTGCCTTGACAACAGAACCAAGTTCCAAATGTGAGCCTTTTCTTTGCATTTGTATGATAGGGAAGACGTTGAACTCAACTCGAGTGACCTTGCTAACTGGCATAGCTCGGATGTATCGTTTAGACGTAATTTTACGGAAACTGGGACGGTGAGATGTGCAGATAACGAAGAAACTATATCCATTTTGTATGTCAGATTCGCCATAAGTTGATACGTTCACCTAACTCGTGGGTGAAGATCAGAATGACAAAACATACCAATAGAAATGGCTTGATCGTGATTTTTACGGAAAAGTAGAGAAGCACCATAGCCATTTTGTAAGGCGTGGGTTTGTGGACATCCCATATTGAGATCTTTGCGTATATTGAGATAAGAAAAAAGGAATATAAGCACTAGAGTAAAATCAGATCTTTCAAGTTTGCCTCTTCAATGGTAAGCGCCGCCAACCAGTGAAATCATCTGACCTATGCCATCGCACCAAGGCTCAAAGCATTTCGCAGTCCTTAAAACTCTTTCAACATCGTTTCCACCTAACTGTACGATTAAAGGAATCTTTGTCAAATCCTGTTCAATGTCTTTCCTCTTACACCAAGCCTTCACGTCATTCAAATGAAAGTCATGATATTGTGGGTCAGATAAAAATCGGTCTGCCCAAATCATTTGGGTGTAGACCATCGTTGCACCATGTCGGGCTACTAGTATTCGGAATGGTAAGTCTGATTGATCGACCTGATCGATCATAAACACATTGTTTAAACGTCTTAGAAGTCAGTAGAGTGCATCGATTATGTTCTTTTGTTTTCGGTCGACAGCGCATACATTGCAAAATTTAATTCAAACAACTCCGTTGAAGATCGGATACCCCGTCGAAGGGAAGATAAGTAGTGCGAGATATGATCGAGACTTACCATTGGTGCCGCAACATATTTGAAGCTGGATATTGGGATATTTGACAAAGATGAGCTCATAGAATGGTTGAGCATCAAGATCGAGAGCGAAGACCAAGTTGTTCCGCTTTCATTAAATCAAAGTCCGATGAACCATTATCGCCACCGTCTCGGGACCAAGCTCGGTCCATCGGTATACTGGACCACAACAGTACGTCCAGCTGTGGTGTTTACACCACAAAGACACTTATTTGCGTCAGGGCGTCGGGCGTGTCCGAGATTGGAGACACGACCCGACGTCCACTAACAGGACGCTGGCTAGACGTCTGAGCGCATATATATCCGCACCGCATCCTGAAGATGCACTGATGTCGTCCTAGCCAGGATGACGTGCAAGCACCCTGTGCTTGGAAGACCTACGGATGCCCAATCAAGTGGGCACCCTTCCAGCACACTGCGGACAACCACTCGTGATCCAAGATCAGTCGTCCATATGATGGAGGTAGGACAGCCACCAGTATTCTCAAGATGGGTGTCCAATGAGCACCACACCAAAAACCTCAATTAGGCAAGGACAGCTAAATTGAAGATTGATTTGGTCAAAGGTTTTGCATGACATCATCATCATGTGATGAATTTGACACTTTAAAAGTTTAAACCGTTCCAAAGCTTTTTCATCCCCTCGCTTCGTTCTTACATATCTCCCTGCCACTTTCATCCCGTTCAACTTATTCATCTCTTTCCTCTATTCTCCTTAAACTGTTCTCCTCGTAGACTCCCCCTTCTCTTGACCATCTGAGGTATGTACAAAACATCCTAATCCTCCTTTGTCCCTTTGATCTTGACATATATCTGGCTTTCACAAAGCAAATCAACAGAGCCTCACCTTGAAGTGCCCAACCTTGTTTCTGGACTCGGACCCGTAAGCTTGATAACCCTTCCTTTAGCTCCTTGTGCTGCATGGCTTGTATCGACTCGTGAATTTCTCTTTTTTCATCATGACACCCATCTCACTTTGGTCATTATCGTGCTTATTGTTCTTATCGTTCTCATTGTTTTCATCGTTGATGTTGTTGCATCATCGTTAGACCGTTTTTATCGGTTCTATCGTTGTATCATTTTTACTGATGGATCGTTTTTATCGTAGATCGCTGTATCGTTTGATTGTTTGATTGTTTGATCGTTCGATTGTTGTATCATTTTTGTCATCTTATCTTTTTTATCATCTTATTGTTTCATAATTTCATTGTTTCATCCTCTCATTGTTTTATCATTTCATCAATCTTGTATCCTCCAAGCTACACATAGTTCTCATTATAACAATGCTTGATAAGTAATTTACCGTTATCAATCAAATCAACATTGAAACAAGTGATCTCCAAAACAACCTGGATATCTATCCAAGATGGATTCAGAGTTCTGTCGGTGGTCAGCAGCCAGGATGTCCAATGGGTAGCAGAAAGGGGTCTTCTTGGAATCAGTGCTGTGTTCGCCCTCTCAACAAACCTCGAGAGATGTCAGATAGATGTTGATTCGCGCGCGCTGGGCAGCCCAATGGGCTCTGCTCAGGCGTCTGAACGTCGGAGTCCGACGGACGTTTCTCGGTGTGCTGTGGGTCAGCATGAGCCCCGTTTCCCGCGGGCTCGGGGATCTCCGGCTTCCGTACCGTCGGTACGGTGCCTCGGGCTAGGTATCTCAGCCCCCCGGCACCGTACCGACTCCGACGGAGCGGGGACCGGGCAAGAGTATGAGGATCCCCGGTTTTTATCGGGGAACCGAGCTATAGCAGAGAGCTGTAGAATCGAGGGCAGATAGGGAGAAATGAAAGGTGAGGAAGGCCTCGTAACAACTCATACATCAGTATAAGGAATCAAATACAATGAAATACCTGTACGAAACAGTAGAATATCAGCCGGAACTTGCTCGTGAAGCAGATTTATGAATTTTTTTGATCTAGCAAGCTCTACCGACTAACACTCGACGGGGAACCGACGGGGAACCGATATTTCGGTAGGCCCCCGATTTTCGGTGGCGGGGGGCGGTCTGAAGACGTACATGAAGATCCCCGACGGGGAGGGGTCGGCTCGGAAGCCGGGATGCATTTCCAAAAAGTGCTCGGGGTGGATTTTCGCCGGTCCCCGCTCCCGAGCGAGCGGGGCTCATGCTGAGCTGTGGGGGGACGTCCGTCCCCCACCAAGAAAAATCGGACACCCGGTGGACATCCAAGTGTCCTTGTGGTGTACATTTCTTATCACAGAATTTGAAAAACAAACGGGGGAAGGGTCATATTATCACATAACAGAGGATTGAAGATTACTGAAGTGGTGGAACCACTTCCAATTGGGCAGTCAAAGTGCGCAAATGACCAAGATCTCCACTTGAAAAAATTAACCTCATGTATTACAATTTGGAAGTACAATGCATTATGGATTCTATATTATCTTTTTTATCCCATATGATCCCAAGATCAACCTATCACCGAGACCTTGTCATTATATGGGGTTGAACCGGGAGATTTTTCTTGACTAATCTTATCTTGGTTTTCATGGTCCTTTGCTTGAAATATTGCCATAGCCACAAAGAACCTAGTAGTAGACCCAAACCTATGAAAGCTGAAAATATCAATTGAGATTAGAGTAACAGATATCAATGCGAGAATTCTTGAATGTGTTAGAGATAGAAAGGACCAAGAAGAAACTGACTGCATGCAAGAGTGATCCCAAGAATGGCAGTGGGGGAGAGTGTTTTATGAGGTGTTGATACTGACTCGATGCTATGGCTGGGAAGATCTGCGGTATCTAGAAATTTATCGATCCAGAAAATCATTCAAAATTCTATCTTCAACCAACAGCAGTGTAAGCATACCAGGATTAGCGTGAGTGCCAGCAAAACTGTCGTTGGAAGATGTTTCGGATAGAGCGCCAGTCGATATTATGTTATTATTATCAGTCAAGTTTACTGGCGAACTGATGTTACTGAAGCGATTCACAGGCAGCTGGGTAGTCGAGTTTTCACATGGCGCTTCCTGGATCAGATTTGCGACGCGCGAGCCGTGAGGGGAGACTTGACCGTGCTTGTTGCGGACCAGTGTCATTTGTTATCGTACGAAATGCCTATATGATATATGCGAATTGATTTCCTCGTTTAGCGGAGATTATTTGCGTTGCCATCCAGAGACCAAAATTGTTAAGCTAGTTCAAGAGGTAGACTGTATCTGATGAATCCGTAGCTGGAAGTAGGTGGCACGCTATAGACCACAAGGAACGGGAAACGGCGCATGAAGAACTAAAAACCTTCCGAATAGAAAATTGACCACACTTTCTTGACCGGCAGCAAGCAGAGGAATCACAAAATTGGGAATGCATGAAGGTGACGTGGGTTGCGAATAGGCTTGGATTAGCTATGGCTCTGTTAATCAGGAATCATGTAGAAGACTTACCGCTTTGGGCTGGCTAGAGACCCCAACTACACACAAAGAATTGGAACAATCTTGCTTTGGAAAACTCCGATATCGAATGCTAAAATAGCAAGGTGGCGTCAAAGACATAGCTCGCAAATGCTTTTGCCTGGTGTAGGCCTGGTGTATGTGACTCGCAGGGTACTGAATGGATTTGCTTCAATTCTGGCATTCAAGTCTGACTCTGTCTTCCTGTGGACGTGAAAAAAGAGATGGGATCTTGAAGCGACCGTAACACCTCTGACCTTTGCAGTCTTTGTCAATTCCTCGAATCTCAGTCTTTAGTCAGCGATACTACTTGCGACTCTGCATCTCACTCCAGCAAATACTTTACATCTCGACATGGGAGATGATGTGGCCTCCTTCCGCCGAATGAGAAATGCTACAAATGCAGACTTTACCGACATGCTGATCGCACCTCAGCATCCAAGAAATTTGTAAGATATAAATCCCAGAATCCTTGGTGGTAGTCCTTTTAACTGCTAACCATACACATTCTTCTTGTCTGATCACACCTCACTCCATTCGCGTGCTCTAAAATCTTTCCGATTATTTAAATCACCTAATATGACTTATAATGAATCTCCTAGCGCTTGCACTCATCCCAAGCTTACCCACGTCACTCGTGATTGTTCTGCGACTCAACCACTATCTAATTTCAATCCTTCAAGATATAATACTCTGCATTCTGATGGGACCTACTCCAACCCAGGAAGGGCTTCCACTCAATACAAAAATCTACCGCAATTTTTACTATTTCAAAAAACCACGGTTTCAGACTTTGTGCCGCGTCGAGAGATGGACACGAGACATACTCGCCTACCATCGCTTCCACTTGTCAGTGAGCCTACATTGGGCAGTCCATCAGTGTTCGGTGACGATTATGTTCCATTGAGGTCAGTTCTTGATTCTAATCAAAGCTAGCAAATCTTTTTTACACAAGCCTTATAAATATTTTTTGATTCAGCTCTCTTGGATCAGCTCGAGCAATCAGCGCTGCCACCGAGCGTCGCAAAATCCCTTCTCCTCTACCTACTTGTCCATCTGGTTCCTTTCCTCTTCTCTCTGCTTCTTCTTTGAGATATACTCGTCGAGCCGAACCCCCGATACAGCTTATAACAGAAGGATCATCAGTTGAGGCTAAGGTAATCATCAAAAGTTTTCACCTGCCTACCTCATCAAGTCAGTTTTGTGGATCCCCGAACTCTCTTTCTTCTGAATCTATGAGTCTTCCTAGTCCACATGGAGGAGTCTTTGTACCCCTCCGAACCTCTTCGCCTCAATCTCAAATCATTTCGCCGCCTCCAGAAAGATTCCGAAGTCACTCAGTCGGAACTTGTGGGCATACTAGTGTATCTTCTCTTTCTGAATCCTACAAAACATTCGAGACGAATGGCTACGTTTATAGACCTACTTCTGCTGTTCTTAGTGACCAATACTATTATTCTCAGGTTCAAACCAAACAACTTTGTAAGAGAAATTCTAGTTTTTCTAGAGTTAGAAGATTATCTGGTAGTTTTCTTCAACTTTTGAAAGGTGGTGGAGAAAAGAACTAAATATCGGAATACATAGATAGAACGTCATTGATTTTCAATGGATTTTGTTGTGATCATCTGTCTATTTGTATATTTTTTTATTCAATCTTTACTTATCTAATCTTATATATTTGATGCGCTGTTGGTAATTATTCGACCAATTTTTGAATTTCAAGTTGACTCTTCGATTTCGAAGGGAGAAAGACTTGAAAGTCATCATTTTTTTACAAAATCTTTGAGCCATTATGATTAGGCATGTTTCCTCCGTTGACATAACACGGAGCGAAGCTAAAGTTGATTTTTCTGAGACATCATTATGTGGTTATTGGAGAACAAAATCGCAATGCCATGTGAAAGGAGAGGGTGTTCCAGTCGATGAACAACGCTGTTGAGATTCAGCATTGATGATCAACCTCGATATTCTCTCTGTTGACCTCCTATCCTTGCGCATTGGCTCTCTCCCTTCAGGCAGTGTCAGGGTGAGCGTGAAGAATGATTGCTGGAGCTGATCCAAGAGAGCTGAATCAAAAAAGGATTTATAAGGCTTGCGTAAGAAAGATTTGCTAGCTTCGATTAGAATCAAGAAATGACCTCAATGGAACATAATCGTCACCGAATACTGATGCATCACCCAATGTAGGCTTACTAACAAGTGGAAGCAATAGTAGGCAAGTGTGTCTCGTAGTCATCTCTCGACGCGGCACAAAGCGTCGCACAAAAAAGAGGGATACGGGCCACGGCTATGCTCTTCTACATTCGCTTCCCCTCACCGGGTACATACCCAGAGTTTTGCATTGTATGCCAAGCTATCTCCCAGTTTTCTAAATTTATAGTTGGATTGCCAAGACTTAAATATGAAGAGGATGCCAAGGAGGCTTGAAGTTTATTCTATGTAGCATTGCAGATTGCATCATACAGTCGTTTTCAAAAAGCTTGCCGCTAATTCACCGCCAAATTGCTCGAGTTTTGCGGGCAAATTTCGGCAAGCTTTTTGAAAACGACTGTACATAGTACACGTCCAGACACGTCCCCACGCCTCGCGCTTATACGTGATGTGAAGATTTGGCTTGAAGTGAAAGCTTTGGGCTTTGCAGCTCTGCGCATACAGACGTCTTTCCATTTTTGATGCGCAACGGAAAGATACGAATAGCCGACAAAGTGGTTGCAAAAGGCTTTTGTGATGATGGGTATACAATTATACTCAAGTTGGTAATGCTCCTCGCGATGAATACAAATCATGTCAATCTATGATTTGAGCCTGAAAAAGGCTATTTTGGAAAAATTCCAAGTATGGAAAGATGATGGAACTATTGTGAAAGTGTTTTGGCTACGTATTCATCAGATCAGATGAAGGAAGTATTGAAATTGGACATCGCTTGCTACAAAGTGTGAACGAGCAAATTTTCTGGGCTGTGGCGTAGCTTTGTACAAGTTTTGAGTGAGTGAGTGAGTGAGTGAGTGAGTGAGTGAGTGAGTGAGTGAGTGAGTGAGTGAGTGAGTGAGTGAGTGAGTAGAAGTGATGATGAGTTCTCAGATCGTTTTCCTATTACAGAAGTGGCTGTGCAGGAGATGATGTGATCCAAATTTGAACCTCTTTACCGGTTTTGGATTGTAGAACGGTGTGATTTAATTCTCACTTCATTATCGCGACGTCTTGACCAATTACACAGTCCCTTCGATAGTAATCATTAAAACGATCAGCTCTTTACCTCTTTTCCTTCATCATAACCTTCATCCTCATCACTTCAGTCGAACTTCTTCCATCGAACCCTGACTCGGTCTCAGAGTCAACGACAGTAGTCTAGTCAAACTAGGACATTAGCTTTTCGTTGATCTTGAAATCCCTTTCTATTTCGTGAACTCGTTACAAATCTCCCTTCATCTCATCCTCCACTCGAAATCACCGTTCAGTGGCCCAGCGTCCTTAAATTTACAACCAACAGTCCTCTCATCATGCACAACCGTTCGATTCACTTGCTATCCTTAAACCTAGGCTTTTTGCTATTCCTGCTCCCGACAGAGACCGAGGCTCGACAATGTTATTATTACACCGACGCTTTGGGCAGGCAGAGGCGGCGATGTACGGGGGTCTTGGGTGGCGGGATCGCTGGTATCGTAAGTGATCGATTTCTCGTCTGACCAATTGGCTTCTGGATATTTTACTGACCATCCCATCAATTATTAGGTCATTGGCAGTTTAGGTTTGCTTTTTTCTACTTGATCCAGCCAGTTTGACGCACACCTCGTTCGCGTTCTCGTCACTGATATTTTCTTATTTTGCCTTTACCAGTGCTTACCGCCTTGGTATTCTTGCTCTTTCGATTCATCAACAACCGACGCAACGCGAGAAGCGCACTTCCTGTAGTCAACCAAGGTTATCATGGTGCAGCACCACCACCACAGATGGGACAACCCCATTTTGCACCTCCTAACTTTCCACCTCAAGCTCAGTATCCTTCTTACGGTGGTGGACCACCTCCAGGAAATGAATATGGTGGTCAATATCAACCACCACCTGGTCCACCACCAGGAAACGAGAATGGAAATCAATATCAACCACCACCTGGTCCACCACCTGGAGAAAAATATGAGCACAATCCTTCTGGTATTCAAATGCCTGCAGCAGCTGCTACACATCATTAAGAATTCAAGTTATTGGGAGCAGAATCAAATTGAACGATTCATTGGGCAAATAATTTAATCAATTGAGCCAGCTCTACTACAACCTTTCCAGTCTATTTTTTGCATCTTATCCAGTTCCATCTCATCAAGTTATGTCTCTTTGATTGTAGTATGTGATTATTTTATGGCTTGTGATCATTTTCATTACTCCTTTGTACCCGGCTAATGTTCCAGATTACTCAGCTAGTCATATTTTTTCACAGAAGATTCAATCCAAAGTTAGTTACATTGTTCTGTGTCAATATGGTTGTTTTGTTTCACAATCATGTTGTTTTCTGCTATGGCTGAAAAATATTTGAGTCTCAAATCATTGTAACAGTTTTTGTTTCAGGCAGTCTGTCTTCATATGCATCAAAATAAGGCTTCAGAAAAGCAACCTTAACATTGGCTTTCAGGTTATATGCAATTTGATGATGGTACTGCCTCATTAACTTTGACTTGCATGAGAGAATTTCACAAAAGCAATATTTCAATAAATTCCAAGATCACAAGGAAATTTGATGAAATATTTGGCCATTTCCACAGTCTTTCTTTGTGTCCAAAGAAAATACAGGGGTCAAACTGTGTAGGGCATTGAAACAGGTTTAGGATACAACCAATCAAGATCCAATCATGGGAAGTTTGCTAGACAATGATTGGTTCTACCTCTAATCAATGGTATGAAGGCTTCTCAAGCTGCCTCCAACTGCAGCTGTAATATTTGGAACACATCCAGTGCACGAAGAAACTTTAAAATACTTGACAAAAAAGAGGTAAGATAAGTGCCAAAGACATTCCTATGAATTGAGGTTACTGGCTTTGGTTTGCTTGTGAACTGGCTACAGATTTGTCCTGAATTAGTATCAATAGAAGAGAGCTGCATGTTTTTAAGGATTAAAGGTAGACAGCCTTTGTATTGGGGGCTTTGCTAAATCAGTGTGCTTCAGAAAAAGAAGATTTTGTAAGGGACATGCTGGTTGGATCATTCAAAAAGGGCATTGGGGTATCTTCACTATTAGATAAATTATGTAATTAATTCTTGTGACTCTCCAACTAGAGACCATGCAGGCATGCCCACAACAGGTAAACAGATACCATTACATATGTTGACATAAACAAATCCCTATGTTGTGTTGGGTGTGCTGAATTATGTAAGCTTAAAGTTGTCCAGGGTGTCTTATGAATCGCTTTATGTAGGAGCTACCCTAACAATATTTTGCACAATTTGTATTGCCATCAATCAATCTCACCCCCTTTTTTTACTTCTGGAATCATCACAAAATTAAATCAATGCTTTATATCCTCAATTTCAAGATAATCAATAAACTGCAGGTTCTCAATTGGCTTGGTGCTCTACTTGTGCTATCTTCATAGGATTAGAAATTGATTTTGTCTCCTGTTATTATCAGCCCATTCAATGTTTTTAATCCACTATGATAAAGTCAACGATGATAAGATCAAAGGTACAAAAAAAGGAAAACAAATCTGAAATGAATGTGATACAAAACAATGATTGACTTCAGAAGTAAAAAGTGACAGGAATGCTGTAGAATTGGTGGTAGATGGCCAAATTATGCAGTAGTCAAGCAGGGTGAATTTGAGGTGAAAATCAAAGTGGTAGGTGGTTGAGGTGGTTGGGTGGAGTGAGTCCAATTGTAGTTGAGGATGTGACTGAGGTGTGATAGAGATCCAGATGAAATCCAATGTTGGACTGGAGGTATTGGAGATGTCAAAGTTGAGGTTGTGTGTAGGAGAGTCAGGTGAGTGAGGAAGCAAAGTGGTGAGGCGAGGTGAGGTGAGTTTATGAATCATTTCCTTTGTGGAAAGAATCCTTTTGTGGGTTTTGCTCCAGGGTGGTCAGCAAACATAATGCAAACATATTGCAAACAAGACCTGCAATTGAAGAAAGTTGTGAACCCAGTCACCAAGTCTAAGATCCAGTCACCACAACTTTCTTCAATCGGGCTTCAAACCTATTGATTTCTGCAGTGTCATACTTGATGCTGTATCACTATGCAATGGGTTCATGTGAATTCCTCATCATCCGCTTTGACTTTCCGTTTTCTTGACTTCACCGCCTTAATTATTGCAATGATAAGGACAGCTAAGAAGAGTGTTCCTGCAATTGCTGAGAACCGTTTTGGTTGATTTTTCAATTTGGTCAGCTCAATTTGAAAACATGGGAGAAAGAAACCATCCGGCAATTCGAGTTCTATCCTTACCGGCACCAATTATAGCCATCTTTCCTACTTTAGGAGTCGATTTCATCAAATTGCCACCATTTCCGTCGTTGGCGTTGGGCGAGCCGCCATTGACAGGCCCGCTAGTTTCTGCACCAACGACCTGCCATGTCGCTTCTGGATGCCCTAGATCTAATTTTTAACGACCTGCCATGTCGCTTCTGGATGCCCTAGATCTAATTTTTGATCAATTGGTATAGGAGGGGGCAATGTACTGTTTAAGGAGTTTTGCGAGTCCGCATCCGCAGGAGTCCTGGAGGTATTGATGATTTGTGGTCCTGGTGTGGTAAGATGTTGGAATCTGGGCATGAGTTGAGAGCCATCGGGCGTCGGCTGCAATGCGTTCTGCCATCGTATTGATGGAGTTTGTGCCGATGCCATGATTTTGGTCCTTGATCAAGCAAATGATATTGATCTTCACAGTTCCAAAATTTGCTCTGATAGTCACCGAGTATTATTTGTTATTTTTACGTTGGAGCCACAGAATAAAAAGTGTTCACGGTTGTAGATATAGGGAGTGAAATAATTTCGCAAGCTAAAATAAAAAAAATGACGAGTAATTAAGACCGGGAGAGTCAAGTGGATTTGAATAGAAAGATGTTGGAGAATCAATGATAGAGATCAAAGAAAGTCACAATCGCAGTGCAGTCGCGAGAGTCAGTAAGAAGATGAAAAAGAGTCCACAAAAGAGAACTGATCAGCTGAAAACAAAAACATGAAAGAGATAGAGACAAAGCAAATGTTGACAGCGATGGACGAGACGTTCTTCTTAATTTATTTCAGATGAGCCGCACGCCTTCGCTATTGTGAAACGTTGATAATATCATCAATATTATGTTTGAGGTCATTTACCCACTACACTGCCGCTGGAAGTGTCCAAGTGACCCCGAGTAATATCTCGAGTGATATATTTGGAGGTGGATCAATGAAACATAGGTTCCATGGAGTTTACCATTCCTTCCTGCTCGGCGGATCAATACACCAATATTGGTGCGGTGCTCTGCTCCTCCACTGATTTTTAAATCTTGGATTGAAATCTTGCGATATCTTTGAGCCTCGTCGAGATCCACCATACACGATCCCAATGACAAGAGCACATCGACGAGACAGCATACGCTCGCATAACGCAGCGTCCGAGGTGACGGCTTGTTTCAGTAGATCGCTATGAACCGACTCCCAGGGACCTGTTTCAGGAGTGCATTTTCCAAGGCCTGGTGAAGCGGCGGATTCTCACCTTAATCAAAAGGACCTTTATGATACGCATAAAGCCCATCCCAAAGTACTCACTTTGACCACTGGAAGTGGGGCTTTGCGCTACTTAAATCATTTTATTTCTTTGGACTGTAAAGACATCGTTCGGTCTGGGAGGTCCACTGTTCACTGTCCTTCAACGTTTTCAGCTCTTGTGAAGGTGATGAGCACAAATTAAAAAACCTTCCTAATATCTTGATCATCAGAAGATTCGTCAGCGCCAGGACAATTATATATTTTGAGGCTGAATGTTGCTAGTATCAGTTGTGACTATTTAGATTATGTCTAGAGGTCAGACAATTCAATGGCCAAATGCACTTCATCCACCACCCGACAACTTAGCACTCGATGCTCAGTACCAACACTTGCTCACACCCCGACCCCAAGCAGAGATTAAGAAACCAAACTCCGATTCCAGCAGTGACGTGAGAAACGGCACGATGAGAGTCAACTCAACACAAAGCAGCAATACGACCAATAACATCTCCCCCTCTGATCGCATCAATGGATCGCTTGCATCTGGGCAATCGAATTCAAATTCAAGCTCATTGAAGCAAACAATTGGTCCCGGAAACATCTCTTTAAGCAATTTACCACCTCCTGCTCCAGTTGACGTACCTCTTGATTTGGGACTTTTGGGAGCCAATTCCACCTGGCAGGCGGTCGGTGCAACGAACAGTCTTTCATTCGGTTCTAAAAATTCCTCAGTTAAAGATGTAAACCAACTTGAACAAACGGCGATCGATAATGGTATGTTATCCATGAGTGGCGCTGGATTCCAAGTAGGTAAAATAGCTGCCACAGCTTTTGGCGCAGGTAAGAATTTCTCTGATTAACGTATATCTTTTGAAGTATACCGCCAGTTACAGAGAAAGAACTTGTTGATCAATTGAGTTTTTAACTTATCAGTTGCAGGCATAACATTGTTGGTGTGTATCATAATTGCAATCACCAGAAGCTGTAAGTCAAGAAGGCGGAAATATTATGACGAATGATCTGATCGATAGCCCTCTTTTCATTGGTTTACTGAACTTTTTGGCTGAGTCTGAAAGATATCACATCAAGCCAAAAGCATCAAAAAGGACAATGATTATGTTTTTGTACTGTTATGATTTACCTATATTTCAAAGATTGAATGAATCAATATCTGAAGAAAGTTTCCTCCTAAAGACACTTACAGACAACTTATTTATTCCTTTTAAAATCTCAATATGTATTGGAGTTATCAAGATGATATGCAGAGCATTCCAAAACCACTTAATGTATGAATATATGTACTGAAGTTCTCATTTGTATACAAATTTAGAATTGTAAGAGATATTTGTTAGAGAAATTATATATCAAAATGGACAAGTTTTAGAATGTGGAATCCTGTTCCAGAGATCTGATTCATCATTCACTTTTAAAACACATGAAAGAGATAGGAATCTACTGAGTCATTTTTCCTTTTCATTTTCCCGCGGTCCAGGTTTGAGTACATGATTGTACCTATGTTTCAAGAAACACACTTTGTTGTAGTCATGCTATTTTCTCTTCAGAAATGGAGCCCAATATTTCTATGGAGATGTCTTGTTGAATGCACCCTATACTTCTCCTGTAGAGCTCTATACCCTTGGCTCATCTCCACTAAATTCACAAAATTTTGTGTATGTGCTTCAATAGTCTGAGGCAGTAGCTTCAGGAATTGTGTGAGGGTAGGGTACTCTTTGAAAGTGCTCTATGCTCACTAAGATTGCAAAATGGGTGGGGTAGTAATGGAATTCTATTCTTTATTTCAAATGTGTAGTATTTTAGTATTTACAAAATGAAATAAAGAAAAGAAAGAAAGTAAGAGAGACTAATAGTCTGTTTGGAGAAATCCAGACAGACTACAGTTAGCTGACTCCTTAAAAGGAGGTAAGAAATATAATGATTAATTATTATGAAATAAAAGAGCTGGGTCCAAGGCTCTACTTTAATCTTTATGGTAACAGATTAAAGAGTGAGGTGAAGATCACCAGTCTGGTTATTCTAAAGTCACTAACCTGCAGTTGTTCAAGAGGTAACTAACCCAAAGTTAATCGGAAGGACACTAACCTAGAAGGATTCTACTGAGGAAAAGTAGAGGACCCAAGGGATGAAGAATGAAATTACTTTATCTTTTAGTCAGGAAGCTACTTCAAAGATGTGAAGTGGATCACTAGTCTTATAATTATAAGACTTTTGATTATGTACTTCAAATGAACTTTAAAGGGTTCTTTGAAAGAGGTGTGTAATAAACTGCTTGGGGAGAAATCTTTGCAGGCTGAAAGAGGAGGGGTTTATATACTTTCCTCTCTAAACCCTAACTTAATAAAGTACCTCCTCAATCTGTGCGCCCCCCCCTGGAGCTTGCAGAGGAGGGACTTACAACTTATAGGATTCTTTGGCTTGATACCAATCTGAAATTCACGGGTTTCAGTGTTTTTTTCATCAAAATCAACACTGCAGCATTTCCTATCAACAACTCATGAAAAATTATAAGCATGCTGTCCTTTGCAGATGCATCTTGTACATAATCGCCCTTAATATCTACTTGCCTTGATAAGAAGATATCTGCTTGAGGTGACAGTGAAGAGTCACAAGTTTTTGAGCCAAAATTAGAGGACTGTGGATGCTTCTCTCTGTCTCTGACAAGGATGGCAGAGAGTGTATGGGTTAGCAGAGAGAAATCAAGACTCTTGCGTGTAAAGTGACTGTGATTGTAGCAGTCTCAGTTACCAAAATCTCGAATTTTGATTTTTTTTTTCAACTGATGATATAACTGATTCTAGGATAGCTATAGAAATTCTGAGGAGAGCAAAAGGGCATAAAAACATGCATCTATAAATTTCATATAGGCATGATGGAAGGTTTATTGTGTCTGAGTAGGCAAAAATGGACGCTGGAGATAGCCCCCGCCAAAGTGAATTTGGTATCAAGCCAAAAATCACCAATACATTGCAAGACCCCCCTCCGCAGGCTCCAGGGGACGTCTCTGTGGGGGTTAGGGGCTTGTGTTAAGCTATCTCTAAACCTAACTGTAGTGATACTTGTTGCTATCACTACAATGATTTAGATATCATTATTAATTATTATTTATTACTATTTTTTGTACTTAATTACATATATAGTAATAATAAGTATGGCTGTGACCCTGACCCTGACCCACCCAGCCGACTCTGCCCAACAGCTCTCACAGAGCTGACGGTACACGCCCCGGGGCTTTCAAACCTTGCTGAATGACAGTAAACTTGGTCCCGAAGAGGCGTCGGGCAGGTCCGGCGCCCAACCCTGCCGAGGCTCCGGCCATGTTTCTGCCAGCCATATCTCACCATAATCCGTATACAGGGTTGGAAGATTGTATTCTGACAGACCTAAACCGTTATTGGACTTCCAGAATGCCCTGCATTGCCACTCTGGCGCGCCCTGGTCGGCCCTGCACATATTTTGAAGGTACTCGGGTCTACCCAAGTCCGGGGTTGGCCCCGGGGCAGCCCCGTCACACTCAGGGCCGGGTCACAGCCCTAATAATAAGTATGTGTTATGTACTATAAGCATATTAACTCTTGACACTGAGTTATGAGATGTAATTGGTGTTTCATGACATATTACATGTTGTTTTGAGTGTACATGTGTATGTAGTTAGTCTTGTTATGTGTTTTATTACGTACTACATACTTTTTACGGACAGTATGTATATGTAATTAGGTTTCTATATGATAAGTGTATATCACAAGTTAGTTTTGGGTACATGTATATGTGCTCAGGGCTGACATTCCCCACCCTCAAAGGAGGTCATTACTTCTTTTTGGAAGGTCTATGAGCTCTTTTTGTGTCCTGAATTGTTGTAATACTGTCTTGCCATTGGGTATATTTCTGCTGTTAGCTTTTGCTCTTCATGAGTATCAATCAAGCAGACATCTTGATGATGATCTTCATTCTCACTTCCTGGCATTGACTCATCAGAAAATTGTCCTCCTTGAAAGTCATACTTGTCATTCATATTACTACTTTCATGAAGGTCTTCTTCAATCATATCTATTCTTTTATCTTTACATCCTCTCCATTGATTTTGTGGATCTTTACTGCCACAGTTTGGGCATAATTGGAAAGGTTTTCTCTCTGACATACTTGGTTGAACCTTTGGACTAGAGGGACCCTGTATCATATCCTCTTCAAAGTTTGTTTTATCTTCAACAACAGTTCTCCTTGGTCTGTCAAAGTACCTTTTCTTATAAATGATAGTTGTATTTTCAAAAATATCTTTGAACACCATCAGGAAGATATCCCACTTGTAGGGTGTAGTAAGTTGACTTTTAATTACATTTCTAACATCACCATCAACTTTGTTTACAATTCTGTCTTCAGATGCATCCGGGTCAAAGGCAGAAATTCTCTTCTTTTGTTTTAAAGACCATGCTGTGGAATCCATATGTATATTGCTATCAAAAGTCATTTCTGATAAAATCCATTTATTACAAATACATTTTTATTATTACATTTCATTTCTTTCATTGTTTTATGATGTCATACGCATCAAACTTGTCTTGCATGAACAAATCTTCCATGTGATTTCTCATGCATTATTTCCAAATATTTTGTGGATTTCTTCCTTACAATCATCCCATGCCATGGAGCCTTTACTTTCACATTTGTCTATTTACCACTGCCCTGCTGTACCAGTAAAATCTGTGCTCAAATGGCTCACAGAAAGTACAAGTGGTTCCATTTGCAGATCTGTGATCAAACTATCACACCAGTCAATGTAATCAGTATGATTATATTCACCATCTACACTAAATCTTTTCCAGTCTCTGCCTGTTGGCCAATGTTTTGTCAATGCTTTAGTCAGTTTATCTTCTTGAGTTGATTCTGGCATAGCGGTTTGAGCAGTATATTCTCTTGCAAATGCTCTATGTGTGTTCATTGAAGGTGACAATGTATCTTCTCTGATAAATGTTCTTTCACGTGTTTGATAAGTTCCTTCTCTTGCATATGGTCTTTCTTGAGGGTGTATTATTTCTTCTCTCAATATTGTTCTCTCACAATGGGGTGGGCTTTGTGATTCTCTATGCATTGTTGGAGTTTCTGTATATCTTACAGTCCTCTCTTGTACAGCTATTGTGTTTTGCCCAAATCTGGCTTGAAATCTCAGTGATGGATCAACTCTTTGATTATATTCAGAGGGTGAATCTAAGTGTTGATGGAGTACATGTTGATTCATATTATTTGTTGATGTGAAAGTATCATTGTTGTTACTTGATATATCAGGTTTAAGCTCTTGAATAATTGACATCCTTGTAGCAGTGGCATTTTCTCATTATGAAGGATTTCTTTGATACATCATACACTTGTGACACTTAAGATGATATGACGTCAAAGTCTGATTTTGTATTTAAAGCTTTTGTTTTCTCTTTACCTAGCTTTTTCTCTTATTGAACTCAAACATTTTATTTGGACAATCTTCCTTCTTTACCAGATTGTTCTCATCTTTTGTTTGATCAGTGCTCAGCTTTTAATAAGCCAATTACCTGAATCTCACAGGTCAATACCATCTTAAGTTTTTCATTCATTTGTGTTAATTTTTGTTGTATCTCACCATTCTTTTCCAATATCTTATTATTTAACATTTCTTGATTTTTAAGCAATTGGTCTGTGAATTTTTTAAATTGTATTTCTTGTTGTTCCTTGTTCTTCCAACAATTCTTTCTGTATATTCTCATGGTTATCTCTCATCTTCTCTTGTAATGAGTGGTAAGATTTCATCATACCACTCTCAAACTGTTGTTGTTGCTCATTCAATTATTCACAAATTTTTGTTATATTTGTCTTCTCTTATTGCAATAATTGTGGAATTCACCTGGCTCTCATTCTTCTCGAATCTATTGAGCAATTCTTCAATTCTGTTGTAAGGATCTTTAATTGGCAATTTTATATGTTTGTCTACATTGATGTCTAATTGTTTGATAGCATTCTCAACTTCTGGCATATTACATATGATTGTGTCACGGGTATCTTTGGTACTATGCATATCTTGACACCTTTCTTGAGACATTCTATTTATTGTCTCATGGAAATTTTTTGCATAGTTGCTAAGTTTTGAAGATATCTTTTTGTCACTTTCTGATATAGGCATAGCAATTTGACTAGCTAAATCAGACATTTGTTCTATCATGCTTTGTTCAGAAAGTTTCAATGCTGGATCTTTGAATATTTTGTTTAATCTATTAGCTGCCACGCTATTGCCTGGCGGCATCTTGCCTAAATCTCTCTATAACCAGTGCCACCCATTCTCCTATGAAAGGAGAAGCAAGTTATATTTCATGGATATGTTTTTCAGAATGGATTTGTATAGACTATTGATACAGGATTTTTCAATTTCCTTTTTTTTCTTTTTGCAACGGTTGTATTATCTGTAATTTAGATTTCATTTTATGATTCATATATATCTTTCAAATGCATTTGTACTCGTTTAAGAAATTCTTTAGATTCTCTATTTTCAAGATATATATATATATAAAGTGTGAAATATTTTTTCTTTATTTCTCTTCTTTCTCTCTTTCATTAAAGAACAATTTGTCAGTTTTTTATACTTTTTTCTTAAAATTTACACTTTTATTACAGCACATACTTGAATTTCATCAAGGCATGCAATTTTTGCAAGACCAAAGTCTTTTTTGTGTTCTTATAATTGAAATGAACAATCTTCATGTTTTGAAGGATAGTAAAGAATTGACTTAATTTGGATAATTAAGTCAAGTGGTTTATCATGTTGAGGATAAAAAATCACTCAAGGCAGAGTGCGGCATGTGGTGTAGTACTGTGCATGATTGGGATGTGCACTTGCGCCTGCATCAAAGGCAGCTTGCCTGTCCTTGAAGGCTTGTGCACCTGGCCAATATGCGTGCATCCGGTGTATCTGATTGACCACACTTCTCAAGCCACAATTCTTTAGCTGCCAACAAGTCTTTACACGGTAAGATTAGCGCACCTGTCGAGTCGCATAAAAAGGGGTCTTGCAAGATATTTGATCACTTTTGAGTTTTCATACCAAGATGATGAAGTGTTAAATGATGATTGAATTTCCACCTAGCTGAAAATCATAATACATGGCCATCATAATTAAGTACCGATTTCTCTTGCGAGGCTAAGAAGCTCCTATGAAGGAAAATCCACTACCAACGCCACGTTGTATCTCACTTCTGGTTAATCCACGTCAAGATCAACAGAGAGAGGGAGAAATTGTTGGATGAGACTAGTTCCAGTGCACAAGATTTCAACGTCAGGATCCAGGATGAGAAATCGAAGGGAGATCCATTCCTCATCCTTGTCAATTTCCCCATCATTTAAGCTTGTTCCGGCCAATGTTCAAGCTTGATCATACATATTACTCTCATTCACCTGTAGGTAACTTCTGGTAACTCTCACCAACGCGAATGCTGTGTTGCCGCGCAGAGAGAGGACTTAAGAAATTGGTATTGTGTATGATCGCAGAAAATCTTTTGATGCCACTTGGGGCTTGTTGATTATGTAGCTCGGTTCTGCAAAATATGATTTAACCAAACCTACAATCCTTGGCACCGATTCCGCTTCAAATTACTCCAGGTGGGCGGGAAAACGTGGACATGGTTTTTTGCAGTATGTGTTGCAGTCAACCTAGTCCGTTGATCTTGAAGCTCTCTTTACAAGAACCACCCGATGGGGTGCGTCAGCTTGTGTTCAATTGTTGCTTGGAAATTGATGAAACGACAAACAATCGACATTGCATGACGAGACCCCCAAGCAACGTCCCCGTTCGATGCAAGGCTTGATGATTCGTCGGCTCAGCGAGCCACATTTACATTTCCATTCTCACTGCCAATTCAACCTCTGAGGGCATCATCACATGGAAACTGGCGTCATGGGATGCTTAGAAATTCTTCGAGACTGCGGGCTAGACCTATGACAGGAGTGTCTTTGACTCCCTACAAACTTTCTCGATGGACCATGCGCAACAGGGGTCAGTAGTTCATCGCGCTCTGTTATTTGTGTCTCTCTGAACTAGATACTCCAGTCATCCTGTTCATCATCATCATCCAAGAATGCTGATCGAGTATGACCTACTCATAACTTCCCACTCGTAAGATCAAGGAACACGTTTTTTCTGGTAATTAGTAATCAAGTTGAAAATGTTATCGTCGCCTAGTTCTGAACGTTGAGGACAGCCGGTGCCATATCCAGGTGGTTTTTCATGCCTTATCAGATAAAGACACGTAACACATACCAAGATGCATTTCATGCTGCCTCAAGGCACCTGCGGAATATCCCCCGGTAGGTATCTTCTGCTCACTTGCAATTTTGATATTGATGATTGCAGTACGGTACCGTGCAATGAGACTATCAGTGGGTCCGTACGATGTCTTTTTTTCCCTTCAACCCACCAGTCGTACAACGTTTCTCATCGTATGGTTTGATTGAACTTTCCAACAAAAATAAAGATACGATCGCAATCTGTCGGATCGTCCATCTCCCCCCATTCTTGCAAATCCAGTGATCTTCTGGTCGATTTTTTTCCAAAACTGTCTTTTCTTATCCGTAAAAAATGATCGAGGTACACAGCCAATAATCTTTCAATTGTCCAATCAGACATTCAATTAAGACCTTAGAGAACTTCTCCCTTCTCCCGCCACATAATAAAATACAATGAACCCCTACCGAGGAGGGGGATTAACTTGTGCGACCGATTATCGTCATTCAAACTAGAAAGCTTGCACGTTATTCACATCTCCTATCTTAAACTCATTGCGTCTTTAATAGCAAAGTTTCCTTTTCAATTGTAACTCTTTTCAATCATCTAGCGTTTGATTGTGTATATGGTTCATACTAAAGAGCCGCAATAACTCAGAGAAGCGCCTAGGCTGACCAACCGAGTTGACTCGGTCTGCAGTAGCATCGTAGATAATTTGAGTTTTAAAGAAAATCAAACTTTAAATCTCGATTTGAATATTTTTTTGGGCTAACCGCTTAACCGACCTAAATTTTCTATAAGATCTCATTCTTCCCTTCTTCACTTTCCACATCCGCCACTCCTACCAACACAAAAAGAATCTATAGTATTTCTATATCCTTTTTTTATTCACTGGCAGTCATCAATACCAAAGAAAATTCAAGCAAGGAGAAATCATCAGTACTTCTAAGCTCAATGTCATCTCAAAGTCATCAATCCCATGATTTGCTTTATGCTACCTTGACACCTAAATTCAATTCATCTACCATAAATCAATCTATTCAATCTCATCAATTTTATTCAAAAGCAAATCTTAGTACGAATTTCAATCATTCAACTCCTTCTATAATTTGTTCTTCACCTATCTCGACCCAATCTAGTTCATATGAAACTCTCAAAGAACTTCATGCTAGGTTCATCAAAGCTAGACAGTCTTCAAGAAATTCTTATCCTATCAGGCAAAAACATTTGAGAAAAGAGTCTAGCACGCATAGGTTTTATGAGCGTACGTTTTCATTTATCTTATTCTTTCGAAGTCTGTGATATCAAAATTTATGGCAAATGAAGACCTAGTGCAAGTTCTGATTTCATGTGTTCTGATGTTCTTTTCAGGTACAAAACAAAATCAAGAGTTTCGGAAGATAGATGGATTTGACGTCACCTCTGAACCACACTCGAGTTTCAACAATGAAAGGACCCGAACGATGGGATTTTTTGACTTGTCTCCTCAATTAACGAGGTTTTACCTCGAAGGTTCCCAACCTGAAGAAAAGAATTTCAATCACCAAGCATCAAATTCCATTTCAAGCCAGCATTCTGATAACATCAAAAAATCGTCTAGTATCAACTGGCAATCTTGTAAAACAAATTTGAAAACTCTTGAAAGATTTGGTTTGAATCAAAGTCCTATTGAATTCGCCAATATATCTACATTTGAAGTTGATCAGAAGCCCATCAGAACAACCAGTGAGCCATTATGGTTCGCGATGTCACCGCTCTCATCCGAACTAGAGTGGCAAGAAGGTCAAATCAATTCAGAAGAAGAAACTGATGACAGATCAGATTGGTCAAGTCTCCTTGATGATGATGAAATCGAAGAAGAAGTTCTTTCAAATACTTCACTTTCGCCTATAGATATCCCTGGTACCAAACGGATTCTACCTATTTGTAGTTCACCACTTTCAACTAGTGCTTCTGATGGATCTACTCAGATTGATACTTTATCTGGAAGTGATCCTAATACGTTCTAAATGTTCTTTCGTTATTACTTATCATTCTTCTTGCTCCAACTTCAAGCTGCCCCAGTAGGGTAGTATCACAAACTTCATCCTGTCAATATTTTCAATAATTTGTTTTTCTCAGAAAATCTAAATCATACGCACTCATCTAGTTTTTCATTCTCAAATCAAATACATCAAATCCCTACTCATCTAAACTAATTTGTAAGCCGAAGTGATTTTTGACAAAACTTCTCTGTGAATTCTTTGTATTCAAAATTTCTTTTGTAAAAACTTAAAATCATCATCATCTTGACAATTTTTTCCCATCGACTTCATTATTTTTTATCTTATTTATTTGTGATAAAAATCAAAAAAATAAAATTGGTATCAATCATATAGAATAGACTAAAGAAAATCAAATGAAGAATGGAAATTTATGGATGGAATCGAGGTTCAAAATTATACAGTTGAAATGAAACTCTAGTTAAATACATTTGCTCTTCTAAATTGTTAATTATTTTATACTTTTGAAATTTTGATAACTTTTTTTGGGGGAGGTTGAGATGGTTTTCTAGATCTGTGGGGTCTGTGAATGCATAAAGTAAATCTCCAATGAGCCTTCAGCAAGATAATTGATCAACATGACGCAGATTGAGAATACCGTAAAAGCTCGGCACCCGTTTCAGAAACGTCCAGAAAGAAAAAAAATCGTCAACAAAATATTATTTGCTTCTGAGTCTGGTGGGGAGGAGAGAGATAGTGTGTACAATCCACACTGGCAAAACCACCCCCACAGATTTTTAAACCTCATGGTTTATCATGCCTGTTATTCATAACCTAAGATCCCATCCATAATCTCACTATGCTTTGGTCACTCTCAAAATTGTAGGCCCTTGCCTTCATGAAGTCCAATCTACCTGTTCTCCAATCTTTATCACAGTGCCACCCTGACCCGACATACGCAAGTTTACATAGAGTACCGCTGCTGTAGCCTGTCGGTATCTCATCTGAATAGCCTTATAACGGGTTTGACCCAAGTACATAAGATTTTTCCCGTTGAGAAAGTTTCCAGTCAGTTTTCAATGCAAGTGATTCTTCCTGATTCTACATAGCCAAATTGTTCCATCTCATATCCTTGCAAGCATTGGACACGTGTTTCCCATTAAAGTTACGGCATGATGGCAACCATGATCGAATTCGCTGGTCGACTTCAAACCATGTACGTGCATCCGAGTCCGTTGAGTTTAAGCTTTTAGTGACCGGATCGCCATCGTGATCGAGGTTCAAGGAGACGTGAATGCAGTTGGGTCGCTCAACTTTCTATAGATGAGCTGAGCTGATCAAGATCAGGTCGGGACACAACCGAATTGAAACAGTTCAGTCTGAGTCTGAGAGCCAAATGATAATCAGATTAGCCAAGGAGGTTGTTAGCTGACTGACTTGAGTATAGCGAAGAGAAGGAGAGTTTGATGAAAGTGATTGGTTGATGATTACTGATTGAGTTCTTGGGTGCTTACCAAAAATTCACAACTTGAAGTGAAACTTGAATCTCAACTAAAGTCAGACCAGCTTGATATCTTGAACTCTCCTCGACAACTTTGTCACGTAGTCATTTTTTTATGAATGGCGATGTGAATCCCAATTCAAACTTCAAATATCATCTTTACTTCTTTGTATGACTCGTTTCGACTTCCGGACAGATTCATAACTTGCTATTTCGTCGACCTCAAGTTCGCTGTTGCCAAGCACAACGAATCCTCTTTTCCACTTAGCCGTGATTCACCTTACCCTTTAGATTTGTAAGACCTCCGACGCCGAAGGCTTGGGCTCCAATAGTCGTTTGGCTTGTTGACCGACATAATAGCCGTCACCTTGATTTGACTCCCTGGATCCCCTGAACAATCTCACATAACTGTACTGTCGATTTCGGTCATCAATCTACCAGCCTGCATCGTTAGTATCATCGGTTCCGCTTTGAACGGTCATTTCGAAACGTGAGCCGCTTGAAATAACCCTGTTGAATGTCGAGACGCAACCCTGCAACATCACTTGAACTCAGATTGCTAAACTGAACTTCCTCCGCTCTTATATCAATAAGCGCATCTTCTCAGATCCGACCAGAGTATCATTACCTTCACGTATCGCTAACGATGTATCTGCACGTGATTCCACCAGAATCTATGAGCGATGTGCCAGAATGTGTATTGACTCATGATGTCCAATATGACTCGAGCTTTTATCAAAAGAAATCCAAACCTTTCGCCAAAGTTTCGATGCCTGTTGGCTACACCCAAACCCAATCACTGTGTCAACAATTTGTAAGACTGACTTCATTCTGTTGGATCCGCATATACCTTGATTGACCCTCTTTGCATTTCCTCAATTGAATCCTTTGACTCAGGGAATCGAGCCGCATACATTGCTTTGTATGGATTCTACTTTATGGAGGCAACAAATTATTGACACGGTAGGTGCAAGTGTTCTTGAGCTGTATATCCCCCCTTCCACCTTTTGACATGGCTCAGCTTTGCGATCTGATAAGTAGCAGCTAAACTTACCTATCAACCTTGATGTTTCAGGTCACATTCGATATCCCCAGCGAGCGAGTATCCATCAAGTTTGTCAACGGAACCGTTTCTGATTGCACTTTTATGGAATGCGAAAATTCAACGTATAAAACACCTCCAGTCAAAGAGTTCAAACCAGGAGCTTGGGCGCCTTCAGAATTATTTCCAACCTCATCAGCCGAAGGATCACTCGAGAGCCGTATCAAATCAAAGCTGCTTACTCAGCTCAACCACCTCAGGGAAATCTGCTTTGCTCGTCAAGATCCTTTAGACTCTCATCTGGCCATGTTGTCAGAAATGACTCACAGTCAATTATCGAGGCTGAGAAAGTCAACTCGACCTTCTCCTCTCGCGCCAACCGATTTCCAACGCTTGAAAGATCTGAAGCGGTCTCTCCAAGCCCCTAGCGGCCCGAGCAAGCCGCGAAAACCAACGACTCAAAAGCGGCGCGCACCGAGCTTAGGCTTGCTCAAGAGTCGAAAAAAGCTCAAGCTTGCGGGAGCTGGAGATAACCGAGAAGAAAAAAATCCAGAGTCACAATATGAGCTGAACTTTGACATACCATCACCTGAAGTTTATCAGTTGATCTCAAGACTTTCAAGCTTCCGAAGTACGCTACTCGATCTCTTCCAGACGGTCATCTTAGGTCTCCTCAGAAATGCTCTTCCGTGCACTTATCCTCTCTGGGTTGTGAAGTCTGAGCTCGACTATGTTCGAGAGCATTTCACGTCCCGAGCCATCCGTTTTGCTGAACTTCTGCATGGCTCAACCTCGCTAAAGAAGACTCAGAGAGACCACGGCTTCGGGGGGTCCGAAGATGGGTCACTTACCCAATTGAGAGATTGGTGTAGGATGGTGAAGTCATCCCACTTACTTGTGGATGAGGACGCCGGACATAGTGAATTCACATCGGCCGAGACAAGCTTGGATGAGCCAGCTCCCAATGTCATCAAGCCTCACATGCTCGAGACATTCATACAAGACCATCCTGAATATCAACCCCGATCTCTCAGTCACCAGATAACGGATTTACACCCAACTTGGATCTCTCTCAAAGGTAAAGAAGACTTTCACGGACTGCAGGAGACGGTTCAACTTCATTCATCTACATCATCGGAAGTCAGCTCTATCGCCGATAATCAAGCTTGCAATTTGCGCTCTGGTATTGATACTGCACGCGAAGCGCAAATTCAACATGGCCCCACATACCGATTTTCAAGAGCCCCGACACCTACTCTTTCACCTACCCCTAACCGTCCAGGACCTATCTCATTTCCTGATCAAGCGTCCTGTAATTCTACTTCCATATTCCAATTTCCCACTCTCGCTCTAGAGCCTGCGTTCCTGTCGAGCATCGCACCTCAACTAGCCCAAGAATCTGCTATCGAACTTAGTACTCAATTGGCTGAAGACTGTATCACCATGGATAAGCTTGATACCACTTTCCTGACCATTACACTTTTAGAAGAGGAAAGGCTCGCCAAGGAACAATTCGCTGGCCTAGATCGATTTTCAGATGTCATCACTGCCTCTCGACTGGCGGGGGGATGGGGTGAGGGCCATGCAGTGGATATTGCTACAGATGCGACTATCACAGCAGCACTAGCAGCTGTCAAGGCTCGAATCAAACGTTTTGCAGACGCTCTACATTCTCAGCCTCACAATACCCAGCTTAGCTCTCCGCCCGTTCTACCTAGTAAACAATCTGAGGTTAGACGTAGGATGGCTGCTAAGCGTCGTACATGGCTCGCTGTAACACGTCGACTTGATCGTAGTTGGATTACTGCCGATCCCACTGCTGATCATGGAATTGAGCCAGTATGGCCTGAGCCGATCTTTTTGAAGAAGACGACCAAAGGAAGAAGAAAGTCAGAAAAACGAATCCAGTTGGATAATCCAGGCGACTCGATCATCAACAGTGCAAGCAGAACTCGATCTCATGTATCTTCTGGGACTGACCGCGTGGATAACAGGGACGACTATCATGCTGGGACTTCGGCACACTTATCTGGAGCTATGGTGGAGCGGCGCGAAGAATTTGGATACCAGCAGCTTGGAGAGGTTACTCACGCCCATCCCGAATATGAGGATGCGACCTTGAATCCTGGTATGACACTTGATCATCATCATCCGGAACTAGTTGAGATGAGTGAGGACACCGCTATCGAGTCTGAGCCAGAAGAATCTACAAAGATTTTCAACAAGTTACCGGCTGATGAGACCGCTGCAATGGAGGATGTTGAACTTGATCAATTGATGAATACTAGTTCAGGAATCGAAGAAATTATTAAAGGTGAATTGAGATATTTAGATCATCATGATGATGAAGATGGTGAAGATTTAAGTGATGTAGATTCAGAATGGCCAGAATGTAGTGGTCCGACGCAAAATCAATTGGCTATGATAGCTGGACTTTGATTTCCTTTGGAAAGAGAAGGAAGAAGTAGAAAGAATTTAATTAGTGATTTTAAGGCTCAGTCAAGTTTCATTTCGTCTATGTTTATGAAATTTTGACTATTACCTTCCTGGATTTGATTTTCGAGATTATAAAGGACATTTAATAACAGCAAAGAATTTATTATTATTCCAAGATGCATTATCATGAGAAATTTGTCGAGCATTTTTATGTGTATGGGTCAATTTTCCCGATATTTTTGAACTTTAAAATTCAAGTTTGATAGTATACCAATTTTGTTGTACCAAGGGCTGTAAGAAGTATTAGATTTAAATATCCTAGAGGTTGTTTTTCTGGGTTCAAGGTTGTTGTTGTTTTATCATATCCTTCTCTATACATCTTCTTCAAATCATGTTGTTGTTGTTATCTTCGTATGCCATTATTTATTGAAATGATTCGTAATCAGTGTTTTATACAAAACACAATGCACTGCAACAAGCAAGAAGTTTTGGTCCATGAACTTGATTGCCTACTCAAACTGTCATGAGGTTGTTGATCCGGTTTGATTTATCAATCCAGGGCATAATGGATTACACCCTTGGATTTTGATCATCATTGAACTTCAAGTCCACCTATCTTAGGGTAGCAAGTTTTTTGAAAGAATGGGGATTTCATTGGATCGCATGTTGTACAGCTGTGTGCCACTTTCTTTTGGGGCGCACCGAATTCACGAGCCTCAAAGATTCGGAGATAGGAACCGGATGTGCCCCATTGAATTTCTTTCCCAAACACATGAATACTCCAGAACATATAAGGATACAGATCATGCTTTAAAAAGAGACATATGATATATTCAGGTATACCAAAGACGAAAGAAGACAACATAAAAGTAAAAGATAAAACAACAACAAACTAATACCTAGCTCGATTCAAGAAATCCAATCCATTAAGTTCTACAAATCTCCAAGTTAAATTCACGACGAACATCTGCCAAAAAGGATGGATTGGATAAAACTTTCCAACCCGTAAAAGCGATTCCTTTAGCCGATTTCAAAGTAAGCTCATGTGCTTCTTCAGTGGCTGCTGCAGTGGTGAAACCACGTGTATGGTTTCCTTCACCGGGTTTAGTAGGGATTTCATAAATCGGATGGATTGCTGGTACTTTATATGATACATTTCCCTAAAATAGTAAAATCAAGATATGATATTAATTAGCTTTCATCTTCTATGGTACCGATAGATGAACAAAAAACTAACAAAATCAGTAGATCCAAGTACTGGACCCGTCAACGGAACTGGAATCTTCATGACCGATTCCATGTAATGTTTATATTCAGTTCCTAAACGACTATTATTCTTCAAATCATAGTATACTAATTCTTCCTTCAAAGTATATGTACAACCGGTAGAGAGTGCAGCAGCTTTGAAACAGTTGAAGACACGTTCTTTGAGCTCTAGCATTTCTTTGCTGGTAGGTGCTCGAATCCCATACTTGAGACAGGCGTAGTCAGGAATCACTAGATTGATGACATTCTGAATGGTCAGTATTTCGGATTGATTTGAGGTGTTGATTTGATCGAAAAGACTGACCATTGGCTGTCCATCGTTCTGATCCTTGAATGATACCATGAACTCTATGAGTGGGATGAACTATAATATGAGAATTAGGTTTAGCTTCTTGCTCATGACAGAAAGAGATGGAGAATTTTACAAACTTTGTTGTCGAAGAGTTGAGATACTGGTATAAGCTGCTACAGCTGCATCAAGCGCATTGACCCCTTCCCATGGTGCACCTGCCGCATGGGCACTGTTCACACCAAAGAGAACAGCAGAATCAGTAAGTATTCATTGGATAGCTTGAAAGGATAAGTCAAGAATCTAACTTTTTACCGTGATACTCCACAATGACTTCTGTGATTGCAAACATACCAAGCAATCCACCAAAAGGGGCAGGATGTAACATGAGACAAGCCTGTAAACTCCATTTCTGTCAGTCAGGTGATCGTAAAACGATGAAGGATCAAAAACTAGATCACTTACGTCCATAGGCTTATACGCACCCCTATCGATCAGGGTGAGTTTACCACCAATATCTTCTTCTGCTGGAGTTCCCAAAAGAATTACTGTACCAGGTAAAGATGCCTACAGAAAATTAAACGCAGATAGTGTGAGTCAGTATATGCAGTGCTCGGAGTCAACACATCTGTTTGAAAACTCACTTTGGTCAAAGCCGTGGCAGTAGCTATCGCAGCAGCTATTCCTGAGATACAAATGAGAGGATGGCCACATGCATGACTGATGTGGTAGATTTCAGCCCTTGAATCTTGACATGATACTTAAAAGGTCAAATACCACGTACCCGATTTGTGGCAGTGCATCCATCTCTGAATTAAACCCGATTGTGGGACCACCAGAACCTCTACTAAAGACAGCTTCCACAGCAGTTTCCATTCCATAAGCATGTCTGGTAACTTTCCAACCTAATTAAAAACCAAACCAATTTTTTTTCAGTATGATTTAAAGTTTCATTTGATGATTTTGAATCATACCAGATTGTTGTGACATAAAATCGGCTAAAAGATCGTGTGTATGATACTCTTTCATAGCCGTTTCTGCATACTCAAACATCTTTAAACTGAATGTACGTAAATCGTTTGAAAGATTATCGATTGATTGTTCAATGATTGAAAGATATTCATCATTCGTTGGTAAACTTGAACTTAAAGCTGAATAAGCTGGTGGTTCTCGATCAGGATTGAAATCCTGCATCATCGGGAAAGAAAAACTTTTTAATTGTCGAGGTTTATAAATGCTAGACTGGTGTGTTTTGGTTGATGAATTGAATTTACCATGGGTGTGAGTATTCCACATCTACAAGATCCGGATTGATCGGTTTTCGATTCAGGTCTTCTTGATGGTGGTGATGAAGTTGAGTTTCGAGAACTTCCTGCAATTGCGTTTATCAAAGGAGAAAAGCAACCTGCCATTTGAAAGCTTTGAGAATAAGGGTACTCAAAGTAAGTATGTACGTGTACATACTTTTTGCTATATACTTTTTTTGGCGGGGAAGGCGAGGCCAAAAGTATATTTTTTTTCTTTGTCCCCGCCAAAAAAAAGTATGTAGCGAAAAGTATGTAGCGCTACATACTTTGCTTTGAGTACCCTTAATGATGTGAGATGAATATGCAAGAAGTTGTGGTGAATTGGAAAGTTATCCGTGGCAGAAAGGTCAGAGAGATAACTCATATTAAGTGGTTTTGTCATCAGAACCTATGGAAGTCATTTCCTCAAACAAACTTCCAAAATCCTGTTCCCTCCTGTTTACTGTAGCATTTATCCACAATCCGATTCCCATGTTGTGCATATTGTTTATCAACTTGCTCGCTTTCAAAGTGCCAAACACTGGTACCATTTTGATCACAAAATACCCACTTCCCTTTTTGCGTCCAGGTCTGAACTGGATCTGATCACTTGGTACAAAAAAGAACAAGAAGGAAGCATGGAAAAAAATCCTGGAACTCATAATATACGTCAAATCATCTATTACATTTTTGACCCATCCCTCAGGGCTGTATCTGAAGCCGATGCCAATCATTTCGAGTTTCCTTGCAAGTTGAGGGTGTGTATCATTGGGTTTGAAAACGTGTCAAGAACTCTTCATAACGTGGACTTCAGCAATTTAAATAACATCATGACCTAGACTCTCCTAGACTTGAAAGAGGAGGACCAGATTGAGCCCCTGGACGGTCGACCTCTTCCGACTATACACAATTGAGCAGACTAACGCGCCACCTCTACCTCGCCCTCTTATGCTATAGGGCTAGGCACTGCTATGCCTACACGCCATTTATCCAGCGCACGCGGAACTAAGACCGGTTAAAGTGTACTAGAGTGAAGGCTTTGATTAAGGATACGTGCTATTTTCTCATGCAAAATTAAAGAAGCTCGATGGGAGATCCTTGGGATCCGTTGTAAAGGAGAGGTGCTCTGCTAAGGCTGGAATCTGGATTGAGGATCGGACTCTGGATGGGATGAAGTGTGATGGTTGAATGTTGAACTGACCTTGCTGGTGGTTCTTGATGAAATGAAGCATGAGTTGAATTTTAGGAGGTTTTTTGCAATTTAAATTGTAGCTTATGGTCTAAATTTTAATTGATTGAAAAAACAAACCATCAGGCTTTCAAACGGTTAATCCAATAGCCATCGAATTCGACACAGCCCACCACGATCGAAAAACCAAGTTGCTTGGAATTCTTTAAACTGGTGATTGGGTTGGTTACCATTGAGTAGAACCAGTAACAAGTAACAATCAGTTTTTTTTTCAAGATTCTATTGAGTTCTGATCTTTACCATCCATTTCACAACTAATTGAACCTTTCATCCGAAGTCTACTTTCATTTTCTTTCTTCTCCTTAACTTTCTCCCACACTGCCCTCAAAATTCGATCCCCTCGGCATTGGAGTTTCACCTTCATTACTTTTTGGTCTTTTCCGCATTCACGCTTCCCTTTCTACACTTCAACCAACGTTTCATCGAACGTTCACAATCAATCAGGATCGCAATCGATTACCATCCTTTCAACCTATTTTCGTTCCTCTCGGTTAGGACTGTACTCTGTCGTACTTCTAATTAGAATCGGATTGATTTCCTTTACAACAACCACAAAAACCAATCAAACATCGACCCTCTCTGAACACTTGCGGCGCATCCCACAACTCTCACTTCTCAGTCTCTCTAGTCAGAGTCAACAAAGGATTCTAGCAGGAAACTAATCAACCTTCTACTCATCAACTTAACACCTTGGTCACTCCAAGTCGACCTTTATCATCAAGTATGACTTCTTTAGCACCCATTCGACCGCCTTCATCGGCTTCAAACAGGTCTTCAACTCCTGCTGGGCAGTCTAATGGCGTCTATCGCCATCAACACTCGCTCTCGTCATCCACCCCTGCCAATCAACACTTTGGTGCACTCTCTCCTCACTACGGGGGCGCACGCAGCGCAGGTGGCCCCAGACAAAGCCTAGATGCTAGCAAGGCCTTGGCCGGAAGTGGGCCCATGAGCCCTCGTATCACATCTGGTGGTGGTATGAGACCCAACAGTGAAATGTTGGGTCTCGGTGGCCAACAGATATTTGGTCCATCTCTCGAAGGTTTGTCATCCCTCCTCTAATGACCTTGTTGATTACTGGATATATTTCTCCGTGCCTGTGTACTTACAATTTGATGTATCACTTGATCGATGTTCTTGTTATAGCTGAGGCGATCGACAAATGGTTCGAGGATCTCCAAAGCTATGAGGCGACTTTAGAAGAAATGGCTGCCGCCAGTTTAGACGTTAACTTCAAAGAAGAGGTAAGCTGGCATTTATCTTACCCCTCAATCCGCATATATTCTGACGATTTTCTCTTCCAACAGCTTAGCGCCATTGAGCAATGGTTTCGTGTCCTTAGTGAGGCCGAAAGAACTGCTGCTTTATATTCCCTTCTTCAGGTAGGTTGCTCGATATCCGCTCTCTGTTTCTTCTTCAGACTCACCGATCACTTTCATTACACAGTCATCCACTCAAGTCCAGATTCGTTTCTTTATCACTGTACTTCAACAAATGGCTCGAAGCGATCCGATGACCGCACTTTTAAGTCCTGCGCCCTCAGGCGGCGGTACGTGTATCTTCGCTCGATTTAACACCACATCAATTTGAACTTAGCTGTTCTTTCCCTTATACAGCTGCCTCGATGGAACAGCAAATGGAAGCTAAGCTGGCTCAACTTAGCATGAAATCCCCTGCTTCACCTGTTGTCCGCCAATTTGCGAGACAATCTTTGGGGACCAGTATCAACACCCCAACCGAAACATATCTTAGCCCGAACTCGGCCCTCTTGAATGAATCTACCAACTCCAACAATGGCAGTGCGAGCGAGGCTGCGGCCTTGTTAGCTAATCAACGCGCCAAACTCAAAGCTAGTTCGGCCAACCGCGTTTCTGCTCCTGTCCAACTCTTGGCTGACAACAGTCTCAAGAGTCCCAAGTGGAATAACCACTCTGGCACTGTTGAAGAGGAAAGTAGTATCAATCGATCGCCCAGTCCGAGACCAAAGAGCACGGGAAGCGACTTGAACACAAGTCATCATAACGCTTCCCATGCCGCCTTCGCCCGCGCTGCTGCTGCTGGTACTCCTGGATTAGAAAGCCAACTCAGTCCGATCCTCGGCGGAAGCTGGGCTAGCCAAGTCAACACTCCTCTTGTACCTATGTTCGCCAATAAGGAAGATGGTGGACATGCTGCCGATGCTAATTCGCAAGGCTTAGGCGACGCCGCGAACCGTTTGGCTCAATGGGGAGCCGCTCATCAAGCCGGCTCGACAAACGCGAATTCCACTCCAGCTCCATCTGCCACTCCTAACACGCCAGGGGATTCACCCACAAATGGGATTCAATTAGATGACGCCCGAAAATTTCGCCGTCAAAGCAAAGGACTCCAAGGCACCGCTGCGAGTGGTGAGTTACCCGACATATACTAATTGCCAAAATATTTTGACTTATCCTGGATTGTATAACAGGACAATCTTTCTCAGGTGTATTATCCGGACTTGGCCCGAGCTCTAACAACAGCATGACATCTGGCCAGAACTCTAACAATAACTCTCAGAGCGGCATGCCAAACAACATGTCTAGCAGCATGGGACATGCTTCCACCCCACAAATCTACACCGGTAGCGGGCAAGGCATGCAGAACCGAACAGGCGGATTATCAAACTCGTATGGCGGACCTCGCTCCGCTTTGCATTCAAGCAATGGTGGTGGCATGCCTAGCCCTATGACCACTCAATCATTACTCAATGCTCAACAAGCCGCCATGGCTGCTCAACAAAACTGGCGCAATGGATTGAATAGTCCAAACGTACAAAACGCTGCGGCGGATCCGACGATGGTAAACAACTTGGCTATGATGAACACTCTGGCTGGATTTAACGGCGGCATGAATTTGAATGGAATGGCCAATATGGCGGCTATGACCAAGTATGTTTTTTCGCTTCGTTCCCGATAATTGCTGTAATCACATAGTGATGAATTTCATTTTCCTACCGGGTTTTTCAGCATGAACGATCCTAATGCCCTTCAAAATATGGCAAATCTTCTTAACATGCAACAGCAGATGCAACAAGCGCAACACCTTCAAGTCTTACAGCAACAGATGCAGATGGGTGGTATGATGGGTGGTGCGCCTATGATTTCTCCGCTCTCTGCCCGCCTAGGGATGAGTTTCCCCGCTGGTTTCCCGATGATGGCTGGAAATCAAGGATTGGCCAACAAGCGTAGCCCGAACGGTCGTTCGCCGGTCGGTAAACCATCTCACACTCCTGGATCAGGATCTAACCCAGATGAGGAGCTTGACATGAAGCTTTTGAGTGACATTCCGGCTTGGCTCCGTGGTCTTCGATTACACAAATATACACCTAACTTTGAAGGATGTACTTGGCAAGAAATGGTTCTCATGGGTGACTCCGACTTGGAATCTAGAGGTGTTGCCGCTGTGGGAGCCAGACGCAAAATGCTCAGAACGTTTGAGACCGTTCGAATCAAAAAGGGAATGGCCTTACCCGGTGATGGTGAAGATAAATCAGGTGGTTCTGAACTCGGTGCTAGTGTCAGCAAAGATCAGAAAGAAACCGACACCACTACTACCGAAAGTGATAGAGACTCTAAGGCTTAAACACCTTTTCGATCTTGTTTTTCTTTTTATGGTGTGCTTCAAGGTTTTACTTGCTAGCCGACCTATGGAACTTGACCTCGTCTTGTGCTTGTATTTGAAACGTACTTCTTCTTGAAGTACGTCTGTCAGACTTTAAATCTGAATTTTTGTTGGAGAATCAACAGATGGGTTGGGTTGGGTTTGCTTACCATGTTGTAGTAAGCCTGATGACTTATCTTCTATTTACTATGGTTTCCTTTTTTTTGGTTTTGTTTGAGTGTGTATAAGATTTTTGGCGCGCATGTTCTGTTTGTTATGAATTCTTTCTTACTTTCTTACATCTATTCATCCAGCCCTATTCAAATGGTTCTTTTAAGCCTTATAATCAAACCACTACTACCATTATCATGTATTTCCATCTGAGAAAACCTTTTATGATCAACCACTGATCCCCAAATTGTCTTGTTTTCAATCTTTGTTTTTGTTTTGTGTGTGTGTCTGAGAATGATGATGAATTTGATTATGAATAAAGTGTTTTTTTTGTTGTGAGTTTGGGGTCCCTTAGGCTATTGGATGGATATCCTTGAGTACTGGATCAAGTTTGTGCCACGTTTCATTGGGAGAAGGATGTTGTTAAACTCAGTTAACGTATTTTGGATTCAATAGAAATCAACCCGCCTTGCAAATCTCCAACCTTTAGGTGTATGGTTGCTACTGTCAAAGGCTTATGAATTTCAGACGGATACTGCAAATGCCCAAATCCAATGTTCTCACTCAAAACTCAACATTTTGAACATTTGAGAGCAGCTTTGGGATCTTCATTCTTATGTCTGTGCATGTATAGATTTTCTCAAATATTGACCTGCAGTTTTCCATGGATTGTTCAAGTGTGGTTTCTGAGTGGAAATTTGGATTTGATGATAAAAAACAAAGAAAAATGAAGAAAAGTGAAGTTGGAATCAGATCCGTTAGAAAATCTATAGATGGAAAGCAGGCAGGTTGAGCATCTTGGAGACGGTCTTAGGTGCTTGAAATGTTGAGTTTTGAGCAAGAACATTCAATCTGAAGGTTTGGACTAGTGGAATTCATAAGCCTTTGAAAGTAGCAACTATAGCCAGCTTTTTTTGTGTAGCCGAACTAGGTAGAGTAGTCTTGAGTTACGCAACATACAAAATTATGCTACAGAAATGCTCATGTGAGGATGACTGCAAGATATACTGTGAGCTGTGATTTGAAACCTTTGTTGGCTGGATTTGAGCTGGTGGATCTTGCTGCCCCATCTTTCCAGATTTGTCATCTTTCATCAAAATCTGAAAAAATCTATTAGGGTTATATTAAATTTGGCCAAGATGAATGGATGAACGTCTAAATTTGTTGACATTTTTGGACTTTTGATCAGATGATCTTTTTGTTCATTGTCTCTTTGCCATCTAGACACCATCCATGTTTGTAATATTTCTTATTGAAAAGGCTTATTTGAAAAAGCAATATATATTGCTCCCATATTTACAATGGGTTGGTTTGTGGAATCAAACTATCCACATCTTGACATTCATCTTGAGTCTAAGTTATCTTGACAATAAGATGATTGTCCAGACTGCAGATGAAGAAAGTTTGATCTTTCATCTTGAAGATTCTTCTTACGCTTATGATGACTCGTGAGCATTGGGATGATTTACATCAAGTTTCATGGAGCTTGATCTATGTATTACCAGGATGTTTGGTCAGCTTGCTGAAACCAAATAGGTCCTTGTATGTGAAATATCCCTTGGAACGATGATATGTTGACTTGTTTGATTGTTCTTATGTTGTAATCATGAAAGGGTGATTCTAAGTTACAAACTACAGAATTAGGACATATAGGAGGCACAAGAATCACATAAATTTGTGGTAGGAGAATAGAGACACATAGATATGTAGAATGCTAGTCCAATCTGATAAATATAATGGACTGCTTGAAGTGAGCACGCTTAAGATAGACAAAACATGAGATGATGTCTGATGAGTCTGAGGTACATCAACCCGGATTAGCCATAAAGCTTGATGATGTGAGGGATGATGTGAATTATGAAAGGTTAGTTCTCAGCCTATCTGAATGCTCTTTTGTCGTCTACGTATGGAGTTCTCGGTAAGTCTTTGAATGTGGCATATATCATAGCTAATCTCATTCCTTCTTAACCTTCCATAGACTTATGCTTGCTGTAGAACTCATCATATATCTCAGCATACCAATTTTTTGTCGATTGAGCAAGTGTTTAGATTAGATATTGAGGAGCTACTACTCCTTGTCTCGCTGTGAACTTTGTTTCTCTCTAGAACTTGTAGGACGCATGATGACTAGGCAATTTGCAAAGGATGTAATTCTTCAAGAAAGAAGTATAAATGTCAAGTTGACGGATTTTGTTGAAAGAGAAAACTCTGGTCTGACCACAAATAGTCAAGTGTATAAGAATCCCAATAAAATATATTTTATCCTCCATGCAAGAACCATTAATTCAAAAATTTCTCCGCTCAATCATAAATACCGTACGGTACAAGCGTGATCAGAGAAGACAGCCAAAAGAGACAGGACAAAAAATGAGTGAGATAACCAATTATACATGTTAGAGTCCATGAGTAACATCAGGGTGTACTTGTTCTCTTTTTGGTTTGAAACTTCCGGAGAGAAGTAGGTCCTGGTACATAAGAGTTAAGAAAATAAGATAGAAAGACTGAGAGAGCACAAAACAAGAGATACTGAAATTCTGATGATTAAATGAGGTTTGTTTCGCGTGTTAAGTGAATCAAATGATAGGATGTGAAATGAAAGAAATTGAGTGGGGACAAAACGGAACAGATGAAACCTAGAGCAATAACTTTTGCCCTAATGGCTTCCAATGATACTTGAAAACTGCAGGAAGAACTGATTGACGAAGATAGCGAAGGGCTCGAGACTCGTTCGGCTATATGTTGATGAATTTTTATAAAAAAATGCAATCATTAGTATTCATCATCCAAATAAAAAGCTCATAAAGGGGAATACCTCAAATACGCACCAAAGCAATTATCACCACTCGGTCACCAAGCACGAGGTCCGCCCATCTTTTCTCCATGTTTCAAGTTACTGGTACGCTGCATTCCTCGACTGACTAAGCGGCGTTCACTTTGAACCGCAGATGTGGCTCCTGATATGTCGACACCACCCACAGCCCGTCTTTCAAGAACATGTGATTGATGTGAACTATCTGCGGCCATTGGACCGGAATCAGGTACACCACCAACCGCCCGCTTGGCGTTAAGGGACTTAACGGATCGGACCATAATTCCAGAATCCGTAATGACAGTAGCTCGTTTCTTCTTGTAGCTCGGGGCGCGTACGAACTTGAGAGGTTCAGAAGAAGGCGCGTGCATTGGTGAGCGCTTCCAAGACGGAGCCCGTGAATAGTCTTTTCGTTGCGCAGGACCGTCTCTTCCTGCACGTTTAAGAAGAGAACTGGGGGCACGTGGAGCTAGACCGATCGGCGACGCGGCGGCTGGAGCCGAGGCAGCGGCAAAGAGTACCACGAGACATAGGCAGATCATGAATTGCATGGAGAATGAAGTCATGATAGCAGATTAAGTATCGTAAGGGGGATCTGGTCATGGACTCATGTCAGTCAAAGCTTGAACGCGGATATGGATAGGGAAGGATATAAGTTGAACTAACCTATAAAAATGATATCCCTGTGAAGTGGTAGGTGACGAGTATAGGCGACGAGTAAATTATCGGTAAGTGGGGTCTGATGATGGTGCAAGGAAAAATGAAATGAAAGAATTGAGATTTCAAAAGCTGATCGAGAAGAGGCTTAGAAGGTGATGTGGGAGTGAAGGACGGCAACCTGTTGAGGAAAGATGGCGCATTTTAAAGGTGATGAGGCAATGCTGGTAGACAAAAAAATCTCCGCTGCAAAACGCCTTGTTACTCAACATGAGAAAATTTTCTCCTCAAGGTGAATTTTTTCAAGAGATGTAGATCGGACTTGCAAAAAAAAGTGTAGACATCACGAAAAAAAAACAGGGAAAAGGGGGGGATCGGAAAAGTGTCTATACGAAACATTAAACGTGGAACCCAACGGCGGGACGGCCGACAAGCTTCTGTTTTGAGTTGGCACAGACCTCAGTTATTTTGTCGTCCGAACTTGTCCATCCCAGCTTGTTTCTCTGAGTCTTAACCCCTCATATTTTACCCTATTGAGTGCATTGAATGTGTCAAACAGTGCTGAATCCCACACACCCCACAAGTCGAAACCCTTAGCTTCGGATCGCTTAGTAGAGCCATTCAAAACGAGACAACACCGGGAGCGTTATGAAGGGTAAATGGTAAGCAAAACATGTGACAGGTGATAAAATTAGGGATGCGATCTTGCGGAGAACTGCCAAGGCACGAGACTGAAATCCCTGTGAATGGTGAACCACATCATGCTTCAACGGATGGGGCACAGAGTGATCGAGCGTATGTTGACAAATCCAGATGTGTGGCACTATGCTCGAACACCTCACCGGGCAAACAAGTACTGAGCAGAAAGACCGTCCAACGGAATTCGTGGAAATGACACGAATCAGGTAGGATCTCTTACTTTTCGACCTGCTCGTCTCTCTCCTCAGGACGGACACGAAGCTGGGCATTGGCAAAAACTTGGTGATCGAAGGACGCACTCAGGTAGATCACCGCCCAGTAACCCTCTCTGATCGATATCTATCCAGCCACTTACTTATCTTGGCCCCACAAATCAAGATAAGGATCACGAGCCAAGGTTAATGCAGGTACTGCGTTCCTTTGGAAAGCTGATATATTGCAACGCGTCACCTGAGGTGACGCATTCGGATTTGTGGCGTATGGCCGCGGGCAGCAAACTTGGTACACCGCTAACTTGACTAACTCCAAGTCTGCTCTTTTGGGGCGGGAGCCTCTGAGTTAAGTAAGGGTATGTAGACCGCGTCTTTTCTATCCGGAGCAACTTTCCAAAGTCACCTGCTTGAAGTTGATCACCCGACGGTGGCTGTACCTTGAAGCGGCCGGCCCATTTACCGGCTAATCTTCTGCGATTATGGTCACAGATATTATCTATGAGCAAGTAGTCCCAAAGCGCTTTATTCCCCGGAATTATTGCTCTGTAAGACATATCAAAACTTGACGCACGATGGCACTCGAGTATGGCTCTAAACAGTTGTGGGGCTCGTGCTTTTTCACTATTTTCGCTTTGGAACCATCAGATCCGAGTAAACCAGAGACATTGACGGCGTTGACTGATCACCTGATGACGGTATACCGTAGCGTGGTTGTTGGACTGTGCGGAGAAATGAGAGATTGGCCAAAACTAAGTCCTATGTAAGCCGGTGGTCAGGTCCAGCTTGGGACTTATGTAGTTAAGTTTGGAGATTGGCCCTGTGCTTTACGTCACATCATTCTTATCATTTGTAAAGCTCCGAGTCCAACCCAATACAGTACCAGCCTGTCAGAGCTGGCAGAGCATCTTAATCACACACATGTGATGTCATATGCATTTAATTTACATGCATGTGTGGAGGGTTTTTCTGTTCTCCAATCCTGATTCAGCCGCAGTCAGCGTAACCCAAAGTGGGTACAGCATGAGCCACTACATCAAAAACCAATGGCTGTGTTACCTGCAGTGCAAAAACCTGTGATTGGGCTCTGATGAAAGTGATGATGCTGGTTGATGTTTTTGCAGTTTGTTACCTGTTCATGTTTCATTTCCCCACTTTCACAAATGCAGATATGAAAAATGAGGGTCTTTAAAGTGGATGTGCATGGTTTGGATGGAAAATCACTTCAAGTTTTATTGAGTGTTTTGCCCATATTCACCTAATTAATCCCTAATACGGCTTTGCTCTGGAATGTGTTCATGTAAAACAACTCCTTCAAAAGTGGTGTCTTTCCTAAAGGTGGTGTGGTGTGGGTTCATCTTCCTGTATAAGTGGTGTTCCCGGTTCCTAACACAATGAACCTGCAGAGTCAGAACCTGATTGAGCATATGTGTGCTATTGGTCAATAAGGGGGCTCAAGTCAAAAATTTTGCAGCCTTTTCTTCAAAAATTGGGGAAAGTTTTTTACGGTACCGTGCTGTAAAAACTTTTCCCAATTTGTAAAAAAGGACCGTAAAAATTTCTTTCAGATCTCCTTCTGAGCAGCAAATTTACGCAAATTTGCGTAAATTTGCTGCTTAAAAAAATTTGGGATGTTGTATAACTTTTCCCAATTGCATAAAATTTTGCGTAAATTTTATGCAATTGGGAAAAGTTTTTTACCATAAAAGTAGTAAAATATTTTGACTTGAGCCCCCCTAATGTTAAAGAATGAGCTCAGTCAGTCTAGTAGCCGTAATCCAGATACAAAAATCATATTATATGGAGCAAGTCTGTCTTACAGAGAAGACTGAATCACATTGATCTATCCCTTGGGTACAAAAATACAGGACCTTATACATTCTATTACCAATCTGGTTCATCTATTCAGCTACACTACAGCTTTGCTTATCCTCTTTCTCTTTACACTGATTATGAAATCTCTTTACACAAAAATTGGCAAATTTTTCATCACATTATCACAGCAGTATTTGTTTTAGCTACTTGCAACCCCTGATGTTTTCCCCACTTCCTGTAACACTTCCAATCGTGCCCCATCTTCAAAGAACCCTTATAAATCAGGGCTTACAGCACTGCAAGCTGACATTCTATGGAGAATGAGACTGAAGCTCAGAATAACACTTGCCAATGATAGTCTACTAAGTGTTTCTACAATATGTTAGACCCTCAAACAAGTAGTGACATGAATGACTTGTTGCTGAAGTTCTAAATTGCAAGGTGAGGAACTAATACCATGTGAAAAGCAGACATTGGTTAATCTCCCATTTCTGCCAGCATTAAAGAGGTTCCCAGATGGGAATATGGGTCCTAGGGATCAGATTCCCATTCTGCTACTGTTACACAGTTCCATGAATATCTCCTGAGTAGCCATTGTGATATATGTAGTCAATATTTTGAAATGTGTGTCTCAATCTGAACTAAGTTACAGCATGTATTACACATGATTTGCTTATCTAGATGAGCAGATAACTGATCAGACCTGTATGTAGCTGATAGCTAAGGATTTACTCAGATGTTTGCACATATGTAGTGTATGCTTCATGGCTCAGACATGCAGTGCAAAATGATTTGATGCTCCATTCTTCTCTCAATGATATTCCCAGCCTAGGTCATGTTCCTATCAGGGAACCTATTTAATGTTGGCAGTGGTATAGCATAAGTCTTATGGGCTCATTGTACCATAACCATCAACTGTATACATTCAACTCTCCATGAAGGCATATCTTTTAGGGGCATAATGCCTCTAAATTCATAGGATGATACAGATTTTTTTGCTGCCAAAATGAGATTTTTGAAGGCATTTCACTGTGTCCTTGTGGCAGTCTCTCAATAACAAGCGCACACAGACTGCCTTTGAGGCACAAAGGCAACCCATGTGCGCTTGTCAATGGGCAAACCCCACACGGACATGGTGTATTCCTCTTATAAATGCATAAGAAAAACTACCTGCCAAACTGTATGCCATAAGTCATTATTAGTTGGTCATAACACAGTCTTGGTAGACTCGCTCTAAATCACACAAAGGCAAAGCAAAATACTGATGTCTTAAGGGCTAGAATTATACTTTGGCTACTAAAGAATGTATAGTTATAAATAATCTATGGAATTATAAATCCTCCAAAAAAAAGATTGTCTGTTCTATTTCACATGATCACTCTATATCTATGCTTTTACCTCTAATAGAGGTAAAATTGCATATTATTTAAGCATTGTCGGCGAGCTGACTGTGTCACTGACACTTAGAGTGACATAAAACTGACTCATCCACATCACTGCTGAGTACTCTCTTGCAAGGTGTCCTCACTGGTTGATTGACCACCACATCTGTTCATGCTTAATACCATACCAAACAAAAAGCAAACAATGTTGAAAGTTTTCACCCACGAATTCATCAATGGTGTCACCTGCAGAATAAATTGCAGTCAAACCAGGCCATCCTGATGCTGAAAGTTAAAATTGAAGTCTCAGAATTTTGGCTGCACAGCTGTCTTGAATGCAAGGAGTGATATTGTTTATTACAAAAAAAATCTGTTTGATACCCTATCCCAGTCACAAAAACTTGGAGGATTAGAACCAGAGCAGATATTTAATCATTGTATTTGGAGCTAGCATTGTTCAAAGATCATTGGCAAGATGTATTCAAGTTACTTGGAAAGTTTTGCACATATTTCAGTCTAAGGAGTGGATCTAGAATGCACTGCAATGATATCTAGTCAAGCTACTTTCTCAGATTCATCCCAGTTCAAATGATGATGAAAATATCTGGCTTCAGGTCTGAGTATCACACTTCCATGAAATTTGATCTCGATGATTGGAGGACTGATGGCACTTTTCACTCAGCTCAAATCTTCAATGAAAGGCATTCAGATACTGAAGTTGGGAAGCAAACAACAGTCAAATTATCTCCATCATATTCAGCTGGCAACAACCATGGGCAGGGTTCCCGCCACTCAACAAACATTAATAAGAACACATCACAGGCTCACTCTTCACTCTTATAGCTGTATCTGAGGTATGTATGGGATACTCCATTGTCAAAGTTGCAATAGCATCGGATCTCGAACAAAGCTATTGAATTACAAGATTTTTTGCCCAGTCTAGCTCTCTCAGCGAGATTAGTTTAAATTACATTTCCAAACTGTACTTGATAGTTGTCACATCTAATTCCTTGTCCACAGGGGAAGCAGGTTCTGCAATATCTATATTGAAGTTTCTCTGCACCAATTCACCAGCCTATACAAATGGTGGGGTTTTGATTAATGGACAAGTCCCTTCACCATGCTATTCTTTAGTAAAGCAGCGGCTCGGGGTTCAACAAACAGCGCTCTGGAAAACCAGCCCACACGTATATCAGCTCCGGTGAAGGCATGGAGAAAATGATGACCTCGAACTCATACTCAACTCAGCTTCAACCAGAACGTGCCCTTTCAGGGTTTCAAGTCTACCCTCCACCCAGACCTTTCTACCAGCTGGGCGTTTCGCAGGATCGCGACTGAGACGAGTCCGTATGACCACGAACTGGTCGGCAAAGGTTGGAGACCTGTAACTGAGTGATAGTGAGGCTGTCACACCTAATTTGGAAGGTAGGTTTTGCAGTGCCTGAACAAAAATTGGTCCAGCGTCAAGATTGAGTTGCCCGAGTATGGAGAGACCGAGATGCATATACTGACGATTCTACCCAAGGCTTCATCGAGGATTGTGGCACAAAGCCCTCCGTGGATGATACCATCGTGTCCACATAAAGAGCGACCAAGGTGAACAAAAATGACTGCTTCAGAGTCATCGCTGACGGAGCCGGGAAGGTTTTCCGAGTGAATACCGAGTCAGGGGTGAGTGGAGGTAATTCCGAACTATGTATGAGCGCTCTAGGGAATGCGGAGCCAAGGATCAAACTGACTGTTTGACAAAGACAAGTGGGTGGACAGCGAATTTTCCCGGCCCACGTAAAGCACCAGCTGTAAGACTGTGAATCGCCTTGTCGGGGGGGAAGTTGCGGTGAGGCCTGCTTGCTCGCCAGCCAGTATCGGCGGTAAGCTCACGAACTTCCGGTAATTCAAGAAGGGACGCTTCGATCTCGGTGGTCATCTGAATGCCTTCGGTTGTTTCAGGAAGTGGCAGCTGAGGAGGTACAGGTATGAAGTTGCCAGCTAGTACCTTCAATGTCGAGTTTTGCGGTGGGAATACGAAGCCAGTAGCATAACCAATGCCTAGTGCTGCAGTGACAAGGCCGGTTGAAACAATCTTGGAGGGACGAGGAGCCGTGTTGGAGCCAGAGGAAAAGGATGAAGTATAAGACCGACAAGGATTGATGGTCGGAGACCTACGCCGAGTGCATAGTCGTCGGAAAGAAGGGCTGAGGCAATTGACACTCGGCATGACAGTTCAAGCGATGGGGTTGAGATAGGTGTCGAGATCCCAATGATTGTCTGCCTAGTGCCAGACAGCGGGTTCGATCAAGACGGCTCTGAGTCACGCAGCCCGGATGCTATGTAGCGTGACTACATAGCATCCGGACCTGGAATGTCCGATCCGGCTCGCAGATTCTCTCGAAGTGTTCAGAAAGTCGAGACAGTCCGTAATAGCTCAACATCCACTTGCAAGGTGACATTCCAGAATCTCGGTACGGTTCATCACTGTTCCTCACGCCCAGAAGCAATTCTCTTTTCCCCCGTGACTCCGGTTGACGCTAGGACAGGGGGTTCAAATGCCTGCTCAGCTCTGTGGAGTCCCTCAGGAATTTTGAGTCTATATGACTCTATACTTACACTGAATTCCTAACGGGTGTGCTTGACAAATCCTTTAATAGTGGGTCACTGCTTTCCTTTGGGTATGCTAAAAGAAGGTGATTAAACTCAAGAAGATAAAGATCTCACCAAGAATAAAGTCTTCTACAACACAAGCAACTATTCATCCGTAAGACAACAAATTGCCAGTCTTGGTTAATGGCTGTCTTGTCCCAAGGTTGTATAATTCTATCATTTTGTAACATGTTTAATTAGTGTTTTATGCAATAAAGTGATTATGCCATTGTTTGGCGGCCTTGCGTAAAGGCTCCTTTGAGGGTGTGGACACAAGCGCGAAAATGGATCAAAATTTGCTTGAAATATCTAATGGTGATTGAAGTTGCAGACTCCAGAGTCTGACCTGTAGCTTTACTGTTAAATAATACAATGGTACACTAGACTGAGCCCCAAAAAACTTGAGCTCATCTCTGGTGGTGTGCTTGGATTCTAGGAGACCTTTGTGGCTACCACAAACAAACAAAGGGGTTGAGAGTAAGTTTCAGCCTTTTTAAGCTGAACACTCCAAAAGATGGTCGTGAGATAACTTGCTGAAAGTTGGAACAGATATTTAGGATCAAAGGTCAGCATGAGCCCCGTTTCCCGCGGGCTCGGGGATCTCCGGCTTCCGTACCGTCGGTACGGTGCCTCGGGCTAGGTATCTCAGCCCCCCGGCACCGTACCGACTCCGACGGAGCGGGGACCGGGCAAGAGTATGAGGATCCCCGGTTTTTATCGGGGAACCGAGCTATAGCAGAGAGCTGTAGAATCGAGGGCAGATAGGGAGAAATGAAAGGTGAGGAAGGCCTCGTAACAACTCATACATCAGTATAAGGAATCAAATACAATGAAATACCTGTACGAAACAGTAGAATATCAGCCGGAACTTGCTCGTGAAGCAGATTTATGAATTTTTTTGATCTAGCAAGCTCTACCGACTAACACTCGACGGGGAACCGATATTTCGGTAGGCCCCCGATTTTTGGTGGCGGGGGGCGGTCTGAAGACGTACATGAAGATCCCCGACGGGGAGGGGTCGGCTCGGAAGCCGGGATGCATTTCCAAAAAGTGCTCGGGGTGGATTTTCGCCGGTCCCCGCTCCCGAGCGAGCGGGGCTCATGCTGAATCAAAGGTGTGGTTCAACTAAAGGGACATGTGATCACAACTGAAATGCTTTCTGTGAATGTCAACTACTTGTGAGCTGAAGGGTGAGACTTTGTGGAGATTATTGCAAATGGCTAATCTATGAGACATATCACAATTTTGCCCTCTGCTCAGAATTGGGTCAATGTCCATGCAAACAGACACATCTGCCAAGACCTGCCACCTCCTTCCCCCTCCCTTCATTGAGCCAAAAAACTAGTTGTCACCAATGGTATTATATAGAGCAATTCTTAGTTGTTGAATTATGTGATTTGTGCTAGACTCAATCAAGTCCCTTGTGGCTGGTAAGATGAAGCATCCAATCTCCAGTGAGACACAAGTGATACATTGGTATATCACAATGAGAGGTGTAGCAAGCACCATGTCTGGGTAGTGTTTGCTTGTTGACAAGCGCACACGACTTCCCTTTCTGCCTCAATGGGGGTTGGTGTGGGCTTGTCGACAAGCAAACCATACACAGACATGGTGAAGGTGTTGTCTAGTGTCCTTTGTTTCACCTAGAGTACTGTATCCATTACCTTATTGGGTCTTGTGAGGTGCTTCCTTGTCAGGGGGAGCTTCTAGTGGTCACAAGTTTTTGATAATTAAATTGCATGTATTATATTAGACTTGTCTTTTTGTTAAAATAAAAACTTGTTACAACTAAGATGCACATGTGAAAGCATATCACATGTGTGGGGTGAGGTGCCCCCAAACCGTCTTTGCTAGAACAAACTCAGGAGGGGGTAGCTAAGGTCACAAAATCCTTCTGGAAGAGGTTGGATTTCAACATGCTGGTACCGCTGTAGGATCCAGATGAAAGAGAGCCAGATCTAGAGTCTTTATAAAAAGGGGGAGGCATAAAGAGGAGTACCAGTATCAGAGTACATTGCAGATGACGGGGACTTAAGCACAAGGGGGGTTAGTGCTTAGCCCTGTTGTGTGGTCCAAACTTGACCAAGAGACTAGGAAAGAAAATTTGTGAGGTGGGTGGGTAGGACACAAAAAACCTGAAAGGATGATAGAATTGGTTTTAAAAGCCACACCAGGTGAACAGTAAATCGGGGAATGGACAGAAATGGGAAAGACGTGATGGAAGGGTAGAATGGTGAAGATGGGGAAGGATTGCTTTCCAATGAGATATTCTATATGACTCCTTTCTTTGAGACATTTGAAACTGTCTGATCACATATGTTCTTTCCCAAAGCAGAGATACCAGCCTCTTTGCAGTAACAGGCCTGACAGTTGATGGTTCAAGACTGTGGCCAGGCTGCTAAGGACATTTATCTTGGATGTGTGGTAGATTGCCCTGCTAGTACATGGACACAGGCAACCTACCTTGTGCATTGTCTGGATGCCATTTCACATACATTCCTGTATGATGGCCAATGAAAGAGACAATTTCAAGTCTTTAAGAAATTGTCTGCAAACAAAGACCAAGGCAAAAATTCATAAAGGTTTTTAGTGGGTCTTGACTTGAAACTGTTCCACTTGTATGGCAATTGTTGTTTTTTATTACAATCTCACATGATGTGTGAATTCACAATAGAACTGATTATGGGGTTTTTGATAAAAACAGATAAATCTTCTGGTGGATGGATTAGGCATCAGAGTCTAAACACATTAAATAGATCCCGAGTCTTTTAACAAAGGTACATTAGTTATTAAAATAAATTAAATGCATCAATTATTAGAGTCTGAAATTGAAAATCAAACACATTGTTAGTCTTTTAATGGATATATCAGTGAGTCTTCTAATGGATGGATTGACGAGTCAAAGATTGAATTCAGTGGTTTGTGAGCAAAAATTGTCTGCAATTGCTTTGAACACAGCAGAGGCAATCAGCTTTCTTTGGATATACTACCAAAAATAAGGGCAAGTATGTACTTAAAAAGTCAAGATCTGAGTTCAAAAGAAATCAGCTGCCCCTTCTTTCTGTGCACCTTGGTAAACTTGGCATTGAAGCTTTGTAGGGGCAGATGTAGAACTATTACATAACCCATCCAGACTCTCATGTTTGACCATATCGTTTAAATACTTGTGACTTATATGACCTAGTCGTTGATGTTGAAGATCGCATGAGTGTAAGGATTGGATAGGTTGTTTCTTTGAGATGACATAACTCACTGGTTCAAGAGAGACCAACATGAGATTACCGGAGAAAGCCCCATTGAAAAGGGCACATTGACCCATGACTAGGCTGAAGCAATCGGGGTCAGTCGAGTTGATGAGAGTTACAACTCCCTTCTTCAATAACGCACCCCCAGCTATGAGATTTCTACTCAGCTCTGGTACATACAAACAATCGGCCAGAGTAAATACCGTTCCATCACTAGCTCTAAGTTTGACAGACCCTGTGGAATGAACAGCCAAAGAAGCGTCCCCACCAGCTAAACAAAGACGTTTGTTTGAATCTTTGAGTGGTTTGACAGTGGAGGCGTCAAAGAAGGACAAGTTGTTAAACATGTGGTGAGAAGCACCGGTGTCATTCAACGCCCAAATGCCTTCAGTAGGAGCCACGGAAGAAGCAGTTGCAAAGTCGACCAACTCAGAGCCTTGAGCAGTAGGTTCATTGGTAGATTGATCAGATAAAGTCAAGATTAAGGTCATGGGTTTGTCGGTAGATTGATCGTTAATGATTATGTGATCCGGGTCAATCGGTGCTTGTAGAAACGCAGCAGAAACATCCATCACAGCAATCTGATGGGAAGGAGTAGTGTTCAAGGTGAGAGGAGATGGGGCAGTGACTGGTTGAAAATCGATTGAGAAAGTCATGGCATGATTTGCAGATGCTAGAGGAGGTCTGACTATCTTCACACCTCGAATGGAACTGGTGGACTCCAAGTGATTAGCTTGTTGTGGACAAAAATTTCCGCGTTTAAATTTCTTCTTCTCATCTTGTCTGTTCATCCATTCATCACGTTTACCAAAGTTAGCAGGTTGTCTGAAGCATTGGTCGGGTTTGTGCGGGTTCTGGAAAGTGTTCCCTACACAACAATCAATAGTACATTTGGTTAGGTGACTAGGATTGGCGTGATAGTTGGAGACATGATTAGATGATTGGTTAGAAGTATGATGAGCTGATTGGATTAAGGAAGGCAACACATAAGTTTGTTCTTCTTCGTGCATCAAAAGTTCATGTACGACCTTGTCATAGGTGAGAGGTTGAACTAAACAATAGATGACGGCTATAGTGACCTCGTATCCTGGTTTCAAGCTTTGGATTAAGGTTCTAGCAGCTTGATCAGGAGACATAGTACCTTTGAATTTACGATATTCATGAAGTAATGAAGAAAATTTATCGATATGAACCTTCAAATTATCAGAAAGACATTGAGTCATATTTAATAAGGCAGTTGCCACATGTTTTAACTTTGCTTCAGATATGCTGGCATAATAATTCTTGAGATGAGTCCCGAGTACAAAAGGGTCGTAGACTATAGTCATTTCGTTAGTGTTAGGATCTTGAGTAGTTAAAGCGTCTCTAGACCTTTCCCCGTTCACTCCATCATACTTGTTGAGGATCCAAGTGGTGATGAGAAACTTGACCTTCTTATGCTTCTCTTCAGTAAGCAATTGATCATGATAATCCTTCACGTCCAAATATAATTCATAACCTAACAATTCAATGGATTCATGAATAACTAGATTCCAATAGTTAAAATTCTTGTCAGTTAGTTCATTCTTGATGTTGAATTTACTAAGAGATGCAGTTGTTTGTTGGGCAAATATTTGCAAAGGATTAAAGGTTGAGTTGGTAATTTCAGTGGACATGATAGGCAAAGTAGTTGATAACGATGAAGGAAGAATAAGAGATTGTTGACCGGTGAAGCTCTTGACAGTTGAAGCAGAGTTGGAAGAAGATGAATCAGACTCTTGAGATTCAGAGTCGGTGATAGAAATAGATTGTTCCTCTTCTTCTGATTGCATATAATCAATAGGTCGTCGGAATTGGAGTTTGATATAATAATCAAACTCTCGCTACCATGTGAAGTTGGGAAGTGCTCAAGAACAATGTAGTGGCTAGGCCGTTTGAAAAGTTGTAACCTGGGGTAATCAGGTACTGAAGTAAGTAACGGCACAGGCCTCAAAGAGCTTCAAAGAGCACTAAAATCAGACAGACCTGTGCACAGAGCAACAGGGATTGTATGCAAGTTAAGATGAAATGTGAGCAAATGAAATAATAAAAAGTTTCTTTTTGATCAAAAATAGTATACTAACCTGGGGTAATCAGGTACTGAAGTAAGTAACGGCACAGGCCTCAAAGAGCTTCGAAGAGCACTAAAATCAGACAGACCTGACCACAGCACACATTAGTAAAAGATAGAGATGAAGAAAACAAGAAAAGAGTCTAACAAACCTGTGCACAGAGCAATAGGGATTGTACGCAAGTTAAGATGAAATGTGAGCAAATGAAATAATAAAAGTAGCGAGAAAGTAAAGTCGAGATAATGAAATCAGGATGATGTTTCGTAAATAATGTTAGTAAGAGAAAAACACTTACAGTTTCTTTTTGATGGGGAAAAGAAACTGAGTGGTACAAAGTGAGTCATTATATATAAAATCATAACACAGACACATATACGGAAATAGAAAGAAAACACTCAGGTCACAAGCGACCTATTCCCTATTAGTAAAAAGAATAACAAATGATCACACCCATCAATCCATAACCGTGCTCATTAAACTCATTGCAACTTAATTTCACCAGGCTCTTCTTCTTTCAATTTGATATTCATTCTACATAATCAACCACAACAACCGGAAGTCCTTGATCCATACATTAACACAACACAAGTACACATAAAAACAAAACGAGGTATGTTATATACCACGACAATCCTCCTCCCCGTACAATTTACCACCATGAAACCCTGTCAGACCATCTGTGGTAAAAAAATCCCACTTTGTCTCTCTTGTTGATTCTTCAAAGTCACTGCTATTAAATGGAAAAGGCAAGAATCAAGATTGCAAAATAAGGTCATTTGTTTATTCTTTTGAACCAACAATGAAGACACTTTTCAATTAATAAGGGTACTCAAAGCAAAGTATGTAGCGCTACATACTTTTCGCTACATACTTTTTTTGGCGGGGACAAAGAAAAAAAATATACTTTTGGCCTCGCCTTCCCCGCCAAAAAAAGTATATAGCAAAAAGTATGTACACGTACATACTTACTTTGAGTACCCTTAATGCATACCAGACATGTCCACTTTGTATCCATAATGACACTGCCTCTGTTCTTGTACTTCACCGTTTTTTCCCTCTGATTACCAATACAATCACTGATTGAACACTTTGATCTCAATCACTCACATTTCATCTTTGAACCCCTTCTCTTTTGGTCTTGATTATCCCTTTTTACTCTTGACTTGGCTTGCCCTTTGTCAATCTCAACAATCAACATTCACACATGACCTCAACCCCAACCTTCTCTGATGGATCCCAAACACCTTCTTTTAAATCAAATTCAATTTTGATCTTATTATATTCAATCTCAATCACCAATAAGTCATCTCAGAATTGACCTCACTCATTGCTATTCAAATTGAAATCACAAACATTTTCACCCTTGAGACCGGATGAATTGACAAAGTTGACAGCACCAATGTCAAACAGCTGAACACTTTTGTTGATGAAATCTTTAGTCCAAATTGTATTAGATACAAATTTCTTGCTTTCAGTTCTCATTTGAATGAAACATGACCCTTTTGGAATAACATGAATTAAGTCAAGATCTAGAATCTCTTTCATTTGATAAGTTGAAGCAAATTCAATGAGCAGAGGAAAGTGAGGCTACAGCAAAATATGGCTGTGGTTTGACCACTATCAAAGTCAAAGACCTTCTTGACCAAATTGAAACATATTATTGGGATCAATATGTAGTCTGGTCATAAAATTCTCATGTCACCTTTGGTTACTGAACGTTCTAACAGAATGTTGTCTTTTTATACATACACATGCACAGTGAGAAAATAGGGGGGCTCAAAGTGATTTGCAGCTTTGACCATAAAAAATAAATCCTGATTCCATAAATTTTTGCAAAAATTCTATGGAGTCAGGAATTCTAACATCCCAAGTTTTTATGAGCAGAACATCTACATAACTTTACAGCAATGAGAAAACCCAAATAACTATAAAACAACAAAGACTAGCAAACAACGCAAACAATATAGGGGGTTTCAAGTCAGGATATTTTTGTGAAAATTTATATGAAACAGACAAGTTTTCCAAATTTTACGGTGTTTTTTTTCTGCAAATATATGGTCAACAGCATTTGGGACACCTGAAAAGGTGTCCAGAATTTTTGAAATTTACATCAAATTTTACGGTCTCGGACAACTTGTTGTACTGCAAAATGCTGTAAATGTTTTGACTTGAAACCCCCTAATGTGAGGTGAAAAAGCAGAGAAAAGTGTCAAGACTGATATCATATGCATTATGGATCAATGGCTCCTCAAGAAGCTGTTGATTGCTGTTGACCGCCGCTGACCATCTTGTTTTGCAAGAGAGGAATTTTTTTATGGTATTTTACAAGAAGAACGTAAAAACTTGACCTGCCTTAATCTTCCACCCTGATATAAAATTCGCATTAGTATAACAGTGCGACTTTTTTTACCGAAGGCAGTGGTAGCAAGCATGACATGTGAGTACGGACGTTACTCCGGACCATTGTGAGCTGAGTCACCCGTGTGGCGCTCATACTACGCGGTTTTAGTATGCTATGTGTGGTTTTTCCGAGGACCATGCTTGCTTGCAGAAGGGGAGCTCACCTGGTGGACTTGTAGCACCGCAACAGCCAATGGTTTGTGAGGCGATGCGTGGACCTTGCCAGCCTCCAGGGTCTGTATGCCACGCCAAGTCGGGGTCTTCCAATGGCTTCCGCGGGCGCTGCAAAAGACAGGGTGAAAAGGTATTCCGAAATCTCCTGCCAGCCTCTGCCAGACTTCCGAACCTTTCTCAAAAACTTTTATAAAAGGCTGCAACGGTCGTCCCCGGCCAAGGACTGCTATTCCACCCACCAAGTTCAATTTTCCTTTTTTATTTTTTCGTATCATCCAGTTCTCTCCCTACTAACACAGAATCATCCAAATTTTCAACTATTTTACCCTAAACTCTGAAGCCCGTTTAACACTAAGCAAATCGACATCATGATCATGCTTGTCAGCTTGTTGGCAGTTGTATCTCTTGTCGTAAGGGCCACCTGTATCCCAACCGACATGGGCTCAGCTAATTTCACCAAGTCACAAAAAGTGATGGGTTATTACCCAGCATATCATTCAAGCCTCCAATCCCCAGCCCAAATTCCTTGGTGTGAGTCTTTTCTTCGCTATGTGCCTCAGTTTTCAAGTTGATTGATTTTTTAACCTCTTTTAATTAGCCCTATACACCGATGTCACGTTCTTCGTCGCTATCCCTGAACTTGACGGCTCCTTCACCTACCCTCCGGGCCTTACATCCGAAACTGCGGAAGCGCTCGCTGGTCAATTTGTCAAAGAAGCCACTGCTAGTAAGCCCTTCGATGAGATTTGATATTTTGCACAAGCCCTCATGATGGCCATTGGACAAAATACTTACTGCTCACCCGTTTTTCTTTCATCAGACAAAGTGCTCCCCATCATGTCATATGGTGGTTGGACCGGTTCAAAGTTGGTTCTAAACACAGTCTCAACCACCTCATATGCCCCTTGCTAAATCTTCAAACTCATTGCAGGCACTTTTCCATCATGGTGCAAGATGACACCAATCGACAAAAATACGCCAGAGTGCTGATCGACTTTGCCAAGAAATTTGGTTTCAAGGGAATTGATCTTGGTAAGATATTCTTCCACCTAGCTCCCCAACCAGCCCACAGGACTCAATGCTAACGTTCTTACTGTACTTTGCACAGACTGGGAATGTAAGTTTGACTTTATTATTTCTCAATGTATGCGTGTGTATAACACTAAAAACGCTTCCTCTACATCTACATAGACCCTAACGCGTAAGTTCCTTTCCTCCTTCTCATGAGTTTGCTGTGCTTAATGAGTTTTCATTCAAATTAGTGCTGGAATCGGTTGTAACAACTTCACTGCGGCCGATACTGTCCACTTCGGTTCATTTGTTCGAGTACGTACGCTACTTACCCCCTCCGGTTAGCTCTTTAACACTGATTATATCCATTGTCGGCATTGCCTTTCAATAGGAACTTCGAAAGCAATGGCCTGAGGCTCAATACAGCGCCGCTTTGAGCATTGGTGGTTTACTCGGGGCGGATGGTAAGGTAGCCGGCGCCAACGAAACCCAACTTCTTGTTGAGAACCTGGACTTCGCGTAAGCCACAACACAAACTCGTGCCCCTTTCCCGAAGAACTCTCCGCTAATAATATATTAAAACCTACCAGTAACATCATGGCCTACGATGTCTTCGGAAACTGGGCTGCAACCACTGGCCCTATCGCACCAATCTACGATTCATGTGCTCCTGAGAACCCGGCTTCTATCAATTCCGCTCTCGCTATCTTCACAAAACAGGGATTCAAGCCAAGCCAGATGGTGTTAGGAATTCCTGCTTACGCTCGCTCGTACGAATTGACGTCACCCAAGTTGACTCCTCGAACTGAGGAAAAGTTGGTTTCGTACTATTACCAAAACCACACAACCACCGCTCCAGTGGGTTATTTTCCACCTCATTGCGAAAGTCATCGGATTCTAGTAACTGATTGCATTCTTTGCAACAAATAGCAAGGTGGAAAGACCGATGATCCACCAATGATCGACGTGTGTGGTGTTCAAACCAACTGGGCGGGTATTTGGCTTGTGAACGAGTTGATGGAGAAGGGTGATTTATCGGCTGACCAACTTTCAGGCGGAAATGGTTACACACGTCACTTTGATGAATGCAGTGGTCAAGTCAGTGAAATCCCAACAATCATAAATCTGTCTGATAAGTTAACTGACATAGTTACTTCGCACTTAGCCATTCTTGACCAACGGAAAATACTTCTTCTCGTACGATGATCAAGTCAGCATCGCCGCCAAAGGAAAATTCGCCAAAAAAGCCAACCTTGCCGGTATCTTCTTGTGAGTCTCAAGAATCTTCTGGTTCAAGAATTTGCTTCTGACGCTCTACCCTCATTGATATTACAGTTTCGATACCCTTGGACAACCTCAATCAGCCATCAAAGCTGGAAAGGAATCTCTCCAATGATTTCGATCTCTAAGCACCCGAGATTTTCCAGAAGATGACTAACAAAACAAAAACAGGTCTTTGAGATCTGCAACTCTCACATCAAGCTTCTTGGGTTATATTTAAATGGACATTACCTCTTGTGGTGCAAAATATCAAATCGATCATGTTAGAGGACACATTTTCTTCCATACGTCGACTCGCGACGCATGTCTGAATTTAAGCATCTACTTTGTCGCATCGAAAAGTATGCGAATGATGGAAAATTGTAAGAACAAATGATATAATGACTATATACGTGATCGCATCCATCTGCCCCCTTGCCTATGAAACCTAAAATCTACCGCATGTGATGACTATTGAAGCTGCCCCGCCAATGATATCGAATTTTGAGTCTCAGTCCTCGTCAACCATGTGAGCTGATGACTATCAAGCTTCTCAAGTTTTTGCAAATAACCTTCCATAATTTGTGGATGAATTGTTCCTAAAAACCACTGATGATTACAGGCTTATGTATCAATTGACGCCTGATTTGCCGATGCGGTCTACCATATTGAGTACATAATCCCTTCCAAGTTCAGAGCTACCTTCTTTGTTGTATTCGCAGATTGCTGCCCTCGTAGAGTCGTTTTCAGGACAGGTTCCCGAGATTTCAAGTTCATACATAATATAAGACAATTGAGAAAAAAACGACGTCTGAGATCCAAAAAGCAAACGGCCAAGTCTTGAATGTCCTCTAATGAAATACACAAAAAGTAAGTCCAATTGAAATACATTTTGATTATTCTTCCCTGTTATGGTTAAGTATGGTTATCGAAAGTAACTCCCAAGACTTCATCATCCTTACAAAGCTACAACTTGTCAAAAAAAACGCAAAAAGTGTTCCTTGAAATAAACCAGCATACAGTGGCGAACATTGAATCAATTTACTTTTTCAAAAGGATGTCGAACCAGTTTTTCGTATAGTACTTCTGGTAAATCACGTATAAACACATTTGTTAACAAGATCACCTTTTTAGCGTCAAGAGCTAGTAACTTTCGAAGTAAAGCCATCGGTCTAATAGTAACAGCATAAAAAAGTCAACATAAATCCATCTCAAGCAATCGATTCATCGAAAAAGACAGTGAAGCAAAGTACTAACGAAGGATGAGCCAAGAGTTTATCTCGCATCATGTATAATTGAGAAATTACGCAGAGGATATTTAAACCTACACCAAAAGCTAATAAGTAATCCCACAGTTGCAAGACTTGATCTAATGGTTCTGTACACGCGCAAAATGTTAACACAGCTGTTTAAGTGGTTGAACATCAAAGTAAGATCAGCTTAAGAGCAAGTTGGAAATCAAAGTATCAAAAAAGACTAACAAGGAAAAGCGTATATTTCAGCACGTAAGTTTTTTGACTTTAGGTATTGATACAATTCAAGATCGAGTATTTCAAGACAAACATCCAATAACTGATTGTCGCGAATATCATCAAACTCTTTCTGCAATTCAATTCAAAAATAGAGTCATAGAAGAAAAAACTTACGCGTAATCCTGAATGAACACCCTCGAGTGTAGGTTGTACGTATAAAGGACAATGAAATTCGATAAAACGAGAAAAAGTCATAAAAGCTTCTAGCTCAGATGGCATAGTATAAAGAAATGGAGCAGCAAGCACATTCATGCCTTGAACATATGTAAAATCGTATTGCGCTTTGGTACCGTCTGTCTTGTGAGATTCCTCTACAGGAACAAAAAAAAGTGAAGATGTCATTATTCAAGGAAATCAATTGACAAAACATTCGAATGAGAGAAAACATTCGAATGACATACCATGTGAACGAGAGACAAAAGCTTCAAGTAATCTGACTAGCATAGCATTCGAAACTCGTGTTTGAAATGATGAATCAGTAGCCAAAGTCCTAAAAGTATCATTTGTGATCTTCTCATACCATGGTGTTCTTCGACGAGTAGCAAGATCGAAGTAATGTTCTGCTTGGCAATCTAAAGCACCTAAAAGGATTTTCCAGGTAGTTGCTCTGAATTGACTTGCTTCGACCTAAAAAAAGCATGACACTGAGACATGATAAAGAGGAGATGTCGAGAAATGCCAAAGGTGATTGACCAACCTCATCATAAGGATTGATCAGAATTAGTCGACGAAGTGATTGATGTGCTTGTTCAATTTCACGATCAGTTCGACGTGATTTCTCTGGCCACAACAATTTCGAAAATGTATCTGCGCGTACGCTGAGTGGAGCAGATGGTTCTGAAGACTTGTTGGAAAGCTGTTGAGAATCCACGGTAGATGATGCCATTTTGAATTTACTGAAAGATAGTCTGATGGTATATGCGCTATATTGAAAGTCAAGGGGATGGTGTGAAGCTGAGGTTTTATTGAGGATGGAAGGACTACGTGAAGTTCCAACTTTTGACTAAAGCATCGTTGACGAAATTTCAAATCTAGCATTCTAACTGACCGAAAGGATCAAAGTGAGCATTAGTTTATTGGAGAGCAGCTATCCCTGCAGTACAAATTTGGCAATTATGTTTTTCAAATCCACAAGTTCAAATAACAAACATTTCCAAGTTTGTCCTTTGAAATTGAAGAATAGTAGATCGACCTTGCTGATGAAAAGCTGGGACGGACGAGGTTGGATGAAGTAGGGATAAACTCAAACTTTGACAAACAATGGTGTTTAGGGTAGCCTAATTCCGACTGATCATTAATCGCGTTCTTTCGCTCGACTATAATCGCAGTTCATCTGACAAGTCTCTTTCTGGCGAGTTATTTGGCAAATTGAACTCGCGAAACTCGAGCTTTTCTTCAACTCCAATCAAAGCACAAGGCGCAGTTGAAATCAAAGATTTGGTAATGAAGGTCAGCTTGGGATCCGATGATCTGATTCCATTGGAACGATCTTTGTATGATGTACAATGCATTCGACTGATAAATACATAGAGCTCAATTGTCAACGAAATACAAAATATTATGAATTCGAATCAGTCTTGACCCGCTTGACTCTCTGGGAGCCATACCAATCATTCTCAAAGTTGATAATCGGGATCTGTAGGTCAGCCGCACGTTTGGGTACTGACAAATCATCAGAGGGTATAGAAGATAAGTTCAACTGTGAAGAAGAATGCTTCAGAGAATTCTCGCTATCTTCGGAAGTCCGTTCGACGAGATTACGAAGCGAGCGTTCCACCAAACGGGTATCGAGAATCCGTCGATTGAGGGAATGCAAACAAGTAGGTATATTGGGATCATTCAGCGAAGCTTCGAAAGGATAAACACCAGTTAGATTTGAAGAATCTGGACGTGCTTCGGATGTCGGCACCGTTGGCTTAGGCAATGAAACGTGTGGAGGAGGAATGACCGTGATAGGCGCAGGTTCGACCTACGTATTCATTGGAAGGGTATCATCAGTTACAGCCGACGACAAAGCAATAAAACTTTTACTGACATAGGTCTGTCTCCATGTATGTTTAGCTGGCAAAGCTGGTAGATGTGGTAAACCCCCAACCAATTCCATATTGAGTTTTGCTCGCGAGTGGCTGGGACGATTCGCGCGGGATGCTGACTGGTTTGAGGCTTGTTCATCTTCGCTTTCAGATTCTGATGATAGAAAACCAACGGTAGGATCGTGAGGAATAGTAGAGGAAGCTATAGGAAGCTCAAATTTCAAATCTTCATATGTTTCGCGAACTATCAGGTAATTGTTGGTGCGAGTGATAGACATAGGCCAAACTCAAAAAAGATGATTACCAGACATATGAGGAAGCGTCTGAGAGAGCACAGCCTGAAGATGACAAAGTTCGATGCCTTGATCTGCACATGCTGTGACCATATCCCGTATGTTCGGCCTCGACCTTCTCGTATGTTGAGCAAACTCGTATGTTAAATGTACCAGACCCTCAATCACTATCACCAGCAATTCATAACAATTCACAGCCGAAGAACCAGGATCAGAAGATGGGGGAGGGAAATCAGGCGATGGAAGATTTTTGAAGCCAACACTACTCAACATCCATCGAGAAGGCCTTCGATATCCTCTAACAATGACTTGTCTTGAACGTGCGTAAAGCCAGCGGCGTCGAGTTGGATCGATATCAGCCGTAAAATTGCAAATCTCGCTGTCGCGTGGGTCATACTCATCTCGTTTATATGTTGTTTGAGGATGGGGTCAAGTTAAACAGGCCAAGGAGGTGAGGAGTTGAAGATGGAAATCAAAGGAGCAGTGATGGACCTTGAAGGAGTCTTACATAATCGGCTCGGTACACCTCGATTACCAGAGTCGGGGCCACTTATCGGGACGACCCGACTTCAGCAAGCCGCAAGTTGCGCAACACTGTCAGCCAATTATCATTGCTAACTTTTGGCAAACTTTATGACGTCTGAAGAGTTGATCTCATTTCTTTTGCGCTCTTCAGGAAGCTTCCCCTGACAAGGTTGTTTGTGGCATCAATCATCCAGGCTCCATGAATTTATACAGCCCTTCACGAGTCCAGTTATCAGAGTGAAATGCAGCAGTCTTCATCAGATAAGAAGCAAAAATTGACTTGTAGTAATAGTATACCACCAATAAAGGGTAAGTTTTGGCTCATAGAGATGATAAGCTTGACTTCAACAACGGCGTGCAGTAGGTATACTATAGCGGTCGTAAATGGGGTTGTCTAGCGGTGGATTTGCTTGGCTTGGATGACCATCAGATAGCATCAGATGGTGCACGACGTAAGTAGACTCACCGCACCACTGTGATGCAGCTTTTCAACCAACCAAATGCCAAACAACTTTGGATACTTTTGTAGGCGTGTAAGGCAATCAAGGTGGTCGAGGATTACTCAAGGCTTGTGCTCTCCGTTCCTCGCAAGGAGTACTCTAGTGTGGTTTGGTGGAGTTAGAAGGTAGAGTGACAGTCTACAGTTCAAAAGTTGCACCTATACCAAAATTGCTCAATATACATTCCCTTCACACTCCTTATACCGAGCTCTCTTACTCGACCTCACAGATAGAATTGAGCTTTTTTTTAGGATAACGGTGCGTGCAGGTGATGACATACGAAGTTTACCGATTAGAAAATAGTTTTTCTTTAGGGGATGGGTCCGACTCCCGAAGCTTTCTTTGATCACGCTTCCTGCATATAAGTCGCATCCCGGGCGGCAAGGGACTGCCTGGCACCTCACAGAAGTGCATCTTGCTTTGATAGATGGAATAAAAAAAGTTCGGGATCAGAGCGGCGCGAACACCTTCCAGCGAACATGAGGAAGTACCAATTCTACGAGTGATCATGTTACTCTCAACGTTTCGACTTGTAAGGCATGCTCGGCTACTACAGTCGGTTAGAGAAAACTAGCCGGCCAAATGGTACGCATGGATCCATAGTCCATACATAAACTGTCCCTGAGAACGTCCGAATCAATATGAGAAGAATAAGAAAAAGGACGCGGCCCAATCACGGAGTTTTCGCTTCCATCACGATATGTGACCGCTTTGGATAAAATGAGATATGTTGATGACTTGATACAAATCTAGCAAGCGAGTTCCTTCATATTTTCCCCCTTTGTGATTTGTGAACTTCAACTTCAAGCAAGTTTCAACTGCTTTGAGCACATATGATGTGCATTTTGTGGGTCGATCGCTGTACTAGTAGTGATGCTTTATACACATCCAAATATTATAATAAATATTTTGCTTCGTGCTTCAGATCGAGTGATTGAACCTGCGTACATACCTACTCTCATTCATGAGCATAACTTACTTCGGTTCTTCTTCTGACTTCACTGCGCCTATAAATTCCAGAGTGAATCTGTGAGTCTGACAGAAATTCCCACATCACCTCTTTCCAATTCATCTTGCCTTCATAATAATTGTGGCACAGCTTATCATTAAAACTATGCATTTCTCGAGATCCAAAAACATCAGCTACCATATAAGCCTTCATGTCATCGCTGCGAGTTTGCTTCTTCTAAGCCTGTTTCCATCACATGCTCAGGCTGCTCACAAATGTCAGGACAGTGCATGGTTGACGGATGATGAAGAAATTGACGACGGGTCAGGCTTTCTCGGCGATGGCGAAATTTGCCATAGACATAGGCTTTCAGCTGGACAGATCGTTGGGATCGTGTTTGGAGGAGTTGGTAAGCCCATAATAATTGCACATTCTATCCATCTTTCGAGTCATCAATCTATGCTATCGAATAATGATCGAGAATGATAAAAGTACTCAACAGCTGACTTCTCTGGCCTTTCACACCCGCGATGATCTGCGCTACAGGAGCTCTTTTGATTCTGATTGGCCTTCTTACATGCCTCTGCTGCCGAGGTCGCAAGCGCAGCGCACCACCACCGGCACCACGAGCGGGGTTCTTCTCAAAGTTCGGTCGTAAGCGAAAGCCAGAGGTGTCGCGTTCGGCTGCTCTTCATAATCCTACACCCGATGCAGAACCGACCGATGCTCAACGAGTAATGGCGAGCGCTCAAGTTTGATCACATCCTTTAGCCCCAATTCCAGCCGGCTTATGATGCTTGCGCCTTCAAAAAAACCTAGATCAATCATTATCTTCCAATATCCTTTTTCAAAGAAGTACCAAAATAACTCTATACTAAATGTGAACAATTACTATTTCAAAAGACCTAAATTGTTCCTTGTTTACTCAACTTCAACTTATACACGATTATTTCTTACTTTTTCTTGTGGACCAATTATTTGTTTTTCATTTTGATCGTGAAGGTGAAAATATTAAGGAGAACTCATTTGTATTGATGTACCATCACTATTCCTTTTTATTGGTAAATTTCGGTTCAGCGAAGCTTGAAATGCGAGTATTCCAAGAGCAACAGTGTACTTTGTTTTGTACGATGTTTTCATGATGACTTCATCGAGAATTTGAAAATAACTGAGCTGCGAGACAATTAGGGGATACAAAGTAGAGCGCGGGACACGTGCCCGGGCCAACCTGCGGGCTTCTTGATCCCAATTTTACAGCCAAAATTCGGGATGTGGACTTCCGGGCACTACGTGTCCACAAGTCCAGATCCCGATTTTACAGCCAAGATTTGGGCTCTGGACTTGTGGGCACATGCCCGGGCACGTGCCCGGCTTTCTACTTTGTATCCCCTAAATGAAGGAAATATGCGATGTATGTATGGCCCTGAGACCTCATTTTTCTACATTTGCAGTCTTGCTTACGTACATACTTGCCATAAGTCTGGAAGGGCCTCTTTGCTACCCTCCCAGCCCGCACTCAATCAAGTGCCACCAGCTATGGCTGATGAATGACCCGTGACGGTGTACACTGCGTACCACGAGGTCATGGTCTGTTTATGTGCCTGGTATATCTGAGTGATCTTATATGTCATGGATAGTTCTTGAATTATTCTGCTCCTGATTGAAGGTGATAAAGGACACGAGTGACAAAAGACCCCCACTAAATATTTAACACACGAATCTTGAGGCTTTAGAGTAATTCGCAAAGGAAGGAAGCAGAGAAAATGGTACCATAACTCACCCCGTTGCGTAGGCTACGAACCGTCCACTCTATATTGTCTTTCTGATGTTTCCTTCAGCTTCCATCTCTCAGAGACTGGGCTAATGACCACCCAAATGTTTGCTTATCCGCCCCTCAAAAACACTGGGTTTGACGTTGAGTCAAAGAAGCTATCAAAAGAAATCATTCAAGTAATGATAAGATTCACGATATTCATATGAGATCAAGGTAGATCAAGGTCAGGGTGTCAGTGAACAAAAGAATCAATTTTAGCCTTGAGATTGATATAACGGGTGCCAATGAGATTTAAAGTTCATAAGAAAAAAGCCAGATTGCCTACATGACACACATGTAGCAAGATGTGTTGATCAACCAGCTATCTAATTATATGAAAGACTCAAGACTCAAGTGATTGGGCAATAAGACATACGTACTGACCTTGGCCCAGCAATGACAGAAGATTATATGCACTTCTTCTTAAATGTCATAGGCATCTGTTTCGGTATGCAGATGTCACATTTTTTCACTAAGATGTGGTGTATATTGGCTGCGGACGCCCCAAGGTCGTATTTTTCAAACGTGTTTTTGGGTGTCCCATTATCATAGGCATGGTTTGGCAAACGTCGCCTGAAAGGAGGCTATCAGGCATACTCAATTTATGTTGAGGAAAAAAGCCTGTTGCCCCTCTTGCACCAATTCAAAATTAGCAATACCATTCATATTCTCGGCTGATTGCTGAAGGACAAAGGCCTCGATAGAGGGTCATCTAGCGTGTCCGCATGTGGATCAACTCCAGTTTTATCCTTCAAGTTCAGAATTCAACAACACAATAATATACATTCTACCAAGCATGAAAAGTTTCTAAAGTGAAAGAGCACAACACAATCCAACCACAAGACAAGAACATACCCAAAGCGGTTTATCCCATCCGTTGACCTTTCTTGGCATCTACCATTTTCCTTGCCCACTCACGTGTCTTCTTTGCCGTAGCCTTTTGACTACCTTTCTTAAATGCAGGATTTTGTGATCCTCCTTCATCACCTTGAGGATTAGCATCAAGTGTGGATGTTGGAGCAAATTGGAAAGCTTGATGAATGGTTTCTGGAATTCGAGCTCGTTGAGATCGATTTGGAGCTTGGGATGAAGGTGTGGGTCGATTGATGATGTTGGAATCTGCGTTTGGTAGGGATGATACTGGGAGGGGTGCACGAGACCGGTAAGAAGCCGGTCGCCGGATGATAGGACGGAGCCAGGTCGCTGTGACCGATCATATGAGTTCACAAGGGTAACAATACAAGAGATAAGTGAAGAAAAACCTACTGAATAAGTTGTCGGCTAAACGCTTGATTGAGGGGTCAACCCTTTTACATTTGGTGTAGAATACAATCACTTTACCAAGTTCACTTGATTTCAAAGATTGGGTGTCGATAGTCATCTATAGTCAAGATAGTCAGTGATTGTTGAGGTAAATTTGCGAAGAGCAATCACCCACTTTACTCAACAGCTGCAATAGAGAACGTTGAATGTTAAGCGCCGGAAGTGATCGATCAGGAAGTGGTTCAAGCCATTTCTTGACCGCTTCGAGCACTCCGTTATCAAGTATAGCAGTCTCCAAGTGAGATCTGCCAAGCGAGCCAAATGGTACGTCAATGTGAGATATCACAAGTTAGTAAAATCGAAGTGACTCACTTTTGCATAGTGGCCGTCACGAGTGGTAACAACATCATCTTAGCCGTTGCAGGTCTACGTTCCTCATTGGCTTCGAGATCCATATTAACCGCACCCAACATCCTAGCTCTCAGCTTGGACACTTCTTCGTCCGCCATCATTTCCAAATCTTCATCACCTCCTTTTCGTCTACGTTTTTTGTTTTTCTTATTTTTACCAGCTGCTTGATCAATCTGGTCATAAAGCTCTTGTCTTCGGACTAGAAACATATATCCATCAGTACCAGTTTTCATATGCTGTTTGTCATGATCTCACTGACGTTCTTCAGGGTCAATCGGTATGGCTTCCTGCTGAAGCTCATCAACATGCTGATCTGCTTCGGCCGGTCGACGTTGCTTATTTTCCTTTGGAGGTCGCCTCTCAGAGCTAAAAACCGTCAAGGATGAGCTAAGTGCTGACACATCCTCATGGGATCTAGATGAACCGCTGTAATTAGAGCACTCACGAATCAGCGGCTTTTGAAGACTTGCGGAATTTAGGAAAAGATGTCGAAGTTGGTCGAGTTTGACTGATTTCATTATAATCTTCATCATGAGCATGTTGTGAATGAGCCTCTTCTCCATCTGAATCTTCATACTCTCCGTCTCTATCTTCGTCTTGATGACGGGCTGAGGGCTGCGGTGCATTTTGAAGGTCATCTAGAATTGACACATTTTTGAATTGAGAATTGAGGTTAATGAGAGGTGTCAAAAAGAGAAAAAACCAAATGTGTTTCAAAAGCTAACCACCTTCAACATCCGAAAGATCCGAATCACCTCCACCTATACATAGGAAGAACATAAACTTTTCAGGATTCCATCGGTTGGTCAACTGCGAAAGATCGCGCAAACTTCATACCAAAAATCTGGTCTTCCAAATCTCGTGAAGGGTTTTTAGGGTCCATGATCGAGTATGAAATCAAGCGAGAAACCAAAGTCTAAAAACCGCAGTATATAGGTGAGATGAATTCAAAGCAACGATGAATGTGATGGTGCAAAAGGACCAAAGGTGGAGGACGAAAGTTCAGCCTCGCCATGGGAAGTTAAAGGGAGTACCGACCTGAGTGCATGCTTGTCAGAAACCCATCAATTTAATCTGAGTCAAATACAGTATGTACATAGACACTTAATGCTTGATCATTTCTGGATTCAACAGTGCAACGCATACAGTTCAGAGTCCCTTCACAGAATTATCAACAAACCTGATGGATTTGAAAAGCTGTGATCAAGACCAAAAGGTTAAAGGATATCGATGAGTGAATGCTGAATATCTTGTTTGCCCCATCTGATGAGAAGTCTGACGAAAGAATGATGACTTGTTTCCCAGAATCGTCAAGATGATGAAAATACGACTAGCTCTGAGGTCATACCTTTGAAAACCCATAGATAAGTCCAATTTAAGGGTTCATTTATGATTTGATGCCAAGGGGATTTGACATAAACTCGCGGGTTTTAAATTTTAATTTGATAACCCCTGTCACACTTCACAAGTTCACCGTGAGTCACGAGTCACCAGTACCACCAATAACCAGTCAAGTCATATCATATCATCCTATCACACCTCTCATCATATCCTATCATCAACATCATATCGTATCAACATCATTATTACCTGTCTTGAAAAAAATGACAGAGGTTAATCTTCAAACAACTTCAAATCAATCACAACCCAACTCATCTACAACACCACATTCTACTGGTTCAATAACTCCAGAATTATTAGAATACGATGAATTCTCTCATTTATCTTATTCCTTATCTTCTTTACCTTCAATTCAATCAGAGACTTTTTCATTTGATGAAGTGAATAATGAAGAAGATGAAGAACAGGAGGAGGAAGAAGAGGACGAAGATTCATCAGAAGTAACTGTTAATCGACCGATCAGATCATCCGATTATACAACACAATCTACTACAATTCAATCAACTTCTCAATCAGAACCCGCTTCTTCAATTCCTACTTCTCCCCAACCTACTAGGGCTTTTGGACTACCATCATCAAACTCGGGACCTCACTCACCACATTTTCATCAACCTATCGAAAGATATGGATCACCCATTTCACTTTCATCTTGGAACCCATCTGAGGGATTATCTTATCCAAGTTCATCTATCTCGGGAAGTTTAGATAGTGATAGAGAATTATCAGATCACGAACATGAGACTGGTTCTCAGAGACGAAATGGTCCACTTACAGATGGAGAAGTTGAAGAAGAAATCGCTAATGATTCACTTGCATCAACTCCATTTGACGATTCTCATCATATGCATACATCCACCCGGGAGTATCTCAGTAGGATTACCGGACACCTTGTTATGCCTAGATTGCCTATTCATCATCCTATCTCAAATGCTTCAAGTAGGGGTTCAAGTTTAAGAGGTGGAAGTAGTCCAAGGTCGATGTCCTCAGCATCTCTCCGTAGACTGAATGCACCGGAAACGGGACATGCTGAACAACCCTCTCACCATACTTGGACCACTCGTGCGGGGCCAAAGCCTCGTGTTTTACTGTTCGAAGACGGCAAATCATCAGTTTGTAAGCCTATGGTCGGCAAGGCATCTGCTCTAACAATTCGACGAGCTCGGGATCTGGTCTCAGATTTCAAGGTGCGCTGCTCCTGGATCTGTCTCTCTCTCGAATCTTTTGCTGATCTTCCATCGTGATTTGCTTGAAACCTTTTTCCAGATCAATGACTCTGCAACTCATGACGCACTCCTCTCTCAAATTTCGGCATCTTTTGGTCGATTAAGACCTCTTCTGAACATGCGTGCACTTCATCCAACAAACTCTAGCGGTCAATCAAGTCAAGACCTAAGTCTCCTTATCGAAAACTGGATCATGAATGAGGCATATATGGTAGCGCTAGTTGAGATGTCCCATGCACGTAAGCACTCTCTCTTTGCTTTCCTTTCATAAGGTACCACTTCATCTGATCAACTTATTCCTTTTCGTCCGCAGCGGTCTCCTCGGTGACTTTATCATTTCTATTGGCTTTATCTCGATTGATTCCTGTTCAGCCCTTCATCTCCAACAAAATAACTGGCACAAAGTCTCCTATCGATTTGCATGCCATTCTAACCCGCCAATTTGCTGCCAAACGAATCAATCATCTTCCAATCCCCTCACCAAAAGACCGATCCTCTTCACATCATGATCTTCCCTTACCGGCATTTGACGATTGTCTCTTTCGAAGTCGAGAATGCTGCCTCAACTGGCTTCTTGTTGACGAGGCTGCTTGGAGAGCTATTGAGACAAGGACATCACACACCTTGGATCCGTCACCTGAACCATCCCATCTTGGCCTGGACTTGGAGCCAGATCGTTGGTCAGAGAAGGTAGGATCAAGAGTACTACATCTGATGAAACAATCACCTCGGCTAGCAAACACACGCGCCAAGCCTGCTTTAGTCCAAGTTCGTCGGTCTGGCTATCCCAACTGCTCAAGATTAATGTCGAGCGATCCAATGGGAATGCCCTCTCTTTCTGCAATCCTTCAACTTGGCTTCAGCCATTTAAAAATCAACTTGATTAAGATCTTCCAAGGTGTATTAGTCAAAGCTTCAGTTTTGAGTAACACGATTAAATCCGATCCTCATACTTCTCAAGATCGAGTGAGACGGAAAATGAAGATCCCGAGACGAGTTGTAGGTCAATCAGCTAGGCAACATATATCGCCTACTATGAAACATCCTTGGATTCTCATTACGTTTGCTACAGCTGCGACTGTTTTGACTGTTTGGGGATGTACATTACTATGTGGATGATGAAGAATGTCAATCATGATAGACTTCCTTCTGATTATGAAGCTGTAGTAACTTTGCATTGAGTTTGCCATATGTTTTGTTTTGTTCTCTTTACTTCTCATTCTGATTTTTTTTATTTTGTAATATTATCATATACTGTAATGTATATCATATTTCAATTCTTTTGTTCCCATTATTGACATATATCTATATACATATATGAATTCCTAACATTTGTTGTACCAATATATTGGCTAAACTAAAGTTTTGCTCTTATCAATCTATTCATGTTTTGTTATCTTTGGTTTTGTAAGAGAATGTAATTGGTTGATAATTTCAAAGTGATTTGTTGTAATATATCTTGAGTTTGATGAATTTTAATTAATTAGGATCTGAGCTTAACACTGCTTTACTTGAGTTTGAATAAAAAATACGATCATTCACCCCCAGTTTTAGTCAGAGTTTTAAAATTATTGACTTGGCTTTCTTCTTCTTAATTAGAAGTTTTCCAAAGAAGAATCAGAACCAAAGGTGGATTTATGCTAAGATGTAACTGGTTCATGTAAGTAAAAGTTTCAAACACTCCTCGTGCAAGTTGATCAACTTATGATGAAATTGTAGGATTGTCCTATGGGTAGCTTCTTTCCATCTTCTGTGACATACATTATTGAATTCCTTCATTGCAAAATCCTTTTTCTGTTCACCTTCACAATCATTATCAAGAGAACAAATACCTTATTTTGGGGGCAGAAGTACAGAGTCTGCTTATATTTAGTAATTCTGAAAATAAGAATAAGTATATACAATTTCTCGTACATAAATATGATTGGTTGAGATCAAAAGTTTCAATGAACTTATAAAAATTTGATAAACCTTTAAGGAGAAAATATGAAAGAATTCAAACATAAATGAAATTATCTTAGAAGTTTTTGCTTGATTGTTGTGCGGTATATATTCCACTGCTGTTCCATCAATCCTTCATATCTGAGCTTTACTCTTTCTCACCATGAATCATACCATATATTTTAGATTGAGCCTCTAGATCGTCATACCTAGATATATTCCCAACCTAATTATTCATGAATTGACTTTATCATCAGATCTCAAAGGTGATAGATACTCTTCAAATCAGATGACACAGAAGACGTAATCATCATCTTCATAACCCCTTTACCATTCTCATCCCTCCCCTCTTCTAACCACTTAAATCCTTTACCAGCTTCTTTCAAATCAACAGAATGAGTAATCAATCTCTCAATCCTTTTCAATGGTCCTTCATCTCTAATTTGCTCAGTTAAAAGTTTGATAGCTTTAGGATAAACATTGGCGTATCTAAATGTTCCAATTATGTCGACTTCTCTTAAAGCTGCTGAACTAATTGGCATCATCAATTCTGGGGTTCCCATACCTACTAATCCTAATTTTCCACCTGATCGAGTTACCTTTGTATAAAACATATTAAAGATAATCACAAAGATAAATCATCAATTAGTTATCTCTTTTTCCTTCAAAATATGATAAAATCAATTATAAAAAAAACATACATAAACTCCAGTTTGAATACAAGATCCAACACCAGTACATTCAATAGTAAAATCAAATCCTGAAGGTTTTTTGAACCTCTGAAGAATCGAATCCGAAAGTCCTTTACTAGACTCCAAAGTATTTCCAACAGTTTTGGGGGATACCCAAGAATCAGTAGCCCACTTCATTTCTTTAGCTTCGAAATCGATTTTTGAAGAATCGATATCTATGAGTGAAATTGATCTTATGCCTAGAGCTCGAGCTAGTCCACAGGCTATGATTCCAATTGGACCTGCTCCAATCACTAGTATATTTGATGAAGTTTCTTTGGTTATCTTTAGACGATCGAAGGCGTGCATTACTACTGAGAGAGGTTCAAGGAGTGCAACACACGGTGCTGGTATCTCATCTGGAACACTGATCAAGCCAAATTCAATTATTTTCAGCACGAAGGTCAGGAAGATGAGAAAATCCTTTGTTAGTCTTGTTATGATTACCAGAATATTTTTCACGTACATGTGTACCAAATCAGCTGGATGATTGATTAATTGACATAAAGTCCCATCTGAATGAGGTACATTCTTTGCTGATGATCTAAACCTCATCAAAAACCCCCAAACCCGAAAAAAAAACAATCAAAGAAGTCAACAATCCTTCAAGTAAGATTCATTTTCTTTCGAAATATATTCTTAAACGAAATCTTACCTAAACTCCATCTTTTCACAAAGATTATATCTAGCCTCAAGACATCTATCACAACATTTACAAAACAGACCACATTCAATTGCCACTCTTTGTCCTAAACTTAAGTCACTTCTTTCAATTTGATTTCCTAATTTTATAATCCTTCCACAAGATTCATGACCAAGTATGATGGGTGTTTGAATTTTAAAATTTCCATTACGACCTAAACTATAATAATGTAAATCTGAACCACATAGACTCGTGGTCTCGATGAAAAGTTGTACTTCATTTGGTTTTGGTGATTCGATTGGAATTGATTCCTTGAAAAAAAAAAGAAAGGTTAGTCAAGGGTGTCAGTTTCTTTGGAGTTTTTTATCTCTTTGATTTTTGAGCTTGATGACCGGTTAGGACCGATTGGTATTATCATCACTCAGGAAGTTTTTCCATCATTCCAATTCGATTTCAGTAAAGAGAAATCGGATGATCAACCTGAGTAAGACGATGAACCAAAGGAAGGTTTGAACTTACAATTCTTAAATCTTTAGGACCATAAAGAACAGCAGCCAAATTGATTTGACCAGAATTCGATGATAAAGCTTTTGACATCTTGGAAAAGCTTAGTAATACGAAACACCGTCTGGTGAGGAATGGTTTGTTGCTATCACGTAAGTGGATTGAGTAAAGAGAAATCAGATGAAGTAAAGATCAGAGAAATTGGTGAAGATTGAAGCTTAATGTAAGTCATCTTTATAAGCAAAACCTACGATCACTCATCTGACAAAGAAAACTTAAACTCTAATCTGAGGGAAGATCAAGAAGAAACGCATGATCATCAAGCTCTTACTTCAGCATCATCTTTTGCAGATCAATTTATGCTTTTGGCCATCATCAAGATCGGCAGGGTGTTGCTTAGTGAGCACGCACCTCAATTGTCTACCTCGCGGATTCATGGTGTGCGGCCCCCACAAGACTATGCACAAATGTGTGATGAAGAAGCAAGGCGGTGTGGTAGACATGCTATTGAGTCATTCCAGGATAACAAAGTAGGATGATACCCCGTGGATGTGTCCTTTATTCATGATGTATTTTGTGGCGCTATGCACTCTTCCATTACTTGGTGATCTTTGATCAGGTTGATTTTATTCTTGGTCAAATTAGCCTCTACATGATTGTCGTAATGACAATTTCTCAATTTCAATGGATTAGAAAGACCTATGTACGTGTTTCCTTACTATAGTCACTACCAGCAAGCTTCTTTTGATGTAAGGTGCGTATGGATCAAGACCCAAAACCTTTAAACTGCCTCAGATTTTGAGGAGCCGAGGGTATTTTTGGGAACCTTGCGTCGATGGCATTCTCAAACTAGCTTTTCAGAAACCTCGGACGATTCTCTCTCCTCCAATTTGAATATTTTTGATTTTTAATATCGGGTGCCGCTCCCTTCTGGGATCGGAAAAGGCCTGATGGCAGCGACTATCACTATATCAATGTTTCCACTGAAAGAGTCAGGAAGGTCGGCGAGTTGCCTGGTTAAACTCCGTTAAATATCAGGGTCCCCCATACTCGGGTTTCATTGTTAAGTTTGGGTGTCAGGGCTGGTCTGCAAGTTACGCTTGCCGAGTTGAACTTGCATTCAAACGCCCAGAGTGGCGGCAATGCTGAGCACAAGGAAGAATATCGAAGTCTTCATCATCATCATGTTGATGAAAATCGTTGTTGCTGAGGTCTGTAGTCGACATCAGTCATTACATCGATAGCTTCTTTCATCACTAAAAGCTATCATCTGACCATACCTGATACGAATCATCTAGCTGT